GATAAAAATATCATGTGTCCATCCAGGCTACGGACTTTTGCGGAATCTTTTTTTATTTTTTTTAGCGCTTTGGTGGATGGACTAGCTCACAGCCCACCTGGTGCTAAGTGGTTACTGGAGCCCATAGACATCTACAACGTAAATGCGCCACCCAACCTGATATAAGCTCTAAGGTCTCAGTATAGTTACAAGGGCTGCCCCACCCTTCAAACCGAAACGCATTACTGCTTCACGACAGAAACAGGCAGGGTGGTGGTACCTACCCGTGCGGACTCACAAGAGGTCCTACCACCAGTGAAATGTATTCAATCTATCAGCCCACAGACGTCCACTGCTGAACGCAGACCTGGCCAAGGCTAACCACAATAACAAATGCTAAGCATCTAATGGACTCCCGCAACCTTCAACTGGTCATCGATTTTATATCATTACTAGTTTTTACCCGCGTCTTCGCCTGCATAGTCAAGGAAAAAGTCATCTGGTCAGTCAGTCAGGTGGTTATCTGTCTGAACGAGATGTTTTTTCGGAACAAACGGTAGCCTTCAAATACTCTCCTGACCTAATACTCTTACTAGGATAAACAGACAAACTTTCAGATTTATAAAATTAAGTATAAATATATCTATACATATAAATAAAATTGGAGTGTCTGTTTGTAATATTGAAATAGCCTCTTTTTACTACATGCATATGAATATATATACGGTATATACATCAAAATAACATTTTTTACAATTTTTGGCTGTCTGTTTGTTCCGGCTAATCTCTGGAACGGCTGGACCGATTTTGACGGGACTTTCACTGACTGGTAGCTGATGGTATAAGGAGTAACTTAGGCTTTTTTACTTTTTTTAGACTAGCTTCGCCCTGCGGCTTCACCCGCGGTACGACAATAACCGCGGGTAGCATCGCGGGACTCAACTATCAATAATAAAATTTAATGTTTCCGAAGCGAAGCGAGGGCGGGTCACTAGTATGATAATAAAATACCACACAGCATACATGTTATTGTTATTACTCATATATTGAATATAAATCTTTGTCCGTTACAAAGATTAAATCCGAAGGTTTAATGTCTAATAAATCACTAAAATATTATGAGAATAAACATTATTTATTATCGAAGTATATTGGTTTGAAAAAAAACACGACAGAATAAGCCGAAAACTTATTTCTTGTTTTCCCATCCGCTCTGACACTTCTGTTTTCATCTTCCTAGCGTTTTCCCGGTCTGGTACCAGAGACCGCTTAAACTACCCCTCTTTGCCCGGTCTTCGGCATCTTTATGAGTGAGGTTATTCTCCTCCATATCCGCCTTATACAAGTAAACACAATATCCAAAATTACGATTAATTTTAAATTCTATTTCATTTGACCACTCATTCATACGAATGATCAATCAATCAATAAAATTCAAATCGAAACAAATAACACGAGATCGTAATTGACCATGGCCACGAAGTCCGTATTTTTCGAAGCGTGTAAATTATAAATTTTGTCAAGTAAACCGCGCGAACAAATTTGGAAGGTTTTTTTTTATTATCCATTCGCTGGTGGTCTAAGAGGCTATTCCAGTTACACACGGATGGGTAGGTGAGCTCTCAACCTTTTTTTTTAACACTGGGGAATCCATTTACGGATACCCGGTCGAGGAATTTTTTTAACAGACCGGGTTATGTCGGACTCTGGCGCCTCCAGAGAAGAAGAAGGTGAAGAGGAAGACCGGGGTCCTCCTCTTCTTCCAATTCCTGCCGGGAGACTACTGACAAAGGCGCGCAAGGCACTGCACGGCGTCAGCCATGCAAGAGCTACACCGCAAAATCGACTACCGACTAAACCGCATCGAGCCCCACCACTCCGACTCCACGAAACCCACGGTACCGCACAGTGCGCGCCGAAGGCTCGCCGTCGCCGGTACCCGTCCTAATAATAGGACGGGATTCCATCCCCGGGAAGATCCCGCAGGACGTCGTCTCGGGAGACACACCGTGAGCGGTGCACATGAGCCACTTTGCGCCGCCTCACCACTGGACCGACAGCGGAGTACCGGGCGCCCCCGCACCCTGAGAGAATTTGCTAACACTACACCTAGCAAGAGCAGCGCTTCGCAGAATCTACCAACGAATCAGAATCGCGACCCACTAAGAAGACTTCATAAGTCGTCGTGGCCTAAAGGATAAGACGTCCGGTGCATTCGTATGTAGCGATGCACCGGTGTTCGAATCCCGCTGGAAAGTACCAATTTTTCTAATGAAATACGTACTTAGCAAATGTTGACGATTGACTTCCACGGTGAAGGAATAACATCGTGTAATTAAAATCAAGCCCGCAATTACAATTTCGCGTAATTACTTAGAGAAGACGTCTTGTGAGTCCGCGCGGATAGGTACCACCGCCCTGCCTATTTCTGCCGTGAAGCAGTTATGCGTTTCGGTTTGAAGGGTAAGGCAGTCGTTGTACTATACTGGAGCCCTTAGAAATCACTTCTCAATGTAGGTGGCGGCGTTTACGTTGTAGATGTCTATGGGCTACGGTAACCACTTAACACCAAAAAAAAAGACCCGGCGAGAAACTCATTAATCTAGGAGATTTAGAGCAATGCATATGACCCACTACAAATCTATAATCAGAAAATACTCCACGTATCTCATTAGGATGGTAATATGTTTTCGATCTTTTATTATTTACAATTAATTTTAATAGTTTTGTAGTTGTAAATAGACATGCTTTAACAAAAACCGACTTGAAATAGAAAAAAAAAGGTATTCCAAAACAAATTAATATACACCAAAAACATTAATCATCGAAATCGGTTGGCGTGATATTGAGTTATAGAGTTATTCATCTATATGTCGCGCACGTACTTAATGCAAATTTAAGACTTATATGGTTTTCTCACGGATACCACAATCAGAACTGGACTAAATTGAAATGGGACTACACGGGAAGCGTCAGCTTTCTGATAAAAAAAAGAATCATCAAAATCGATTCACCCAGTCAAAAGTTCTAAGGTAACAAAAAAAAAACATACAGTCGAATTGAGAACCTCCTCCTTTTTTGAAGACGGTTCAAAATAATTTAAACCAAGTTTTTAGAACTGACTAGTTGAAGACACGAAAACATTTAATGTAGCTAGACGTTCATCACTCATTGATAAAATGTGACGAAAACAAATGATCATCTAGATTGAATTAAAACTTATTTATTTAAAACTAGAGGTCCTGCAGTAGTCGAAATTCGACTATAATTAATTAGAATTGTAAGTTTGTACACTATTATGATTGTATTTTCAACGCCAAGACTATACTGTAGAAAAATATTAATAAAGACAAACAATAATTAATCTATACTCAATTTGACAACAGACGTCAAGAACAAAAGTTTGACAATAAATAGTATGCATGCGTGTGTGCGTCAAATACATGGTATGTAGTGTGTGTAATGTTTTCTTTATTGATTTAATGTATCTTTTATGCATTATGTTAAAAAAATATTAGCATTGTGCACTTCTTCTCTATATTCTCTATAAGTGTGGAAAATTTCATACTCCTCCATCCGCGCAATTTTCGTAAAAAGGGATACAAAGTTTTTGCTTCACGTATTAATATATAGATTATGACTACCTACTTTTGAGTTTGTTATTGTCATTATAAAATATTAATTCGAAGGTTCCCAATATCTATCTATCTATCTATCTCTTAGGTTTATGGCGCATAGACCAGGTTTCATACTTCAGTGCCAATATCATACAAGTTGACGTTTACATATTGTATATTATATTACCGTCATTTTTTAAATATAGAAATAGTTCGATTGATGTTTTACGTTTCATTTAACGCAGAATGAGGTTATAGTATCTTAAGGTCTGGCAGTATGTCTGATTTGGGTTTTCATCTTCACGATAAGAGGATCTCAGGCGTTAGACAAGCAACATCTATTTTCTCTATTAAAGTAAGTGTTTTATTTATTTATTTCAATGGCCTCTGGCGCCATAAGTGGAATTAACTCTATCGAGTATTTGGATTTCGTCAAATATTAGAAGATGGTTGAGGCTACTGTTCGAGATTCTATCTGCGAAATCAAACTATGAAAGTAGTTCTCATTATATCTACGACTAAACCGAAAAAAAAATCTACAGCAGCCGTATTTTTGCTGAAAATAAAATAGTAAAACCTCTTTTTTAAAAAGCTTTTTTCTTCTATCTTAACCTTTTCTTGCATTGTTTTCGGAGTTCCGAGCTAAATTCAAATTTTATAAGGAACTAGCTGTACCCGTCCGCTTCGCTGGGCATTTAAAGTTAACATTATTATTTCTCACCCCCACAAAGATTCTCATCATTAACGCCCCCGCAACTGGGGTAGGGAGTCCAACACTCATACAAATATTCAGCCTATCCATTAAGTACATGTATTTTCTACATGGATACCAAGTTGCAAGTCAATCGGATGCATGGTTCAGTAGTTATAACGGAACATCCGTAAAAACCACTGCAGATTTATATATTAGTATATATGTAAACACAAGGAAGCAAAGCAATAAAATATAATATTATACATAAGTGCAAGGTAAACTTCATTCTTCCAAGAACTAAAAATCTATGGAGTCATCTTCTTTTGATAAACATTTTTATTTGTATTTCAAAAATTTATCATTTGCCTAATTGAGTTTTTAGCTTTGTGCCCTTATTACAATTTATATGTATATTGATAGGCAGGCCTGGCATCCCTAGTTTAGCATAGCTCCATCGTCCCATGACATCCGACAGTGTATTTTAAAATGTCATTACAAAAAAAAACATTTAAAAAAGTTAAAAAAAAAACGATACTTTTTTCTTTTTTCAGTTCACCCTACAATTGCCAAGATTGTTAACGACCACGGCTTTTCAGAGCTACTCTTTTGTTATTAATTGTCTTTTTATTCATTGATAAATTTTCTTTTTATTATTTGATAAATTCTAGGTTCCGTAAAAAACTAAATAAACAAATCAAAAAAATACACACCTGTCGTATCCACCTCAAGTCTCTCTAGACAATCATTTGAGCTACACAAAATATTGTCTTGAAACGTAAAACTTCAAAACCACAGATATTAAAATTAAAATTGATTTATTTAAAAAAAAAAAACAAGACATACGATTCTACTAATTAAAATCTGATTCAATTTTTTTTTATAGATTATAAATAAAACTACATGGTCATTTAAATTTCCCTACAAACCGTTTTTTTTTTTTTATTTCGGATCAACGAATTCGCTCTTTTCACTAAAAATGTTTTTTTTTTATTCGCAACCGATATGCGTGTGGCACCCGCGCCACACATTCGCAGACACGTCCGGTCGGTGTTACAAGTTTAAGGACACAACGCGGTCAGACGGACAGTTTTATGTAGCACGTTTTCATTAATTAAACAAATATTTACCTAAAAGTCCACTATAATGTTGGTCAATAATATTTGTATACCTAATATATCTTAGGTACAGAATCTACAAAGAGAATTTGTATCTACAAAGAGAATTTGTCTGTTGAAATATTCATTATATATTACAACTGAAACTTCAGCTATGTATCGCATGGTGAATAGGGACGTTCAAAGCTCCGATAAGACAATCCAATTCATCATGACGATCAACATATATCATGAATATTTTATTCCTTTTGGCGCATTGGAGACCCATACGGGTAGCTACCGGTCTTGCTTCCACGAAGCACTGATCCATACCAGCTTGAAAGGTCCAACAGCCACATTGAAATATTTAAATAATTCAGACTAGGATCTCAATAGTATTGGAAAAGCAACGTAAAATAAAGTAACAAATCTCATTTAACGATGGTAGTGTGTTCAACTATTAATCTATGGGTCAAGGCATGGGACCCCAGTTTCCTTGATCTGCCACTACTTCTATTTCATCCGTCCGTTGTTCTCATTGCGTGATGAGATGAAAGCTAACACTGTATATTTTAAGTGCGAAGTAAGTAATTGCGCGCCACAAGGCATTAGGTATACTCTGTACGGACCATAGATAATAAGTGACTACTAGAAACTTGATGGCTTGTAACATATAAATATAGGCCGAATCGAAATGTCAAAACCCAGGCGGGTTCAATTTTTTGTAATGAAATACATACTCAAAAAATGTTCTCGATTGACTTCCACGGTGAAGGAATAACATCGTGTAATAAAAAACAAACCCGCAAATTTTAATTTGCGTAATTACTGGTGGTAGGACATCTTGTGAGTCCGCGCGGGTAGGTACCACCACCCCGCCTGTTTTCTGCCGTGAAGCAGTAATGCGTTTCGGTTTGAAGGGTGGGGCAGCCGTTGTAACTATACTTGAGACCTTAGAACTTATATCTCAAGGTGGGTGGCGCATTTACGTCGTAGATGCAAAAAAATAAATAAAGAAAATGCACCTAAACTAAAATGCATCCTTTTCTGCCCAACATCACGCTAATCGAGTTATTGAAATTGTGGCCAAACCAGGATACGATTTATTATACAATTTCATTATATATTAAATTATACTAAGTGAGTAGTATGTTTGCACTGGTATAACGCTTGTGTACTTTAGTTTTAGTCTTAACATTGATTTTTTTATCAATTACGGAAATCAACAATCGTCTGAAGTGTGCCTTAAGATGATGGTTTAAGATTTTTGTGATTCAATATTCAATTTTGTATCGTTTCTTATATCTAATTTTTGTATATTTTAATTTTTATATCTAATTTAAATATAATCTATAATCTAATTTAAATATTTTGCTGAGGGTAAAATGGACTGCTCACCGCACTAATGTATCCATCCTCAAAAAGCTCCAAATCAAACAAAGGCTTTCGTCGATTGTGCAATTGCGAATCCTTAATATGTTTGGACATATCGTTCGTAATTAAAAGCTCATTGGAACGTTTAGTGGTTCAAGGAAGAGTAGACGGTCAACGCTCTCGCGGCCGATCATCCACAAGGTGGACAGACTTGGTTAAGTTATCTACGAAGTGTTCCCTTACTGAGTGTACACGTACCGCCACAAATAGAGAAAGATGGAGAAGTCTCTCAAAAGCCGCAACCAAATATTAAGACTTACGTAACCACGACACTCCGCCAGGAGTGAACGACAGGTGGTAGGACCTCTTGGGAGTCCGCACGGGTAGGTACCACCACCCTGCCTATTTCCGCCGTGAAGCAGTAATGCGTTTCGGTTCGAACGAAGGGTGGGGTAGCCGTTGTAACTATACTGAGACCTTAGAACTGATATCTCGAGTTGGGTGGCGCATTTACGTTGTAGATGTCTATGGGCTCCAGTAACCACTTAACATCAGGTGGGCTGTGAGCTCGTCCATCCATCTAAGCAATAAAAAAATAAAAAAACGGAGAAGAAGAAATATCTTATACGATTGAGATGTTTTCGTGCATAGAAATTTCTAAAAACCTCACTAAATTACGAAAAGATCAAAAACATCATAAATATGTGCAACAAATGATTCTTGGCGTTTTCATATAAACTGCATATCACCGTCCTTCTGGATAAACTTGTGGCTGACAAACACTAGACGCAAAACGCAAGTCGCAAAATCTTCTTAGTATTTTGCAGAGTTCTATGCTATGCAAAACTATGTTTCAAAAGAAACAGTGACGGACCTTCTAAATGACATCGAGGCTACCTTAACGAGCAGCTAATTTCGAAGAAAAAAATACGCCAAAAATAACTTCAGGCAATACAAGCATCAATGACAATTTCATTACAATCAGCCCTCGGGAAATATTTCAACTGTGATTTTTGTAAAATCGAAAAATCACGTCGTAGTAATGAATTTATGGTAGGCAGCGGCTTGGCTCTGCCCCTGGCGTTGCTGACGTCCATGAGCGACGGTGAGCACTTACCATCAGGTGGGCGGTATGCTCGTCTGCGTACAAAGGCAATAAAAAAAAGTAAATTTAAAAGACGATCGCTCGTTTAGTTCGACGTTATTATTCGAACAATTATGAGTCTGACCTCATGCCTCAATACGGACCGCATTATTACCCTGTCTATTCTGGTAACTGGTTCACCTGTTGATTATAGAGAAATGTGACGGATGACTGATGTGGAAGGTTCCTCTGATGCCGTTATAATCTTAATAAAAAAATTGGTACCTAGCAGCTATTGGGAGCGGACTACAGGCTCAGAGCTCTACCTACCAAACGACTCCTCTATACTCTCGCCCGATCATCCCATCCCCCGAGATCAGAGCCCTTGCGGGGTTGTTTGCACGTCGTTTCAATAATTGTGATTAACTGTCTTTAGGCATTAAGGTTACTACCATCTAAAGCTATTTGAAAACTCTAAAATAATATAGTCACAGTAAAATGACGTGAGATTGAACCGTAAAATCAGAAAGTAAACCGTAAAAAATAAATAATTGTTAAATAACAAAACAAAAAAAAAACAAGCCCATAGAGAAAATGTAACCAAAAACAGAAAAAAATATATTGTAGAAAAAAGAATCATCAAAAGGGACACACAATAAAAAAAAAAAAAAAAAAAAATTAGGCCTTGTTAAAATATTGTGGAAAAGCTGTTAAAATTAAAAGCTAGTACCAAAAACAAAAAAATCGCTAATCCTAGAAAGGATAACTGTTTAACTATTCAAAATATTGAATTGTCATCGGTCCTTGTTCAGTATGGCAAATTTCGAGTTAATCCGATGTTTTGGAATTGATCAAAATCATCTTCAAAGTTTCCGTTACACACTATTATAAGTGTGAAGCTAATAAAAGCGTGTTAAAAATGAAAGAACATTTTTTTAAGAATTTATTTATCATTACAATATTGTGCACTGGAATCTCGACCAGACTTGCAGTTCTAAGTATTAAATCATACGCGGTAATACTAAGCCACTACAAACAAATTACAGATTCAAGACATATGACATTGAATAAATTGTTTTAAGTAGAAAATAAATGTTTATTTTGATGTATACTTAATGTCCGTAATTTGATACTTGAATGAGGACCGAGCGTAACTTCCATGTTCTATGTTGAGTGACATTACTGGTGGTAGGACCTCTTGTGAGTCCGCACGGGTAGGTATCACCACCCTGCCTATTTCTACCGTGAAGCAGTAATGCGGTTTGAAGGGTGGGGCAGCCGTCGTAACTCTACTGAGACCTTTGAACTTATATCTCAAGGTGGGTGGCGTATTTATGTCGTAGATGCCTATGGGCTCCAGTAACCACTTAACACCAGGTGGGCTGTGAGCTCGTCCACCCATCAAAGCAATAAAAATAAAATAAAAAAAGACATCAAAAACAATTTTGATACTTTTAACGGTATACGTTTATTGAAAACGGTTATGTCATCGTTAACCTTTTGATCTTAGATGAGCGGATGAGCTCTCGGCCCACCTGATGCAAAGTGGTAACTGGAGACCGTGAACAACACGACATGAATTCCGCCCCCGTCTTCAGACATGAGATTAAAGTTTCAATTACATCACACTCTTCAAAACTTCAACTTCAAAGATACTGGCAGGAAGGTTGTTCCTATTGGCGTGGGCTTTATTACCCGGTCATTGTTCTCGTCGAACCCGTCGTTTACGACGAAGAGCTCGGCGGGTAAATTAACCCACAGACACAGCCCACTGAGTTTCTCGCCGGATCTTCTCAGTGTAGGAGTGGATCGCGCTTCCGATCCGGTGGTAGATTCCGCACGGCTCTTGCTAGAGTTCGTGTTAGCAACATCGTCGGGTTTGAGTCCCGTGAGCTCACCTATTCGCCCGGTTACGCTGACATAGCCTCAGAGGTGATCTCTCTGAGTCCCGAAGACCCAGAAGTGTGTTGCGTTTCCACACACACTTTAAGCGATTTTGACGAAATTCCAATATACTTTTATTGCTCAGATTAGACAAGAGTTCGGATGCGCAGTTTAAGAGTAAACATAGCATTTAAAAATTCAGAAACAATTATAAATCGATTTTTGACTTTTACAATTGCGCGAAACTCAAATTTCTTCTATGCAGTCAATAATAAAATGTTTTTCATTAATTCGTTCAATTTTAATCTATTCTTAATTAGACTAACACGATGTTATCTCAGATAAAAGAATTACCTATTTAGTTATAAACAAAAATTCTTACATATTAAGTAAGATTGAATTATTTCTCTTCATTGAATGACAGGTAAGTTTTGTTTTTTTGTTTTTTATTGCCCTTGTAGTCATATGAGCATACGGCCCGCCTGATGGTGAGTGCTTATCGTCCCCATAGACTTCAGGAATGCCAGGGGCAGAACCAGGCCGCTGTCTACCGCTTAACACTCTCCACAAGCCTCGAAGTGAACTTGTCAAAGAAAAATCCTTTTAATACTATTATTCTTTACATTTGTATGCAACAACGCATTGCCTAAAGTATATGTGACATTATTACGTAAATTCGTACGAAGATTTCTAAAGAGCACATCGCTATTCAGGCAAATTGTTAATCAATAGAAATAAACGACCGCCAAGTACAAAGCCCATGTAATTTGAATTAATTCAACGCGTTCTAATTACCGTAATACGTGTACTCGTGGTAAAACGAAGCTACACATTGGGTATCCTAATGCTCTTGGCTCGGTAATGTAATCAGTTGTCTGATTTTTTTTTTTATTGCCTAGATTTATGGACGAGCTCACAGCCCACGTGGTGCTGCGCCACACACCTTGAGATATAAGTTCTAAGGTCTCAAGTATAGTTACAACGGCTACCCCACTCTTCAAACCGAAACGCATTACTACTTCACGGCAGAAATAGACGGGGTGGTGGTACCTACCCGTGCAGACTCACAAGAGGTCCTACCACCAGTAATTACGCAAATTATAATTTTGCGGGTTTCATTTTTATTACACGATGTTATTCCTTCACCGTGGAAGTCAGTCGTGAACAATTGTTAAGTACGTATTTCATTAGAAAAATTGGTACCCGCCTGCGGGATTCGAACACCGTTGCATCGCTATATACGAATGCACCGGACGTCTTATCCTTTAGGCCACGACGACTTAAAATACTTTAAATAACTTGAAACTTTGACCAGACCAGACCTTGTTTGGTGTAACTAATGATTGAGCGGTCGAAATAAACAAAATCACTCTTTTTTTTTCCTACCTATGCTGATAGCCTTGAGAGCTTATTATTATTATTTTTTGCTTAGACGGGTGACCGAGCTCACAGCCCACTTGGTGTTAAGCGGTTCCTGGAGCCCATAGACATCTACGACGTAAATGCGCCAACTACCTTGAGATATAAGTTCTAAGGTCTCAAGTATAGTTACAACGGCTACCCCACCCTTCAAACCGAAACGCATTACTACTTCACGGCAGAAATAGACGGGGTGGTGGTACCTACCCGTGCGGACTCACAAGAGTTCCTACCACCAGTAAATACGCAAATTATAATTTTGCGGGTTTGATTTTTATTACACGATGTTATTCCTTCACCGTGGAAGTCAATCGTGAACAATTGTTAAGTACGTATTTCATTAGAAAAATTTGTACCCGCCTGCGGGATTCGAACACCGTTGCATCGCTATATACGAATGCACCGGACGTCCTATCCTTTAGGCCACGACGACTTAAAATACTTTAAATAACTTGAAACTTTGTCCAGACCAGACCGTGTTTGGTTTAAGTAATGATTGACGGGTCGAAATACAACAAAATCACTCTTTTTTTCCCTACCTATGCTGATAGCCTTGAGAGGTTATTTATTTTTTGCTTAGACGGGTGACCGAGCTCACAGCCCACCTGGTGTTAAGTGGCTACCGAAGCTCATAAACATTTACGACGTAAATGCACTAACTACCTTGAGATATCTAAGGTCTCGAATATAGTTACAACGGCTGCCCCACCCTTCAAGCCGAAACGCATTACTGCTTCACGGCAGAAATAGGCAGGGTGATGGTACCTACCACCAGTAATTACGCAAATTGAAATTATATCAGCGTTACCCTAGCGCAGCCTTTCCCATAGTGGGCGATAACGCTGCAGGCCTAGAGGGGGCGGTAAGAGACCCAGAAAAAATGGGGGCCTGGTGTAGAGGCTTCGGAGGCGATTTTTAATATTCGTCTAGGATGACTCTTAGACACCGATTGAGCTCTCGCTATATTGGTAATTAAAAAAAAATACACAACATGAATACGGGCGCGGGCCTGATATCGGTATTGAATAGCACCACCCCATCTTCTCCTGTGGATATCGTAAAACGCGATTAAGGAATTTACTGGTTTATTATGCTACAGCGTTTTTGGAGCATTTACTTTATCAGAGCGTATTTTAATCCAACACGGGCAGATAAAACCATTTTGCCTGTATCTGTTCCGAAGCAGTCTCGCGTGGGATACCTCCTCTATAATTGGAAGTTCTGATCGAGTCGATTCGAGTCAAGATGGGTCACGGTGACTATGAGCCCAAATTACCACTTAACACCGGGTGGGTCTTTAGATCGTTCACACATCAGATAGAAAAAACAACTATAAATTATTTACTTTGACACTAAAATGTAGTTAATTATAATAGTTCGTTGAACTCGAACAACAGAGGGCGTTTAGATACAATAATTATATTCAATTCTTTAATAAAATAATTACAACAGATAATACGATATTGGCTGTTATTGTTAATAAGGTTCTGTACGTTTTTGTGACCATTGAGTTCTAAATTCCTAAGCCGTTACAGTCTTGGGTCCGAGCTGATGATATCGGCGGATCCATTGTTGCCATTGAGGATAATCTAAATAAATTACGACTGTGTCCAATCTTTTAGACCTTTTTGCTTATAGAATGGCTAATTTCCTGGTGGCTCGGAGGATTTTCCATCTTCACCTAAGGGTAAGGCTTGCTGGCAGGTGCCCGAGCGTGCCAATGAAGGACCTTATAAGATAAGGAGGCCAGTCGAAAAGATTCCACGACAAGCTTACAGTACGCTAAGAGTCACTTCGATGAGTACAGTAGCCTGAGCTATGGCCAATGGTAGGGTTAGACCCAGTGTGCTCAGTGCATGTTTTTAACGTTCTCGATAGCGTAAAAGTTAACTCAAAATTTTATATAGTTGGAACAGCTACCTACGTTTGCCACTAGGGGCGCTGTTCCAACTGCATACAGATTTCAATTAACTTTTACGTTATCGAAAACGTTAAAAAACTCGCACTAAGCACAGAGACGAACAGAACTCATCGTTGGTGACATGTACACAAATGTACGCTCAAATTTCTACAAAAAACGTCTCCTTTTTTTGACATTGTGGGCGAACTTGGGTAAGCATGCAAAGTGATTGCGCGGCATGAAACGATGCTAGTACCGAGACGTCTTCACTCTTCCCAAGGCAGACAACGAATGTGTTTCGATTCCACTCGGGCGATGACATCTAAAGTCTGCCGAAGCACATAACCCGAACCGAACCGACGTTTGACGCGTAGTTGCGACTCTCACCCACTAGATGGCGCGTTTTCATGTCGTGTCCGGATGCGACATATATATATATATGGCTATGTTATATTTTGTATTCCCTTTTATGAAACGACAAGCGGCCCGCACCAGCTCCGCTTGGGTCTTTAACAAAAATTTCAACGGTATTTGACGTTGTTTTATTTTTTTTGAATAAAGTAACACTTGTTGCGGCATAACTATAATAGTTAGACATATGCTGGTGCGACACTTTTTGTAAATAAAAATGTGTTCTACAAAGTCGTAGTAAATTATTTTATTCTATCGTCAATAGTTTTCGCAGGGCACGCGATGTAAAAATATTTTAGGTTATTTTTTAATACCTTGGGTTACATTATTGGAGTTTTAGTAAGGTACCCTAATTTTTTTCAAAAAAGATTGTAGTCTATGTCGCTCGGGAATAGTGTAGCTTCCAAACAAACAAATCTTTCCTCTTTATAATATTAGTATAGATTAATATAGATAAATCACGAATATAAGTAATATCCATAATTCAAAACAGAACCCAAATAATAAACACGCTATTTTCCTTTTTTTATCGGAAACAAACAACTGTAAATATTATTATGTGCAGTGATAATACTTATTTTATTTCACGTTGTGTTTTCAAAGCAGTGGCATTTGGAATCTAGACAATGTCTCAAAAAGTGGCTATTATTATTAACGGGACTAATATTTTGGGTCTTGCTATTGTTAAAGCTTTAAGTGAAAAATTAAATGGCACTGTTTATTTCACCGCCTCGAATGAAGAAGAAGGGTTAAAAGCTACAGAAAATTTGAACAACATTGGTTTGTATCCAAAATTCCTCCTCGCACGAATCACTGACAAGCCCGCTCTAAAAGAAATTGCAGATACAATTCAAATGAACCATGGCAGCTTTGATATATTAATAAATAATACGGAGGACTTAAAGCAATGTGAAGATTTTCCAACTTACGAAGAAGCTAAAAATGTTATTGATTTACAATACAAAAGTTTATTAGTTGTAGAGCAGTATTTGTTTCCTCTACTAAAAGATGGCGGTAGAGTCATCAATGTCACAAATGCATATGGTCATCTTTCGAACATAAAGAATGACAAATGGATCAAAACCCTTACGGCTCCAGATTTAACGGTAGAACAAATTGATAATTTGTTTGTAGATGAGTACTTGCGAAGCTTAGAAAATGGAAAGTTCAATAAAAAATGGTTCACTGATGACGGGAAAATTGCGGAATATAAAATCTCAATGGTTGCTCGGACTGCCTTAACGTTTGTGTGGCACAATAAATATAAAAGTAGAAATATTTGCGTTAATGCTGTTTATCCTAGATTGTTGGCTTCAGATATGGAAAGCGCTGAAGAGTCAATCAAAGCTATCCTATATCTAATTTTCGAAGCCTCGCCAAAGTTAACTGGAACTTTTATGTGGCATAACAAGAAACTAATTGACTGGTACGATACAGAAAGTGATTATTCGTGTAAAGATGTTACCTTAGAGTAAATAAGTTTTTTCATTGTTTCTAAAGTAATATACTGTCAAAATTTTTATTTTACTAAATCTATATATCCTTATTTCAAAGTAATTTATTAAGTACTAAATTCTGCGTCAATAGGAACAGCTTTTGACATCGATCGCAGGTGACAGCTTCAAAAAGTTACAGATTATTGACAATTCGATTCATTCAAGTTTCAAATTACAATACATTCAGAATTTCCTTCACCACGAAACTTCTTTGATGATTCAATAAATTATAAATTAAAAACACGAGCCGAAACATCCTACAAATTTAATTAAAAATCTAGGGTGTCTTGAAACTAATTTCCGGTGAAAAAAACAGTGCTACTCATTTTAAATACTTCAAAAAATTATTAGGTAAGTTTTCAGTGCATTTTTGAAATGTAAGCCTTTCACGTTGCGTTTGTTTGAGTAAATGAGTAAAAAGATATTTTCTCGTTTGCGTCTTCAAACAAACAATAAACCAAGATTCGTTGCTACAAGCTGTCAAATCTATAGCAAAATGCGGAATCAGTTTTCACATAAGATTTATGCCTTGACCTACCTACAATTCATTAACATATCATATCATATGCTAAATACTTGCAAAAAATTTGTCTGCAGAGTTTTTGGAGTGTATTTGTTTTTTAATGTGATGTGTACATTGATTATTGCTGTAAAGAAATAACAATTTTATTTTGGGGTCTGAAACCTTGACTTCTGTGCGATGTTTCGTAATATAGATACGAAAAAAATATCTAATGTACAAGAACATTGGATGTTTATTTTAATTGGATTTTTATAATCATAAAAGTTTTTAAGCAAAGTGATATTTTATGCTATTTAAAATTATATCAATGTATAAAACACTAAAAAAGTGAAAAAGTGAAGCTAAAGAAAAATATGCCAAGAAAAGTGATGTGACACTGTTGACTTAACCATGTTTTTAGCTCGGTCTACCAGACCGATGGCACAATTTGCCGCTCAAGCAGCACTGCGTTCTCGCTGGGGCTCTCTGATTGAGTCAACCAGCATCGACGTACCAGGCGAAGTTACCGATGGTGTCCGATCAGTAGTGGGATGGCTAAAACAGGCACAGTTTTGATTTAAAACTCTATAATTGTTGTTTAGTCTTGGCTATTATGTTGGGAATGGCTTGGTTTATTCTTGATGTTGTTTCTTTATTGAGAATCATCAATACATTACAACTATAACTTTGAGAATTAATCATAAATAAACAAAACCCAGCACTTAAATTAAACATAAAATAGTAAATAACAAAACAGTATCTATGACTTTAAAAAATATTTAAGTTAATTATTTTTAAATTCTGCATTACTCAATGATATTATTACAAATTCAATCTACTACTACTGCTAAGGAACATAGACCTCATATCTAACCTTATCTGTGGCACCCGCACAACTTCTCCGAGCTAAGTGGTTAGACCATATAATTTTAAATATCGATTCTCAATACAGAAACATTCTTAGATTGATGTTGTAGATAATTTATGAATATATTTTTAAAGAACCACAAATATTGTTTCATTGAAGCTTACTGTGTCAGTATATTACTTAGTAGCACATAATTTAATTATCTGATTTATTGTATATACACTGATTTAGACATGACAAGTTATTCTCCATATGTGTAAACATGGTCGTGTTAATTTTGTTTGGAATTGTATTTTGTACTTTTTAGTATTCCATGGTCACCATTTTTGTCCATGCGTATGCAAGTATCAATGAAATCATTAGTAAACTTTGTAGAAAATATTTTTTTTGTGAACAAAATAACTGGTGTTATTATCAGCCATTGTGAGAGTTCTACTTTGCATTTCCAACTCCGCAGACAGCGTTCATGCTTTGTACTCGATGAGCTATAGTAACCATCTAATAAGTGGTGGATCGTGAGTGCTCATTGATTCCTCCCGGTCACCTGTTAGCAACACCTCAGGTTTGAGCCCCAAGAGCTCACCTACACGCTAGGATAATGCTGATATAGTTTCTCAAGGCTATTAGCATAAAAAAAAAAAGATTCCTTACAAAGGGCATCTAAAATACTAAATTATTAAAAAAGCTATAAAATATATCATTAAAAGCTATAAATTTTCACATTATTGTTACTGTTGAATAATGCATGACATTCTACTATACACATTGTTTTATCATTGCACATGAACGAGTAGTTTGACTATGTCATCGTCATTATATCCTTAAAGCTCCCCATGACTTTATTCATATATAACTACAGAAAACATGAACAGGTCAACAAACAGTAGGCATCAGGGAAGTTTTTTAGCGAGCATACTCCAACAAGGTCATAACTCTTATAATATAAAAATAACGTTTCTATAAGAACTCCATTCACTGTGGGAATGTTAACAAGTTAGTCTTAAATTAGTAAAAAATTAAGGATAAATGTTGAATTAGCCGTCTATGTTTCTACTGTTGCCGATGTTTGAGTTGAGGAAAATTACTCCGGATCATTTTCAAAGGTCTATCTTAGTTAAGTCGGTCGATAGCAAAGTAGACCATAGAGTCTTGGACCACATACGGTTTTGAGACGACTGCTTCTTGAATTCTAGACTATATAGATATAAACCATGTTATTATTATTATAATGTATAGATATCATACGAATATCTTAAATACGATTTTTATTTTTATTTTGTTAAAGGGTGATTTGTAATCTGTGTTAACACAAATAATACTTTTTATCATAATGAATGACATGACCTGGACGACGCACAGTGGGACGAAACTATGATTTTAGTGACTTATGGACTAACTTTGTATTTTAACATTTTTCTATATGTGGATAGATAGAGCTCGTTAATCATAATAATTATTGTTATGGGTAAAAAATTACAAAAAATTATAGTTTGGGCAGAAAAATGTGTTTAAGTGATTTTTTTGTATGGAGCTGATTAAATTAAATTTAATCCCCTTTTTCAACCCGTGTCCACCCAATGTCAGCATTGAGTGGACACGGGTTGAAAAAGAAGAAAGGTGTGTAGGTCTCCTCGAATGCTCACCATTCTCTTCGGTCACTTGCCTATCTCATCCAATCCCTACCAACTACTTTGACCAGGTCATCGGTCCACCTCGTTGGCTGTCTGCCCGCGTTACGACGTCCAGTACGAGGTCTCCACTCCACTTTGACAATTGACACCGTTAATAACGTAATTCTGAGCTGAAGTTGTTCGCTCGTCGACAAGCCCAACTATATTAAAAATATTCTTGCCTAATAATAGGGACAGCGTGAATGAGGACAACCTTAATCTGGAAACTGGTCATATGGTATGCCGGGAATTTCGCTATTTCTGTCTTAAGGCAGTTAGTTATGCGTTCCAATTTGAAGGGTGGGACGGTTATTACTTAATTGCTGTCAAGATACCGACTTTAAGGTACTTACAATAAGCGTGAGCGTCTTGAAATCTGTAGCTAAGGAATTGGCTGTGCCCCTGGCATTGCTGAAGTTTACGAGGAACCGTAAACATTCACCATCAGAACAGCGGTGTGCTCGTTCTGTCTAGCATCGCAATGAAATAAATCTCAAGCCTATGAGCTCCAGCAACCATTTGACGCTCACTCACAACATCTGACCATATTTGGAAAGAAAAATAACCAGTTTAGCATAGTTAACTCTTAAATTGATCACAAAAACAACTTAACAGCAATTGCTCAGCTTAGATGCTCAGCAAATTTGTAGCCACTTATAAAGGTCTCTTACAGTATTTTGAAGCGCTACCCAACGCCGTATTTTATACTTTGCCACAGACACAGATTGTGAACAGTATAGTACACTAAGACTTCGCGTGCTTTGCGTGATCTTGATGATTTGAAACTAACGTGGCCATGATTCGGCCGAAGGAGATCGGCACATGCACGTATGATTGTACCAATTCTTTAAAACTATACACATCCAGAAATACAATGAAGCACTGGACAAAGTCAATAGAGTCGCCATCGCATCTATTTTTAACAATAAATTAGTAAACCCATAGATCTTTTTAAATTAGGAACTAGTGAAAGGTTAGGTTATGAAATCCCATGAGAATATGTCCACTATAGATGTAAAGCAAGCACATTGGTAGCTAGTTTTTTACTTAGTGCACGTTTTTGGCTCACAACAAAACATACTTTAATTATATGTAAATTGGATATAAAATAGCTACACGTGGCCCCCCTAGCTAGAGATAAATTGGCGTGACCTTCGTTCCGAGTCGGGGGACCGACCGTCAGACCTTGTGGTTATATGATTGTCGCATCATACGCTCAAAACTCGTAGAGAGGTATGCTGTACGCTCGAAGGATGTCTATATTAGCTTTACAAAAGCAGATAAGTGATGTGCGTTTACTACGTTTTATTAAAAGTCAAGCTTAAAGTCCGTGGTTGTTTCGTCTGAAAACTTTTAAACGATTCTGCCGTGATCGGTAATGGCATGTTTCTGTCATTGACATAGAAGCCCATGGAAGGCAGCGAGTGAAATTATTATTATTCAAAAGCTCACTTTGCGAATGCTACTCGATTAGCAAGTCTAATGAGCTCAAACTCGATTGGTTTTACGAGGAGTTCCGTCACCCACATTCCAGGTTCTGTATCAGATAAATTCGCTACCACGCTATTTTACTGTCATCAAAAATGCACACGACCCCCAATTGTCGTAATGTTACCACAATTAACCCCAACAGATTCATTAATACATTGTTAAGAAGTCAATTATGTATATGTATAGTATGTCTATGGGCTGGTCCCAGGCGTCGCCCAAATCCTTCAAGCCACTACATGTAGACAATCTTTAGCATAAAATGCATGATCTTTGTGATACAATGAAAGCTTTGAGGGGTCCCCGGCAAAGCATATCTACGATAAGTTGCACACTATGCACGCCCAACGGCAAACGATAGCTTCCAAAGCTATAAGCTAAAGCTGCCTATCGTCCATTCCAAATACGTTACGGTAACATATTAAGTAAATTTTCAGGCTTCACTCGAAGTGCGTCAAGTCGGAAGGCGTGCAGTGAACCAGCTCGCGGGACGAGGGATGGGCGATGAGGTCATCATCATACACTTCAACGATGTTTACAACATTGAACCGACGACGAGTAAGTATTTTTATTAATGCACAATAAATAATGCGTATGTTGAGATGGGAAACTGATATCCCGGTAGATGACGTTCGATTTTAGACCCAGGTGTCGGATTTTATAACACGAACAACTGAGAAAACTTCGTTTGGAACATCTGGGTCTGCGGAGGGACTTCGGTTCCCTCTGTATTTTGTACCGTATGTTCCATGGGGAGTGCTCTGAGGAATTGTTTGAGATGATCCCTTCATCTCCTTTTTATCATCGCACCTCCCGCCATCGGAGCAGAGTTCATCCATATTGTCTGGAACCGCTGCGTTCATCGACAGTGCGTTTCCAGAGGTCTTTTTTGCGACGCACCATCGGGCTATGGAATGAGCTCCTCTCTACGGTGTTTCCCGAGCGCTATGACATGTCCTTCTTCAAACGAGGCTTGTGGAGAGTATTAAGCGGTAGGCAGTGGCTTGGCTCTGCCCCTGGCATTGCTGAAGTCCATGGGCGACAGTAACCACTCACCATCAGGTGGCCCGTATGCTCGTCTGCCTACAAGGGCAATAATAAAAAAAAATCATGATTCCTCATTTGTACAAGCCAATAACTGCATCTCATTTACAAACAGTACGGGAGTGGAATTGACCAGCTTTCGCTGTAAACACGTGCTTCTAGTACTATGTCTAGTAAATTATCTATTTCGCCAGTTACTACGAACTCACATCAGTATGCTTAGTGCGAGTTTGTTAACTTCTCGACCGCGTAAAAGTTAACTCAGATTTGTATGGAGTTGCAACAGTCTCCCTACGTTTGCCGCTAGTGACTCTGTTCCAACTCCATACAAATCTGAGTTAACTTTTACGTGATCGAGAAGTTAATGAACTCGCACTAAGCACACTGATGTGGCTTCGTACCTATTCATCACATAGAATGTTCCAAAAAGGCTTATGAGAGTTACGGTAGACATTGGCGCAGCTCTGTCCTCGGGCTACCTATGTGGGCGATGGAAACTAGTTTGCCTATTGAGGAAACAAAAAAATAAACAAGTATTGACATGTTCTGTTGTTAGAACAGATCCAGCTCAGAGGCGTTGCGTGATTACAAATTGTTTGTATTGCTCGTAAGATTTCTTTAATTTAAGGATAAATTTATAAATTTTTTATTTATTTATTGCTTACATTGGTAGACGAGCTCACAGCCCACATGGTGCTAAGTGGTTACTGGAGCCCATGGACATCTACAACGTAAATGCGCCACCCACCTTGAGATATAAGTTCTAAGATCTCAGTATAGTTACAACGGCTGCCCCGCCCTTCAAATCGAAACGCATTACTGCTTCACGGCCGAAATAGGCAGGGCGGTGGTACCTACCCACGCGGACTCACAAGATGTCCTACCACCAGTAAATTTATTTGAACAAAATTATTTTAAATTTTATCTGAAAAGATTTTCAAAAACGCCCTAAACTGACGTTGTGGTTCAATTTGATGACAATGAAATCCAACAGGAGAATCTCCAGCTGGTAAGATAGTTCGCGCGCGATCTGGCATAGACGGGACCACAATCGTACCTATCGATTCCACAAAGCCATATTAATTTACGTTCAGGAGGACGACTGAACCAATTTAATTGGGACTCTTAATGTTATGTCTCAAAAATGGCTGCGGAATCCAAGACCAAGGGGGATGTGAATTCAGTTGTCTAAATTAAACAAAATGAGGTAGAAAACAGTAGATAATAGAGAAATTTATTTTTATGTATGTAAGGAATAAAATTTATTTTTGTATATTTTCTTCGGTCTACGAGAAAAGTAGACCTAATTTGAAGTACTTTTACGGTCCAATTTTGTGCTTTTTACTTTTCTTACATTTCAAATATACTGCACAACCGACTTAGGTGTTATTTATAGCCATTTCAATAATGCTCTCATATGCTCATGTCCACAATATTCAAACGTGATATTAAACCGTAATAGTAGTTTTGATTATACTAGAGGTCCCGCAGTAGTCGAAATTCGACTATAATTAATTGGAAGTTTGTACACTATTATAATTGTATTTTATACATCTATAATCACAAATTTCGCCAAGGCTACTCTATGAAAAAATATTAATAAAGACAAACAATATTTAATCTATTCCCAATTTGACCACAGACGTGAAGAACAAAAGTTTGACAATAAATAGTATGCATGCGTGTGTGCGTCAACTACACGGTACGTAGTGTATTTTATAATATAATATAATATTTTCTTTTTTGATTTATTGTATCTTTTATGCATTATTTTAAAAATATATTAGCATTGTGCACTTCTTCTCTATGTTCTCTATAAGTGTAGGAAATTTCATGCTCCTCCGTCCGCGCAATTTTCGTAAAATGGGATACAAAGTTTTTGCTTCACGTATTTATATATAGATTATATATAGATACTCGTATATGTTTGTATGTATAGAGGTATATGTTCTGGTTAAGCGCGTTACGTCAAGGTAATTGACATTCCTTAATTAGACGTAGCTGTCGTAGTGAATATGTAATTAGCGACGTGTACAATAACTAGGCAACTCATGTGTTTTTTTGGACCAGTTGACTTTTCTTTTGTTGAAACGCGAGTTATTTTTTTTAATTGCCGTTGTAGGTAGACGAGCATACGGCTCACCTGGTTGTGAGTGGTTACCGTCGCCCATGGCCTTCAGCAATGCCAGGGGCAGAGCCAAGCCGCTGCCTACCGCTGTTAAGATTCAAAATTCTTGTATTATCATCAAAGGTAGCTTAGTCCAGTCCAGACGTTAGTAACCAAACAGCTACTGCCATTCATGGACATTAATCACAAAACAGAAATACAGATGAGCTGCTTTATAACCAATAAGGACTCTTAACTACCCTATAGCTAAGGATATAGCGTGGTAGCAACACTGCTGTGAGGTACTCAGTCTGGATCCGGATGATACGCGATGAAAATCATCTCTAGAAATATGCTGTAAACGGTTATGTCTCCAGAGAATAGGCATAATATAGGCACCGTATGGCGAACTGTGAGATTTTCAAAAGAGGGCGACGGATCTTGCCACATAGATACAGAACTGACACATCTGTTGAACGGAGAAAGCAGTTGTGACCTTAACACTAGGTAGAAGTGGCTTTATCCACAGTGCAGGGTGTGGTTGTGGCGGTTTTAGGGGGCGCCGGACTCGGCACTTAATACGCCCGTTACATTTGTACCTATTGCATTTTGATCGTACTCTTACTAGAGGGTGCTAAGGTGACTGCACACAGGCGCTACACAGGCTTTTCCCTGTACGTGTCCAAAGGCACGCACAAGAATTGCATTCATCTTGATAATCAAACAAAAAACAACTGATATGCATCTAACAAAAAGGCTTTGTACAGGGAAAAACTCAAATATACTAAGGACTACTTCAGTATAAATTAAATACATTGTTCAAAAATTATCCTTGTTATTTTAAACCGACTTCAACGAGGAGTTTCTCAATTTAGAGCGTATGTTTTTTTTTATAACACTCTATTTTTGAAGTAAACTGTTATTCTGTTTGTTAAGTAACTTCCATTGTTCCATCTAGCGTTCGTTGATTCGTTTTACCATTCTCGACGCTTCTACGACTGCGGATGTGACTAAGACAGCTGTGAAACAAATATTAATCGCTTCATTCCAGCCACGGAACCAGTGGGGGGTGCACTGAGATTCAGTACGGCTGTCAAAGCGTTGCAGCATTTGAATCCTCTGGTGTTATTCAGCGGGGATGTTTTCTCGCCGAGCATGTGTAAGTGTACTCAAAAATATCTTGTTTAAGTAAGAACTGGATCTGCATTGAAACGAACGTATGCTCCTATTTATTTGGATACGGATACTGGAGCAAATATGTACATACCATACGATCTAGATAGATATAAATATAAAAAATCGGTTTAAAATTCATTATTAAAATAATTGTCAATCCTTCAAAGCCACATAATAGACATATGCTTTGTTATTTAAAAATTACAATAAAATTAGTTTTAGATTTGAAACAGGGGAATACGAAATTTCTATAGAATATTGTTATACATAGATGACCTTGCATTATCTGTTAATATGCAACAGTCAGGTTAAGGCAGCTATAGGCTCAAGAGTTTTCGCACTCATATTTTTTGATACTGCCATAATTATAGCCAGTCCATATTTCAAAGGGAATAAATGCATAGGTGTGTTTTGTAAAAAAAAAAAAAAAGGTGTGTTTTGTAAAGACACATGGCTATAAAGACCCTGTTTGGTTTCTATTTATATCTCGTCTATTTAGGCTTCCAAATCACTTTATTTTACAGTTTTGATGATACTTAATTTGTGAATCAAGACAAAAAGTAATAATGGTGGTAAATGAATACCAATTATTTCGAGCGAATGGTATATTGATGGACGTTTTCATCCACAGTGAGCACGTTCACGAAAGGGGAACAAATGGTGCCTGTATTGAACGAAATAGGAACGCAATGTGCCGTATTCGGGAACCATGACTTCGGTAAGTCATTTTACAGCAGACGAACCAAGTTACTGTGAAGCCTGGTGTTTGTTATCATAAGGGATCTGAAGGTGCACAACCCAGAGGAGTAGGACGTGGACGCCACAGACTACATAAGGAACTGCCACTCTCCACTAGTCGGAGATCCAGAGGAAGACCAAACGAGCAGGAAAGTGTAGTGCTAAATATTAACGGAAATTGGTTAGAACGAGTTTTCGAGTCAAAATCATGAACATATCAAAGTTAAAGCGCCACTAAACTACCACTGTCTATTAGTCAAGTTTAAAATACTGATTTAAACCATTTGTGTTGCCAGATTTCGGTCTAGAAGTCCTGTCGGGCTTAGTAGCCCAATGCAAGTTCCCGTGGTTAATGTCCAACGTGATTGACAACGAGACTGGTAGACCTCTCGGTGATGGACGAATAACGCACCCTTACATCGCTAACGGACACAAGATCGGCCTCATAGGTCTCGTGGAACAGGTAAACGTTCTTTGAGGGTAGTTGCCACAGTTGGACCAACCTATGATGACCCGTTCACTTTTTAGGGTTCCATTGACCATACGGTATGTCACAGATATATTTCTCTAAAGAATTGAAATTGAAAGTAATAATAATGATTTGAGAATTCGCTCTTATATCTCAAGATGGGTGACGACTTATAGGCTGTGATATCTGTGGGCTCATACCCACTAAATATCAGCTCGGGTGTGAGCTCACCGACATAAAAAAAATTCAATCCGAAATCTTCACTTCTCACGTAGGTCATTGACCCCGCGTGTCATCTAAATATTTGTATTACATTGCTTGCATTATTAAAAAAATATTGGCCACAATGCTACTACAAACTGAACTTTATTGTTACTCTATAAATTCGAGATTCAACTAACGGTAGGCAGCGGCTTGGCTCTGCCCCTGGCATTGCTGACGTCCATGAGCGACGGTAACCACTCACCAAGAGTTTGGCCGTGTGCTCGTCTGCCTACAAGGGCAATAAAAAAAAAAGATTATCATGAAATTTGCTACAGAGCGCTACCTTGTATAAACAGGAGCTAAACGATAAATGCTGTAGTTGTAACTATACTGAGACCTTAGAACTTATATCTCAAGGTGGGTGGCGCATTTACGTTGTAGATGTCAATGGGCTCCAGTAACCACTTAACACCAGGTGGGCTGTGAGCTCGTCCACCCAACTAAGCAATAAAAAAATGTATGTTTGTGAGCATTGTGTCTACCACAGGAATGGCTCGAAACCCTGGCCACCATCAACCCCGAAGAGGTGACTTTCATAGACTTCCTCCAGGCTGGATCGAAACTGGCCTCGCAGCTGAAACAAGAGGTAACTCCTGTCTTTTATTTTAACAAGCGTAGATTCAGTTAGAACAGCTAGGGACTCGATGAGTGAAAAGAGACAAAAATATAAATATATAGGACTGAGTCTGCGAGAACCGAAATCTTGTAGTGTTTTTTGGCCACCTTTTTGCCAATAGCCTGGAGGAGCTATTCTGGCTTCACTTGACTCACGGAACTCTTTACTGATGGTAGAACCTCTTGTGAGTCCGCACGAGTAAGTACCACCACCCTGCCTAATTCTGCCGTGAAGCAGTGGTGCGTTTCGGTTTGAAGAGCGGGGCAGCCGTGGCAGAACTTATATCTCAAGTGGGTGGTGCATTTACGTCGTAGATGTCTATGGGCTTCAGTAACCACTTAACATCAGGTGGGCTGTGAGCTCGTCCACCCATCTAACAGACTTGGAGGACTTGCTAAGATCTCCTCCAGCAGGAGCAGTGCTTCGCTGAATCTACCACCGTATCGGATTCGCTGAGGAGATCCGGTGAGGAACTCAGTGGATTGGCGTAGGTAACGTACAATGATTGTTTGTTCCAGGGCTGTGAGTACGTAATAGCTCTGACACACATGAGAACGCCGAACGACATTAAACTGGCCGAGGGCTGTCCCGACATCGACCTCATACTCGGCGGACACGACCACGTCTATGAAGTCCTTGAGGTTAGCGCACTGAACTCGTCGGCTTTGTAGCATGGACATCACTAGACTCTAACCTAAACATCAGACCGCTGAGTTTCTCGCCGGACCTTCTCAGCGGGTCGCGATTTCGATCCGGTAGTAGATTCATTCGCGAAGCAGTTGCTCTTGAGTTGTTAGGTCTCCTTGGAGGCGCTCAGGCAGCTGTTAGCAAATCCCACCCCTCCTGGCTGAGCCCTTGCTCGCCCACTTGTCCTGGTGAAACTTGAAAGTGCTCCGGGCCACCGGTAATCCCTCAATCATTAAAAAAAACATCGCTAGAAACAGCCAAACGCTGTCTACGGCTTTATAGGACCTAGAATACTGGTGGTAACGGCACGGGTAGGTACCACCAGCCTGCCTGGTGCTGTCGCATCTTGAAGAAGTGGTACCATAGCGTGGAGACTTCGACTGACTCGATAGTGCACTGATGGTGACTGTGGTGCCGAGGGTCGTGGGTTCGATTCCCGCATCAGGCAAACATTGTGTGATGGACATGTTTGTTTGTTCTCTGTCTGAGTGTTTATTATCTATATGTGTTTTTTTATTTTTATTTTTTATTGCTTAGATGGGTGGACGAGCTCACAGCCCACCTGGGGTACTGGTTAAGTAGGTACTGGAGCCCATAGACATCTACAACGTAAATGCGCCCCACCTTGAGATATAAAGTTCTAAGGTCTCAAGTATAGTTACAACGGCTGCCCGACCTTCAAACTGAAACGCATTACTGCTTCACAGCAGAAATAGGCAGGGTGGTGGTACTTACCCGCGCGGACTTACAAAAGGTCCTACCACCAGTAATATGTATATATTTAAACGTATATAGGTATGTTCGTCAATCTCTGGTACCCATAACACAGGGAATCCTAAATTGGACCCGGATGACCGTGCGTGATTTGTTGCCAGTTATTTAAAAAATGTATATTTTAGATTTCGATCTCAAACTGACCGTCGGCATTTACGTTGTCTATGGACAACTTAGCAGTAGATGGAAACTCATTAATTCATCTCATAATAATAATATTAAAAACTGGTTAAATTGATGTCAAGTCAGAATGGAATGCTTAACAAGACGGTCTACCCGCAAAAAACTTTAATTGCAGATAAACAACACGTATATAGTGAAAAGCGGCACGGACTTCCGTCAGTTCTCTAAAATCAGCATATCGTTCAAGGGCGAAGCGCCCAAAGTGGAGATAACCGAAGTCCCGGTGACCAGCTCGTATCCCGAAGACGAGGTGCTCAAAGCTAAAGTGGAGAAGTATTCAGGTAACGCTGGGCAGAAATAGGCAGGGCGGTGGTACCTACCCTTGGTAAACCGTCAGCTTGTTGAGCCATATAAGCAAAACTAAATTTAAGTATTTTTGTTTTAGCAATGATCGAAGGTAAAATGGACGAGGTATTGGGCAAGTTCAGCGTACCGTTGGAAGGTCGTTTTTCGTACATCCGCCGCATGGAGTGCAACCTCGGCAACTGGGTCACGGACGTGCTGCTGGCGGCCACCGGGGCCGACCTCGTCGTTCTGAACTCGGGAACCTTCCGATCCGACCAGGTCAGTAGCCAGATAGACCGGACTCACTACGACCTCTCCAACTTAAAGCTAATTTTTATTTATTGCTTAGATGGGTGGACGAGCTCACAGCCCACCTGGTGTTATGTGGTTACTGGAGCCCATAGACATCTACAACGTAAATGCGCCACCCATCTTTGAGATATTAGTCCTAAGGTCTCAGTATAGTTACAACGGCTGCCTCGCCCTTCAAACCGAAACGCATTACTGCTTTACGGCAGATATAGGCAGGGTGGTGGGACTCACAAGAGGTCCTACCACCAGTAAAGACGCAAATTATAATTTTGCAGATTTGATTTATATTACACGATATTATTCCTTCACCGTGGAAGTCAATCGTGAACATTTGTTGAGTACGTATTCATTAGAAAAATTGGTACCCGCCTGCGGGATTCGAACACCGGTGCATCGCTAGACATGAATGCACCGGACGTCTTACCCTTTGGGCCACGACGACTTCAGCTCCTCGTTAATAAACAGAATAGTTTATTTTGAAGTGATAAATCACTGCTCCCTTGCCGTTAAAATGTATCTGTGGTCCATAGACATCATAAACTCGGGCAACAACAAGCAATGGCAAGATGCTTATATCTGTTTTGACAATAATCTCAAGCAAGCTTAAATAACGATAAGCTTTTCAATATTTTTGCATTGATGAACGAATTAATGGTCCACCTGATGTTATGTGTGTACCGAACCTCCTTGAGACATGAGGTCTAAGTATCAATTCAATAGTAAAACGCAGTTGCATGCAGTTCCGTTCGAACACTTCGGACGGAACTGCATGACTGCTTTGCAGCAGAAATAGGCAGGATAATAATAGCTACCCGTGCAGACCACCGATGTGCCCTACCAACAGTAACCGCACCCTCCCATCTCAGGTACATCCAGCTGGCGACTTCACTTTACGCGACCTATCCACCATTATACCGATGCGGGATCCGCTCGTGGTGGTGGAAGCCAGCGGCGATGTCATCCTCCAGGTCCTGGAGAACTCTGTCAGCAAATATCCGAGTCTGGAGGGAAGATTCCCTCAGGTTTGTAAAAGTTACGCCGGATTTTCTAGTTAAAGGACTCGAAAAAACAACTAGGATTAACTTGAAGTTAATTTTTTATTTATTTTTTTACTGCTTAGATGAGTGGACGAGCTCACGGCCATGGCGTTAAGTGGTTACCGGAGACGTTGTAGATGTCTATGGGCTACCCATCTAAGCAATAAAAAACAATAGTTTAAAAAAACTAATAAACTACGCATTTATAGAAAATCCAACTAAAAAATAAAAAAGCGTGGGATGCACGGTATCAGTAGTTATAAATATTTTATGAACAGATATGAGTAGAACGGTTATTTTGATAATATCCTGAAAAGCATCTCACGCTTTTTTTACAATAAAATTATTCTTTCTTACACTATTTTTAATTCAAATTTATTTCTTCTATAAAAATTCTATAAAAGCGTATTTTGTTAGTTTTTTTTTAACTATTATTTATTTTTCATTTTTTAGTTGAATTTCAATTTTTTTGTTTTCAATTTTTTTAAATATTGAATTGTCATCGATCCTTAATAAGTATACCAAATTTCGAGTGAATCTGATGTTTTGAAGGGGGTCAAAATCGTGTTTAAAGATTCCGTTACATACTAACATACATACGTCTGAAGCTAATACAAGCGTATTAAATACATAAATAATAGTTTAAAAAAACTAAAAAACACGCTTTATATAAAATTCAACTAAAAAATAGAAAATAACTTTTAATAAATTTAAATTGAAAATAGTGTAAAAAATATATATTTATTTTTCATTTTTTAGTTTTTTTTTGCGAATTTAATAATTTAATAAATCTTATCAAATTAGTGTATTGTTATCGATCCTCGATAAATCTACAAAGTTTTAATGAAATCCGACCGTTTAAAGTGGGTCAAAATCGCATCTAAAGGAGTCAGTTACAAACATACAAACATACATACAAGTGAAGCTAATAAAAGCGTATTTAAAAAAAACCCCGATTGCTTTGTGGGCGCAGGTTGCCGGTGTCTCATTCGCGTTCGACCCGTCGCTGCCCCCGGGGCGGCGCGTGGCTGAGCACGTGGTGAAGGTCGGAGACGAGTATCTGCAGCGCGCCCAGCGGTACCGCCTCGCCGTCAAGCAGTACCTGCGCGCCGGCAACGACGGCTACAACATGCTGCCCTCCTGCAAGCTTCTCGTGAGTTGCACACACCACTACTTTTTGAAGTGACACTTCTAACACGACTTCCAACAAGGTTGCGTTAAACGTTTAACGCTACCATACTAGAAACAGAGACCGAGAGTGAGTACTGCTGTTCCAATGACGACAGCACTGTCGAAGCGTATCTGTAATCCTGGTAAACAAATTCGATTTTTGAAGTAAAACTTCTAATGCGACTTCCAACAATGTTGCGTTAAACATTCAACGCTTCTGGGGAGGGGGATTAAAAGAGAGAGCGAGAGTGAAAGCGAGTAGTATACCTGGTACAGGCCAGCGCGAGCGTTAGCAGCGAGTAGCGTCCAATGTTTTCATGTAGTATTTAGAAAAAAATAATTTCTTTTTCTATCGATAACTTAAAAAATATATAATATAAATGTTGAAGATGTCGCATCTCTTATACACAGCATTCCCTATTACAAGAGCAATCTGATTAAAGGATGAAAAATGAAGAAAACCACAATACTACACATCGAAAAAGAAGTTTCACTTCATTCACGTGCACTAAGTTGCACGCGATTTTTTTTCCTACTTATTCTAGTAACCTCGAGGGGTTATTCTAGATTCACCGAGCTAGAGACCGAGTAGGTGAGCTCACGGGCTCAACCTGAGAGAATTTGCTAACACTAGTCCTAGCAAGAACAGTACTTCGCTGAATCTAACACCGGATCGGAAACGCGGCCCACTGAGAAGATCCGTGATTGTTCCTCTATACGAGTAGAATAAATTGATTATTTTATTATGAATAATTCGTGATTATCCCCTCTATACGAGTAGAACAAATCGATTATTTTATTATGAATGATTCGTGATTGTCCCTCGATACGAGTAGAACCAATCGATTATTCGATTATGAATGATTCGTGATTGTCCTTCGATACGAGTAGAACCAATCGATTATTCGATTATGAATGATTCGTGATTGTCCCTCGATGCGAGTAGAACAACTTGATTATTTTATTATTATGAATCATTCGTGATTGTCCCTCGATACGAGTAGAACCAATCGATTATTCGATTATGAATGATTCGTGATTGTCCTTCGATACGAGTAGAACCAATCGATTATTCGATTATGAATGATTCGTGATTGTCCCTCGATGCGAGTAGAACAACTTGATTATTTTATTATTATGAATCATTCGTGATTGTCCCTCGATACGAGTAGAACCAATCGATTATTCGATTATGAATGATTCGTGATTGTCCTTCGATACGAGTAGAACCAATCGATTATTCGATTATGAATGATTCGTGATTGTCCCTCGATGCGAGTAGAACAACTTGATTATTTTATTATTATGAATCATTCGTGATTGTCCCGCTATACGAGTAGAACAACTTGATTATTTTATTATGAATGATTCGTGATTGTCCCTCGATGCGAATAGAACAAATCGATAATTATTTTATTATTATGAATCATTCGTAATTATCACCGACCCTAGGTATCGGAGGACATGTGCCCCGAAATAGGGATGGCGATACAGAACCACTTCGCCGCCATCAACGTGCGCACCGGTAAATCCAAACCTTCGAAGCACAGACAGTCACTGGTCACGCTCAGCCGGAGGTAATTTATAAAAGTTCGATTGATTTTTTTTAGTGCTTGGATGCGTGGACGAGCTCACAGCCCACGTGGTGTTAAGTTGTTACTGGAGCCTATAGACATCTACAACGTAAATGCGCCACCCACCTTAAGACATGAGTTCTAAAGTCGCAACTATAGTTACAACAGCTGCCCCGCCCTTCAAACCGAAACGCATTACTGCTTCACGGCAGAAATAGGCGGCGTGATGGTACCTACCCGCGCAGTAAACGAGAAGTCCTAACACCAGTAAACAAGAGGTCCTACCACCAGTAAATAATCCAGTAATCTCTCTTAATACCTAAATTATATGCTTATGTCATACTTGTTGTAATTGAGGAATTTTTTGAGATGATCCCATCGTCTTGTTTTTACCATCGCACCGCCCGCCACCGGAGTAGAGTTCATCCATACTACCTGGAGCCACTGCGGTCATCCACAGTGCGTTTCCAGAGATATTTTTTGCCACGTACCATCCGGCTATGGAATGAGCTCCCGTCCACGGTGTTTCCCGAGCGCTATGACATGTCCTTCTTCAAACGAGGCTTGTGGAGAGTATTAAACGGTAGGCAGCGGCTTGCCTCTGCCCCTGGCATTGCTGAAGTCCATGGGCGATGGTAACCACTCACCATCAGGTGGGCCGTATGCTCGTCTGGCTTCAAGGGCAATAAAAAATTGAATAGAAGGGGGTTCCCGTTGTTTCGAATGTGTGAATTCTTGTCTGAAAATCGAAAACGAATTGAGATTATTGTTAATACATATATCCAGATGCTCGTAGATATTATTATTTTAAGAAGATAAAAGTATTCTAATTTGTCGGATATACTATCTATTCACTGTCTACTGCATAGTAATAGTAGTGCTAGCTAAGCTGTCATTTCCGCACAGGCACAGCTTAGTAAAGATGCTCGATGTGAACGAGCTGGACGGGCCGCCTCCTCTTCGAAGAGCCTCATCGGCAGCCGTGGAGCCCACGCCACACAGCGGCCATCACAGGTATTTATTTTTTTCAGGGATTTTCTGACATGGTTTCTGAGACCTTTAAGTCATGTCTTATTTTAATTCTTATTTTTATGAAAAATGATAATATGGAGTGAAATGAGATAAGATGATATGTGATGAAATGTAATCTCAGTAAAATGGTGGTCGTTTGCTGAGAATCTTTCAGTAGACTTTATGTGATTAAGACCTGCTTTTCACGAGACATTGTTTCAACCCGGACGCCGGCTCCGTGGGACGTGACCCATTAATATGCTTCGTCCTGTTGTGATTGCAGGCTGACGAGGAGAGCGTCCTTGGACGATCTGGAGCAGCAATCCTGCGAGTTGGCCCCCAAAATAGAGAATAGAATCGTCGTCCTAGATAAACCAGAGGTCCGTATAGTGAATGGATTAAAAACTGTAGGGTAGTCGGATATTCTCATTGGGTCGCGTTTCCCATCCGGTAATAGATTCAGGGAAACACTGCTCTTGCTAGGGCTAGGCTTGGCAATTGGTTGAGCCCGTTGGAATAGGTGGATGGTGCATTTACGTTGTAGATGTCCATGGGCTCCAGCAACCACTTAACACCAGGTGGGCTGTGAGCTCGTCCACCCATCTAAGCAATAAAAAAAAGGTACATACACCGCTTCTTTTTATCCTTGGCGGTGCTCAGCCAATCTTACCAACCGCTGTTATAATTTCTCTTTGTCAATTGTCTCTAAGAATAAAGTCAACTGATCTTAATTACTAAACTACTACTATTTACTAAACGCTTTGTTCGTGTGTTCTTTTCTAACCATCGAATGGTAAACCGTCGACGTCGCCCAAAGCACGTCATTACGGTTCCTCCTGATCCATTAACGGTGCTTTTAGGCACCACAAGCACCGGTCACCGTCCTCGTCGAACCCGTCGCTTGCGACGAAGGGCTCGACGAGTGAATTAACCCATAGACACAGCCCAGAGTTTCTCGCCGGATCTTCTCAGTGAGTCGCGTTTCCGATCCGGTGGTAGATTCTGCTCTTGCTAGGGTCAGTGTTAGCAACACTCCGGTTTGGGCCCCGTGAGCTCACCTACAAACGTTAGGGTGAAGCTGAAATAGCCTCTCAAGGCTATCAGCATAGGTAGGAAAAAAAAACCTAACCATATGTGTCGAGAAGATATATCTATTTATTCCGCAGAAGCTTCAGGCCTTGCTCGCCGAGCGCGCCCGCTGGGAGTCCGATACCGTCATCAGGGAGGTGGAGGATGAAAACTCGCCCTAAGAATTAGCACACCCATTATTCGGGTGTTTCATTTGGTACAGACATTTCATGTAATTTCGACATCTCGGTTTGCAGTCTCACTCGATTCTCGATAACGTGAGTATTCGTTATCATTTCATCTAATAAGAAATGCAACACTCTGTATAAGATTTCGTTTGCTGTAAACTTTACATACATATACTTTCGAGGTAATCAGACTCTGTTGTCAATAGTGTAAGATTTAATGTCATTTGAACTGTCTTCCGGAGATATAACAAGGTTGTGTTTACCAAATAACACACCCTGTACCAAACTCTCTCTTTGATGTTAACATCTCAAATATAATAAATCTGAAGTTATATAGTAGTTAAATACAAATAAGATACAAAATGCAATACTCGTTGAAATACTACTTGTTCTTAAATAGCTTAGCTGTTTTTGTATTTATTTAGCATAAAGGTTATTCGATTTTATTGAATATCAATGTCAGCTTATTTACATATTCTTGAAGTTATATGTATTTGAATATGATGTTGAAATTTGAACTAACATACTTTATATACGTCATCATCATCATGACTTATTTCTTCCCATTTCAATATTGAAAGAGATCTGTGTTAATAATCTTCCATCACTTTCACATTTTACGTGTGAAAATAGGATAGCATTATCTTTTCTTCCCCTTAATAGTTTTATTACAATTTTAATACTCAGCTACACCCCAAAAGATAATTATGATACCGAATGCGATTCTTTACGATTTTTTAATCGATAATTCGAATATATGTTTGAATCGATATTTAACTATCCGAGATATTGAGTTATTATTACAAAAACAGAATCAATACAATACTCAGTATGATAATTCGAATATATATTTGAATCGATATTTAACTACCCGAGATATTGAGTTATTATTACAAAAACAGAATCAATACAATACTCAGTATGGTAATTCGAATATATGTTTGAATCGATATTTAACTACCCGAGATATTGAGTTACTATTACAAAAATAGAATCGATACAATACCTAATCTGAATGAAAATAGAAATATCATGATACAGAATATCGTTTTGTACTCATACTAGTATTTAATACGCACTAGTGATCACTGTAACGCAATATTCGCTTTGGATCGCCATTCGCTTCGTACAGTATAGCTTCACACGCTTCGCACTCTTCATTTTAAAATTGACGTCGCCATTTACCCTCCCGTCTCTATAGGGGGCGTAACGGTCGAATTTATTTTGAAATAATTTTCAATGCATTCTCTACCTTTAGATTAGTTTTGATGTAGGGTAGACGCACCATTGCCTCTTTTTTCATTTAGGCCATTATCATACGTATTATTTAAGTAACAACTACCCTAAAAATGATCGTATATTTTCGATACATACAATCTCTATCAAATGAATCTACGTGCCTTTTATACTGTGCGCCTAGTAACAAAACACTAGTACGTCTAACACAACCCTGAATTAGGGATGTGCCAGAATAATTTTATTAATAAAACTTTTTTTTTTTTAATTAATCACAAAAAAACTTATTGTTGTATATGCTTTCAAAGCTTATTTTAGTTTTATGATTACGCATCTCATTCTTATCTGATCATATCGTTTTTATGTCTAAGTTTTTAGCTTGAAAAGCACATTTACTCTATTAAATAGTCTTTTTTTAATTAATATTTGTTTGTTAATTATTGTATAGACATTAATTAATATCATAGCTTACGTAAACATAGGAGAATATTATTTTTAAATGGATAAAGACAATTGAAAATGAAGCCACAATATTTTCAGTGCTTTGCAGTTATTTTAGTACAGCGTATGTGCGTTTTGTAAGTTAATGATAAAGTACTAAACCAAAAAAAATTACACTTTTTTTTAAATAATTTTTACTCTTACATTTTACTTACGACTGTCAAAGGTCAATATTGATTCACTAACAGATAATTCACGCTTTTGTTATTAGGATTATCAGTGCCATGCTTATATAATAATGTCATCCACATATAGCTGCTATTCGAAATAATAATAATAATAATAAATATTTATTAACAATCACGCCACGTTAACTGGTCCCGTGATAAGTTCGTAAAGAACTTGTGTTACAGGTACCAGATAACGGAAATAAATGTAATATTTTTATTATACACATACATATATTTGATATACATCCATAACCCTGGAAAAGACATTTATATTTATCATACAAAATATCTTCCCTTGGTGGGATTCGAACCCGCGACCCCCTTGTGTAGTGACCATGTCACTTACCACTACACCAGACGGACGTTAAATATATGGAGGAGTGAAAGGCATAACATTGGTTTATTAACGCTAATACGCGACATTTAGCTTTGTAATTAAAGGTCCGTTTTATTTGGTTATAAGCATCAACCGTTCGATGTTTTTAATTAAACTTAACAATTAAGTTAACCCCATACGAATAGCTGAAGAAGTTTTTTTGTTATGATACTTTTCCCACACAGCCATCATAGAACGCGAGATACCTGATGACAGATGCCTGAATCTCGCTTACGACACTTTTAAGATAAGCTTGCATATATACAAGTTCCGAACAACAACATTCGCCCACTTCGATAAAGCGGCACGATACGAGAACCCTCTAATCGTGGCCGCCGGTAACTACATTCCCGATCCTGCGGACAGAATGGAAAGCAGTCGACGTCGCCCAAAACACGTCATCTCGGATACTCCCGATCCACTGACGGCGCTTCTAGGTGCTTCAAGCACCGGTCACCGTTCTCGTCGAACCCGTCGCTTGCGACGAAGGGCTCGACGAGTAAATTAACTCTCAGACACAGCCCACTGAGTTTCTCGCCGGATATTCTCAGTGGGTCGCGTTTCCGATCCGGTGGTAGATTCTGCGAAGCACGGCTCTTGCTAGGGTTCGTGTTAGCAACGGCGTCAGGTTTGAGCCCCGTGAGCTCACCTACTAGTTACGGTTACGCTGGAATAGCCTCTCAAGGCTACCAGTTTAGGTAGGAAAAAAAAAACAACATTCGGACCGTCGGTCTACCGAGCAATATCACTCGCTCGGTGGAAGATCTTCCTTTCATCGTTATACCCACAGACTCCTGTAAAGTTGGTAAAATGTCGCTAAAACCAAACACTCTTTCACCCCTCGAATATACAGAAATTTTCGATAAACCATGTTATTATCTATCAGCAGACATAGCTTTAATTGAGGTGGTGATATGCTTTTTATTATAATATAACGTTCGCAAACCTGTCTAATAGGAGCTGTTCAAGTATTACTGGTAGTAGGACCTCTTGTGAGTCCGCGCGGGTAGGCACCACCACCCAGTCCATTTCTGCCGTGAAGCAGTAATGCGTTTTGGTTTGAAGGGTGGGGCAGCCGTTGTAACTATTCTGAGACCTAAGAACTTGTATCCCAAGGTGGGTGGCGCATTTACGTTGTAGATGTCTAAGGGCTCCAGTAACCACATAACACCAGGTGGGCTGCGAGCTCGTCCATCCATCTAAGCAATAAAAAAGGGGGATGGGGAGTCATGGGGGGTTCTAGATGGTGATGACGTCAGCACTAGTTATTTACTTTTTTACGCATATTGGCAACCTACACATTGTCTATGCTTGAAAACGATACGCGTTTTCGGGGATTCCCATAAATAATGAATAAGTTTAGGTACTCGCTTGGAACCGAATAGGGGAATTATCTCGCGCATATAAATGAATATTCCGTGTGTTAAAGTCCTCAATCCTAAGCCTATTTTCTTGTTTCTAGAATTATAACTGCAGCTCGTGAATCAATAAAAAAATTAGAATAAATTAGTAGAGAAATTCATATACAAATCTTTATGTTAGCATTTCAGAGCTTTGCTTACTTATGTTGACAAGTGGAAAGGGGGGGGGCGAATAATTGTAATAAATCTGCTTACGTAATACTTGAACGGCCCCATAAGGTATTTTAAAGTTTTCATCACTGACTCTGCTGTCTGTACCACGGCTTGTACAGTCAGCAGCGCATATGAGTCCGATAACATTAAGGGCTCCCGCACGCTGCAAAACTTTGTTAATTCGAGAGTTAACGGTAGCTAGATGTATCGAGAGCTTTCTACGTAGACCGCTGGTAGGATGTGTCCCTTGTAACACCATGTTTCTACGTCATCAATTTTTTTCTTCCTGGTGGTCAGCGGAGCCCATAGACATCTATAACGTAAAGGCCGCCACCCATCTCGAGACAAGAGTTCTAAGGTTCTTACAGTACAACTTCGACTGGCTTCGTCATTATTAGTAGGTATACTAAGAAGCTATATAATTACGAATTGTCACGCCTTATTTGTGTAAGCAATATGATTGCTTCCGCCTGTATTTGTATTAGTGGTTTGAATTTGTAATTTTATTGACTAAGATGATATTTTTTTAGCTTGGGCGATTTCAATTTCGCCAACCACTACGCTGTAATAATTATTGTATTCTGTAAACGCTAATCGGTTCAATAAGCATAATAAAAATAGTATAGTTTCTTTATTATGTGCGAGTCATAGACTAATTAAAACTAATTTTACGGTTAAATCTCGGGCTTCTTACAGGCTTCGTCAAACAGAACGCGTACTTAGCGCGCGTCAGAACGCTAAACTAACGGCGCGCTATGACGCCGAGATGTGTTGTACTACTATGGTAACAAACTGTCAAACAGAGCCCCAGCGCTCTGTCGTGGCGTTAGGACGCTTTGACGTCAAGCGTTGTAATTTTTTACAAATTTTATTTTAGCGTCGCGAGTGAATGTGCATTAAAATACTGGGATTACCCAAAAATTTATAGAAATTGTTAGAAAATACCCATGCTTATACAATGCCACGACGGAATCACTCGACATCTGAATACTTTTAAATTTTCACACTGCTATCGAAAGGCACTATGATTTAGCGGATGTTACGTTGCGTCAAGGAGCGTTAGGGTCATCTAGTCAATTTTTGTGACATGAAAAGAGCGCGACGTTAAAACGCGGCGCTAAGTACGCGTTCTGTTTGACGAAGCCTTTAATCGAAACCTCTGAAATAATGTCGATGGGTTTATGCGACATTTGTGTAATTTTATAGGAGAGCCATTCGAAGTTTAAAATTTGGAAAAAATATCATGACAAAAAAATAAATTCTTCAGCTATTTAAATGGAGTAAACTTCATTGATTAAAACCATCAAACTGTTGATGCTAATATCAAATAAAACGCACCTTTAATTACAAAGATAAATGTGGCTTATTAAGCGAAATATCACTTAAACCAAATAGCCTTTTAACCCTCGATGTAATAATGACAATTTAATAAAAAAACACAATTTAAAACCGTAAAAGTAATTGTAATTACAATAAAATTTATTCTCGTTACGTAAACTCGCAATGGACATTAAACCGATCAGCCGACGGATCGCAACATTCATTGCGTGCAATAAAAAAATGTAGAATATATCGACGCTTGAAAGGCAAACGTGACTAAGCGACAATGCGTGAACTTTACTGTAGACTAATTTAAAGTTGAAATACCTGAAAAAAAATCTATTTTAACAAATCTAGCTGTAGGATTGAAATTATTTTAATAGACCTAGAAATATTTTTTTTTTGCGCATCGAATATGGTTATTGCCTATCATGTAAGTAAAAAAGCAGTTATTGTCGCTTAGTCACGTTTGCCTTTCAAGCGTCGATATATTTGTTTGATTATCGCGTCAGAAGTCACTGACATACCTAACATGTGATCGTATATTGTCGAGAAAAATATAATTACAGCCTGCGTTAACAATTATTAACATTGCACATTAACAACCATGTTATAGGTAACTTATTTTAAGCCTTGATTTCATCTGGTGTATAATAAATAACCTAATATTTAAGTTAATCGAAAATGAGTTGTGATCATTTCTAAATACCCTCTAAATCGTCTACATCAGTGATCGGTAACGCGCAGCTTTTGACTACTTGGTCTTGACTACTTCCACTGGTGGTAGGACCTCTTGGGAGTCCGCACGGGTAGGTATCACCACCCCGCCTATTTCCGCCGTGAAGCAGTAATGCGTTTCGGTTCGAAGGGTGGGGTAGCCGTTGTAACTATACTGAGATCTTAGAACTTATATCTCGAGGTGGGTGGCGCACTTACGTTGTAGATGTCTATGGGGTCCAGTAACCATTTAACATCAGGTGGGCTGTGAGTTCGTCGATCCATCTAAGCAATAAAAAAAAAACGGCTCTTCCGCGAAATGTTTAGTTCAGGCACGGAATCTATATATATAAAAATCAATTGCTGTTCGTTAGTCTCACTAAAACTCGAAAACGGCTGGACCGATTTGGCTAATTTTGGTCTTGAATTATTTGTGGAAGTCCAAAGAAGGTTTAAAAGGTAGATAAATATGAAAATGCTCGGAATTAAATAAAAATAACAATTTTGTTTTTCCTTTTGATGTGTCCCCCGTCGGACGGATTTATTTTCTTTGTCTTAAGTTTATTTTATACAAAAGTTTAGGTCTTTTATTTATCGATTGAGGCACTACGAAGTCTGCCGGGTCAACTACTATTAAATATTATCTTGCCTTTAAACAAAAGTCTATAAAAATAAACGTTAATAAAATTAATAATTGGTTGTCTGTAAAGTCGGTTAATGGACAATAGTTTTACGTGATAACGTCAGTAGCAGAACTATTCGAACTGCTAGCTCTGACGTCACGTGAGAAGGGATATAAACATGTCACAAGCCAACGCTTAGACCGATTGTGCCTCTCTGTCATTTGTTTCGCGCTCTCGCTTGCACGCTCAGGCGGAACGTGACACTTTATCGTGCGTGCAGCCGGTGCTCATCGATTTTGAATTAATTTCAATTGTGTATTATCTATATTCGACTCTTTTGGTTGACAAAGTTGCCGATCACTGGTCTGAAGTCTAGACGAAAGCTTAAAGACACGTTGATAAGAATAAACTGAATATAAATGTATCGTTTATGATTTAAATTGTGGTTCGCATCGTAAAAATAGATTTCTCTTCACGAAAAGTCAAGCTGACCTCGCGCGATTTATAACTTTAGGTGGTTGTCAAAGTTCGTGTTTTGTGAGAAGGAATCTATCCGTCGTTGTAATGATCGTAATTTTACGATGCACGTTGATAGGTATAGTGCGTACCCGATTAGCGCCGAAGTCTTGGGTGCGACTAGCGATTGTCGAAGACGACGTTTTGTGTTAATTTTTCCATACACAATATGGATGACAAAATACTGGTAGATAGGCTAGGTAATAATTGCAAGTTTAGAATACACCGCCGCCGCCAGTTACATTGTTATGTAAAAAAATGTCACTTCCAAACATACAGCCAATTTTTATATGAAAATTATATTATATTAACGAAAGTCAGTATGTAACCGTCGCTTTTTCTTCTAAATGGACAAAAGATATCTTGTTTTCATATGACAATCTACCTCGTGTCTACTTTATGATACTATATACCTTAATATAATTCAATTTAAACGCATAAGGCTAGTTGCATCCAATGGCAGATCTTATGAGATTATCGTTACTATTAAATAAATTTATATTCGTAGTGTAATGTAATCGAACTATTGCTATAGAAATGCGCACTCAGTCGAATGACACACCGCCACGGAAGCTGTCATCGTGTGACGACAAATACATATCGATTAGTTTTTAAGTAAATTTACGAAAAACACCAACGAAAATTATTTTTAGAACAACAACAAACAGAGGTTGAAGTACGGTACAAAACTTGAATGTCACGTTTTTGACAGTGACAGTTTATAAAAAAATGTCCATAGATTATAAACAAAAACATACCTCATCATACGATGGCAGTTGTGGGTTAATAATAATGCTGTGACCTGATATTTTAACTGGCAGACGATTTAATACATTGTAATATTGTATAAGTCGAATAAAAAGGTTCTGTGTTAGCCATTCCAGAGTAATTTCTAAATATCTCAGTAAAGTGGCGGATTAAAAAGGTCCAGAGCGCCCTAGTCAATAACTTTATCGGCGATCATAATACTATAAATTTTAACTAGTTGTTTTTGCAATTACGATGACGTTGTATCATCAAACCCTAGACTTTAGTAGACCAGGACCCTTGTACTTACGCTAATGCGCGAATGAAATGCAAACAAATGCGCCATATTGCATAATACGAGTATATCGATGCTTGTGCAATATAATCTATTATAGATTTAGATTATAAATCAGCATTTAGTCCTTAATCGTCGATATGTTATTTTCTTTATTTATTTAAAAATTCTGAGCTCGCGCGCCCCTTGTAACTACACGCCCCAATGCACGTGCCTAGTTTGCCTTACGGATAATCCGCCTCTGTCTCAGTATGATCAAACTCTGGTCTGAGTGCTCTCGGCGCCATAGAATGTCATTAGAACGTACATTGGCTGGGCTAATATCTCTAAACAACGAAAAATCGAAGCCGGTTAAAATATTGGTATCAAAAAGTACTAGTTTTTTAAATATGCACGCATACTTTGTGATTTCATTGAATCTACGCTAGTTTGTGATTTTTGTGATATATTATTATTGATATATTATATTCTGTTTTCTAATAAATAATATTTGTTATTGTTTTTATTGAATCATTTTATTATAAATTATTGTAACTAAATTCAATGTTGTTTTATTAATTTCCAATTTTTTACATTACACATATTTCTTGTATTTATGGGCCGTGTTGATCCCATTTTCTGTAAACTTTAGGCGCGAGATTGAAATGTCAGCTTAGGACGTTTTTTAAAACGAGAATTCTCGATAGTGGTAGAAATGAGCACAATGGTAAAATCAAGTTGGTATAAGGCAACACTTTACTAAATAATTCGCAAAGGCAAAGGATTCTTTTCCTGACAAAATAAAATAAACAAATTAAATTAGAAATATATTTATTTACATTTTTAATAAAAACAAATAAATATGCGTGTAGTAAACAATTTGATCACAGTTTTACTTACGGTTCTGTAATGTATCTTTGCTACACTTTTTTAAGGTTTTCAAATAATTATTTTCTTGATTTTACAAAAATAGTTTGTATTCATTAGCATTAATTAACCATAATGTTAATTAAATCTTACATACTTTAAATTTTATTCAATTAATTGTAAATTCTTTTTGAAGTTTACTTCGATTCAATTATAAATTGGATTTTCTAAATTATTGTAAGTCATATATGAAAAATGTAAGAATCATAATTTCTGATTTGCCGATTGATTTGGAGTTAAGTTTAACTTTGAATATACCTATCATTTAAATTAATTTGTCACATGAAAATAAGAAAATTCAATCACTTTTCATCAATTCGTGAAAGAACAACAAACACTCAAACATTTTAAAATCGTTCAAATTCACTAATAACATTAGCTCCATTTTTTTAATAACATACAAACAAAAAAATTAAATAAAAAAAAATTAATAACAGTTTTGATTTCATACAATTTTTTTTGACCATTGTTCATTCGCATACTTCAATACAACAAGATCAATGACTGCAGTTCTGAATGTTTTCTCATCGAGTGAAAAGCAACGTCTGCTATGCACCAAACATAATCAGACAATAATAAGTGTTCATATCGATTCACAAGCTCCCAAGGTCCTCAAGCTGAAACCACAAATGTCCACTCTAAGCCCGCCATCAATCCCCACAGATTGGTGCAACAAACTTAACACCGGTAAGCAAGTTTCATAAGTCCACTTTAGCACCTATATTACTGAGGGGTATCGCTTGCAACTCAGTCCTCAGGCACAAGAACTCGCCTGCCACACACATTATAGCCCCACAGGCTATGTTCAACGTCCACCACGAGAAAGTTGTGGGGAAACTTCCGTTGTAATACCAGCATGCGATCAAATGAAGTCCGTGGTATGTGCAACTGAAATGATAATATACTATTTAAGTTCAGATATGCTTTAGTTCTATTATATTCAGTGGTTGAAGTATCTCCCAGCTGTTCAAAAGCATCAGTATTTGAGGTCTCACTTGTACTGTGTTCCATCCATTGTGACACCCTTCAAACCAGAATAGATGCTGGCTTCATGGCCAATATAGACAGAATGATAGTACCTTACTTTGCGGGCTCACGATATGCCCTATTAATAGTAAAAGAGATGTAAGAATGTTCATTTTATAGCACAGTACATATTTTACATTCATGCTCCTTTTGATCAGAGAGAACCATTTCAAAATCATCAACGAGTTTTTTTATCAATACATTGCAACATTGCCATGTCACAGTCGATATTGTCAATAAATGCTACCAGTACAGAGGTTGGCTTTGCGAAGATTTAATTGAAATTTTCTAATCAAAAACATACAGATGTTCATTTTATATATGAGTATAATAATAATGTAATGGTATAAAACAATATCAAGATAATTTTCCTATGAAATTATGTTGTATTAATAAACTGTGTAATGTTCAAAGATAGTTGGCATTGATAAATTTTTTTTAAGTGCTTTGATAAACCATCAAATAACTAATAGTAATTTATTAATTTTTATCACAGATAGGGAGACCTACTCGAGGCTTGCCTGGTGTTCTGAGCGGCGATGTCATTGCTTTATACATAAATGATAGGCAATAACCATATTCAATGCGCAAAAAAATAAAAAGTGTGTGTGTCCGCTCCGACGCACGACTGGAGTTTACTGGATATAAAAAATTAAACGAAACAATACGAGAAATAGTTCTATATTACGACAACACGATACACTACAGATTATTAACAAATTAACGAGACACAAAACAAACGACTAACAAATATATGAAAATACAATAATGAGAGAAACGCGCGATCAGTACGAGGCTTTGTGGCGGACTGCCGGCGCAGCAGCCCGGCGTCACCTGCGATAACGCATTTCGTGTGACATGCGCAATCAGGCGCATAACGCATTTCGTGTGACATGCTAGTACGATTTTGGTCCCCATAATTTTCATACCCCGGGCCTATATATGTAAATCGATTCTAAAGGAGTAAACTCCAAAAATATTTCTAGGTCTATTAAAATCATTTCAATCCTACAGCTAGATTCGTTAAAATAGATTTTTTTTCAGGTATTTCAACTTTAAATTAGTCTACTGTAAAGTTCACGCATTGTCGCTCAGTCACGTTTGCCTTTCAAGCATCTATATCATGTGGCTTATTCAGTTAGGAGAATATTGTACCGAGCACTTGTTCCGCACATCTTGAGGCTCAGTTTTCTTGTAAAAACTAGACATTATTTATTTATCATATATTTTGTTTTAAATATGTGATACAGTATTATCATTTTCATAAGAACATGTATGTGCTCATAATTGAAATCTGGTGGAAGAAGGAAGCTTAGTAGAGTAAGTATTTATAAGCAGTAGATATACAGATTATTGCCCATGGTCCACAGTGACTACATTCCGTCAATTGAATTTGTATACAGAGTGACAATTTCTGATATTTTCCAATCCTGGTGGCGGGGCAACACAAAGCTGCCTCCAGCTAAAATATGTCTTGACAGATCCTGTAGATTCACTCTCAGTGTTTTAGGCTCTGCAAGCACAACCGCAAGTCACCATTCTCCTTGTGTTGTAAAGGAGAGTTCGACGAATGAACTAACCCATAGACACAACCCACTGACTTTCCCACTGAATATTACAGTGGGAAGTGATTCTGATCTGGTGGTAGTTTCAGCAAAACACTGCTCTTTGCTAAGGTTAACGTTAGCAAATTCTCTCAGGTTGAGCCCGTGAGCTCACCTACCCATCTGCACATGGCTGGAATAGTCTCATAGGCTCCCAGTCAATGCATAGTGGAAAAAAAATGTTATAAATCATAAAAAATATTAGGAAAGTTTTCAAATCAATTAAAGTGACTAGATATTTTCTTTGCTTTTATCATATTCATAATAATGTCTTACCTAAAATCCAAGCACAGCTTAGTTCGTCCAACAATCATCCATAATGCAAAGGCACCGATGACTGCATTGAAAACAAACGCTAATATCACTGCCCTTCCTTCGTTATCTACTATGTGTAGCTCCTGAAAATAACAAAACAAATTTTATGAAAATGCAATCAATTGATAGACCAGGTTTTTGCATTAAGCATCTATTTACATCTCTCTTTGTTAATCTATTTCTATATATTTTTCATGTGTTTGTATTTCATTTGATATTGCTTACCAGTAAATTATAGCACATACTAGCTTATGTTAAGCTGTTATATAAATGAGCCTCTGGTAATCTCTGAATGAGTTTAAGAATGATAAGGTAGTTGTTAAGAGGATAATGCTGATATGATGAGAATATTCTTTAATAATCTCTAATAATCTTTACTGGTGGTAGGACCACTAGGGAGTCAGCACGGATAGGTACCACCGTCCTGCCTATTTCTGCCGTGAAGCAGTAATACGTTTCTGTTTGAAGGGTAGGGTAGCCGCTGTAACTATACTGAGACTTTAGAACTTGTATCTCAAGGTGGGTGGCGCGTCTACGTTGTAGATGTCTATGGGCTCCAGTAACCACTGAACACCAGGTGGGCTGTGAGCTCGTCCACCCATCTGAGCAATAAAAAAGAAAAAAATATATAGGCCAGATTAAGCACCTATATTCAGTAATTACCTGGTCATAATCACTGTAGGAACCTCTAATGTTAATTCTAGTATTATTTTTACCTAACTTGATAATTTAGCAAATAAAAGTTTTTGGCGGAAAATATTTTAGGCTACCAAATCATTCATTGTTTAAGCTAGGGACATACTAACGTACGAAATAAACCGTAACGGAGAGATTTACGTACATTTATTAGTTGAAACTTGACTACTTTTATCATGCTACCTTTTGTTTGGTAATGTACTTACATGATATTCAAATAAATGATCCAAAGTTCTCGTGGAGCCGGTCAAGTCCTGCATGATGGCCACGAGCAGACTAAGAGACAGGTACATTACAGACTGCATTGCCACTATTTGAGATATTATCAAACAAGGGTCCCATTGCGTATAGCGGAATGAGCCACTGAACTTTTTAATTTTCGACATCGTAACAACGCACTGTTTAGGTCGGCAGAAAATTTAAAGATCTCTGTATACGTTGAGGACGTTTAATTGTAGGCATATGGTATTTTTATGACGAAATTAATGTTATAAACTAATATTAAAAAGTCACTTGTTTATCAGCTGGCTTGGACCTTATGTGTATTATCTATGGACCTGTCACTTTTTTTTTTTTTAATTTATTGAAAGCATTGGCAACACGGCCATCAGCTTAAGCTAATTTTACAAAAAAATAGAACATGAACTAGAACTTACAATAAAAACACAAATAAAAGAAACAAACCAAACCAAGAAACAATTACAAATCATTGAAAACAACAAATTAATGACAAAATGAATTGCAAGAACTTACTATAAAAAAANGGTCTTTAAAAAGACCGCGCTTATTTTTAATGAAAGTCATTTTTATTTTGCGGCTTTCGTCGTATTCAGATGACTTCATTCTTCTTTTTCCCATTATTATGGGAGCGGACACAGGGGCGGAGCTGAAGCCCTCACCCCCGTCGTCATCGTCCATTATTACGGAACACACTTATGAAATATAATTTTAAACTCAAACACAGTGAAAAATTTGGAAACAATGTCGTAAAAAAGGGCTAAAACCAAATAAATTAAAATTAACTTGAAAAAAGCGCCTATTTAGTTTGACGTTCCCGCCCTTTTCATGGACCTGTCACTATGCTACCACAGATAAAAAATATGCTGTCACTGTCTTGCTTAACCTATTTCGAAAGTCGAAGGATTTTTTGCATTGTGATGACATTCCGTAAAATTTCTTAATTTTTCACTTAATTGCATGTGTTAAACACTGTCTACAGGTCTACACCACTGAAGTAGGAAACCTATGGAAATGAAACATCAACAAAAAATTCGTGCCACTGTGACGTCATCTGGCCACAAAAAATGGCGGTTTTAGTGCTGCCCAGAAGATTTTAATGTTAGTAGGTTTTATCGATAAACGTTCTTGGCTCATTCTATTTTAAATATTGTTGAGTATGAATGTATTTGTAGAATTTATACTTTAATAGGAAGTAAGTATATTGTTATGTGCAAAGATGATGTGATTTAGATATTATGTGAAATCTAAGACGAGTTCGTGCTTCAAATTTGCCAAGTAAACGATATGACGATTTTTTAAATTTGCTACACTGATTTTATAAAGTTGTCGTTTGCCGCAAAACATAAAGATATGGCGCAGTACAGTGCCATCTGCCCATTTCTAGCATGCTGAATTTTATCGTATTTTGAGTACGTGTTTTTCTTAGACTGTTACAATCTGTTTTAATTGTTTTGCTGACTCTAAAGTAGTCTAAAGTCCGTAACACACTACCGCAGCGCAACTCAAGGAAGGTGCGCCGCACCATTATCATTCATTTCATTTAATTTCATCCCAGTTTATTAATGTCTCAAATTAATCATTTTCTTTCATTTCATTTAATTTCGCTCCATATTATCATTTTGCTTAAAAATAAAATATAAATTAAAATAAGATATGACTTAAAAGTCTTTGTTACCAGGTCATAAAATAACTTTAAAAAAAAAAAATTACACATGTTCTTGTTTTCGTTCAGTGGATTATACACATGATATTATTGCATAAACATTACATATAACTGTGCAATACAAAAATGGTAATTATAATACATTAACAAAAAAAAGATAAAGATGAAATACGACTAGAGTTTTTACCTCAAAATCTGAGTATTCCAATTAACCTTTTCGAAACTAGAAAAACGATCTTTTGAGATTCACTTTTATATTTTAAAACAACTTTTCAAACAGCGAGTCTTAGAGTCAAAATAGAAATAAATGTAAAACCTTACCTTGTTCCAGCCTAAAACAAAAAAGAAATTCATAGATAAAAAGAAAGCGGTGACGTTTAATCTCGTACACAGATCTCAAAGAGATCCTCTGGCCGCCGACGAAACAGCCCCGCAGCGAGTATTAGTGCCCGTAAACACAACCATCCCACCTACAAAGGATAAAGATCCAGTAAGTAAAAATACTCTCCAACTACAAGCTATCTGTTACACACTACAATTGAAGCCATGTATCCTTACTCCATACTTTCTAAAGCCCGCCCTTTTTGAAAAATGTAACTTACTTAATTCTCCTATCAGTGAGAATGGGAGTTTTCTAACACCTTACTAAATCGTGTTAATATATTATTTTCGAAAGAAGTACTATGTAGAAGCTAGAGATTTGTATCATAGTTTGTGTTTTGTCAAAGTGCATACCTATATTGTTAAGAATGGGTTTATGTTTACAAGAAGTGTGGCTATGGTAGTTTTCTTGTTACAGCACAAGAGCGCATTATGCGGCATTATGCTCAACATTGAATGTTCCCACTACAGCAACACTTCGCACAATCGAGCACTCTCAAAAGTACTGCTCTCGCGTGATACTCGCAATCGATACCGACTCAGTGACAGAAAATTGACAAGTGTTTTTTCTTTAAGTTGGCATTGATCGAAATTTTGTTTATATTATCGTTAGTAATATTATTTAATGTTGAAAAAAATTGTAAGGCTTTCGTTTCATCGTAGTTTCTTAGAAATAATCAATGTTAATTAAAACTGTGCTAACTTAGCGCACTCTGCTGATGCATTTGAAAACTAATTCATGTTCCAATTAATCTTCAGCATAATTCGGCATTGTGCGTCACTGAGTCGCATTATGCTCTGTAATTGGAAAACTACCTATTTCCACTATCAGTTTCATCCACATGGGCGTAGTAAATGAGTTGTATAACTTAAATCTTTAATTTAAATTAAACTCAAAAGCTATTAAATTCACTTCCTGAATCAATGCATTATGGCAGTGATAATCATGTGTGGTCAAGTGGTATATGAAAAAGGACAATGCCCTTCAATGCCCGTTGCTTAGATATATTGAAGAACTCTTTTAAATGATTTTTATTTTATTTTAGGAATACACACCTGAACAACGCAAGGAGGAACAAAGAAAATACGGTATATATTACGACGATGACTACAATTATTTGCAGCATCTCAAAGACACAAAAGAGGTTACACTTGTGTTGCAGCCTGTGAGTTTTTTTAAAATTCTTTCTACGTAGTTATGCTTGTTGAACTTGTATGAAGAACTTTTTTCAATAGAAAAACTGTTAACGACTTGCAGGATCTGACCACTGAGTCGCATCACTCCATATATATACACCCAAAGATTTATTCTTTAGTTCATGATGACTTTAATATACAGCTATAGGAAGAACGTTATCTGTGGGTGACTGACCCACATTATCTTTATTCAATTTACTCATTTGCATGGTTCTCCTGAATATTCACTATTCAAAATGTAGTTTCAACTGTCTAGTAACAAATGGAGATTGGCTTGTATCAATGTAACTGTTGATTAACAACACTCAACATCTATTCTTATCTACATCTTCTCTACACAACATTAAGTAGAGAAAACTTTAAGAAAATAATTGTTTAGTGTGTAATACATAAAGTCAGTCCGTATCGGGTATCCAATGACCTCTTCGTACGGTGCACTGTTATATGTTTCGCATGTTTGCACTATCAATAATTTTTACAATACAGAAAACTCCACATAAGAAGAAGCAAACGGAATCAACAAAAACTGATGAAATCATCGATGAAGATGAAGAGCCTCCCATTCCAGTCACAGAACGTCTGATGCTGCCCAGTTCGGTGTTCGCCTCTGAATTTGAAGAGGATGTTGGTTTACTCAATAAAGCTGCTCCACAGGGTCAGTTTTTTGTTTAATTGATTCGATTACTGAATGGTCGAAAGATCACTTGAACGGTCGCTTCGTTCTTTTGTCGACTATTTTATCTTATACCTTTAAACGAGCAATTCTTGTATATCTATATATAATCTGAATCTCGGAAACGGCTCCCAAGGTTTTTCATAAAATTTAGTATACAGGGGATTTCGGGGGCGATAAATCGATCTAGCTGCGATTTATTTTCAGAAAATGTTGCTTTTTTCGTGTTTTCAATAATCAACTTTATCGATAATCAACTTTATGACTCTTCCCGATATCTATTGGTGAATAATAATACTATTTTTCTTAATTGAGAGAAACTAACTGCTTTAAAGACACAACAAGATGGCGTTATAAACAAAATTACCGAGTAAAGCTCGGTCATCTAGTATGTATAATATGAGAACGGTCGGTTCGTTCCTTGTCGTCTCGTTTCTGTCTGTCTTTAAGGAAGTCCAAAAATGTGCTGCCTGTCGCTAGTCAAGTACGCCCTAGTTCCATTTCTTTTGGAATTTTGTCAAGTCTCTGTCTTAGTCTGTGTCTATGTCTAGTCGTTGTAGTTCTTGTTTTTTTTTTTTTCATTGCTTAGATGGGTGAACGAGCTCACAGCCCACCTGATGTTAAGTGGTTACTGGAGCCCATAGACATCTACAACGTAAATGCGCCACCCACCTTGAGATATAAGTTCTAAGGTCTCAATTATAGTTACAACGGTGTACATGGTACAATTTTGCGGGTTTGATTTTTATTACACGATGTTATTCCTTCACCGTGGAAGTCAATCGTGAACATTTGTTGAGTACGTATGTCATTAGAAAATTGGTACCCGCCTGCGGGATTTGAACACCGGTGCATTGCTTCAACACGATCTCTCATCTTTTAGGCCACGACGACTTCAGAAATATTATGTCCTGTCAAAGAGGTTATACGCCACGACAACTACTTATAAGTATTGCATTATACTATCAGATGTGATTGTTTTTAAATTCTCATAACGAACAGTAACTCTATAAAAAAATTCGAGTAATCTATAATTTTTTAACAAAATATTTAAACATTTGCAGGTTTACGCCTCGATCTGGATCCGGAAGTAGTGGCCGCTTTGGATGAAGATTTTGATTTTGATGATCCTGAAAATGAACTGGAAGACAACTTCATCGAATTGGCTATGGGAGACGGTGAGGGCTATAAACAATTATAAACATTAATAAATTGTTGATACATCCCACCTGTTGTGGACTGTAGGATTAGGATGACCAAGGAGCTTAATAAATAAACTCGCGAGGATTGCACGTATAAAATTTTTATTTTTGGAAATTTTGTAATTCGCGTACAATAGCACGGAAAAAAGAGAATGATAAATCTAAGATATTTCAAAATTCAAAATTAATGTTTTTTCCACAACTACAACAATAAATAAGATTTTATGCCAATTTGTTGGGTTGCCAAACCACCTATGGTGATAAATAATTATTTGAGTAGATTGTGACGGAAGTGTGAAATCTTAGTGTAATATCTTGCAAATAATAAATAAAATATCTGTGTAGTGGTAATAGAAGTGAAACCTTTAAACGAGGCTTGTGGGGACTATTTAACGGTAGGCAGAAGCTTGGCTCTGCCTCTGGCATTGTTGAAGTTCATTGGCGACGGTAACCACTCACCATCAGGTTGCCCGTATGCCCGTCTGCCTACAAGGGCAATGCAAACCTTCAGAAATATCCTATCTCCTACTCTGGCAGGTTAAGATGCTCCTCTGTTTTTTTGTTCTATTTTCGAGTTTTGATTGATTGAGTCTCAAATTTCATTGGAACCATTTTCAGATGATGAAGAAGCATATGATGAAGATGAAGGTTCATCGGGTGATAATAACTCTGAGAAAGCATTCTCTTCAGACTTTGAATCAAATGATGAAAGCGATTCACAGGTTTGTTTCGACAAAAACAAGATTTTTTTTTGGTACAATATNCCCCCCCCCCCCCCTCTTAAGCGGCCGGAGCTGGTCGTCTTTACTGTCTCTGGTAACAGTCAGCAAGTGTTCATTATCACAAATTAATTCATTAATGAATGACTGACAGGATGAAGACAATCGCGGCAGGATGCCGACGTGGGCGCCGCCGGACAAGGACGACACCAAGTCTCGCTTCTCGCAGTACTCGATGTCGTCCAGCATTATAAGGCGTAACCAGGGCTTGGAGCTACTGGACAACAGATTCGAAAAGGTAATCACTTTTTTATAATTTATTTTATTGCCTTATTATTATTACTAGTGGCCCCGCAGTAGTCGAAATTCGACTATAATTAATTGAAATTATAAGTTTGAACATTATTATGTTTCTATTGTCAAAGACTTATACTTCTATGATCACAGATTTCGCCAAAACTACACTAGACACTTGACAAATAATATTAAAGATAAACAATATTAACCTATTCTCAATTTGACCACAGACTGCAATAACAGACAATAAAAGTTTGACAATAAACAAAGAGTTTATGTGTGTGTGTGTCAAATACATGATAGTGTGTGTAATGTTTTCTTTATTGATTTAATGTATTATCAATGTATAATTTAAAAAAAATACTAGCATACGTCACTCCTTCTCTATATTCTCTATAAGTGTGGGAAATTTCATAATCCTCCGTCCGCGCAATTTTCATAAAAAGGGGTACAAAGTTATTGCTTCACGTAATATTATTATTATTAAAACTTGTATGTAAATATTGGTGAATGTAATTAAGAAATATATTTCGGTGAAAATTGTCAATTGTATATTCCTGTAATGGCAATACAGTATGCCAACGTAGCGCCGGTCTGATGACAACAGAAACCTTGAACGAGAATGTGAAATTGGTTATTTTTTGTATAGAATAGTGTGCTTAGTTTGCCTGCGTTTGCCGCTAGGGGCGCTGTTCCAACTTCATACAAATTTGAGTTAACTTTTACGCTATCGAAAACGTTAAAAAACTCGCACTAAGCACACAGTTTTCAAAAAAATAAAAGATCAGTCAACCCTAATTATTTAAATAAAACAAATCTTAAGGTTTATGTGTTTGGGTGTTTCGTTATTCAATCATGCAAGAATGAAATCTCACATAAAGATAGTTTATAACCTGAATTAACAGAGTACTTTATGATGTGGATGATATGAGGAAGGGCTGGGCATAATTACTGCAATAAATAAACTGGTGATCTTAAATTCTAAATTGTAATTGTAATTGAAAATTGTTAACGAATTATTAATTATTTTTTTATTGCTTAGTTGGGTAGACGAGCTTACAGTCCACCTGGTGTTAAGTGGTTACTGGAGCCCATAGACATCTACAACGTAAATGCGCCACCCATCTTGAGATATAAGTTCTAAGGTCTCAGTTACAACGGCTGCCCCGCCCTTCAAACCGAAACGCATTACTGCTTCAAGGCAGAAATGGGCTCGGTGGTGGTGCCTACCCGCGCGGACTCACAAGAGGTCCTACCACCAGTACAGATTAGAGTGAATGAAACCGCGGGACAAAAAGATGTCTATTACTGAACTTGACTTACGGTTATATGTGCCTCCGCCTAGATGTACGCCGAGTACGACGACACGGAGCTGGGAGCCCTCGACCTGGACGAGATCGAGGGTCACATGCCGGAGACGCACGCCATGCTGCTGCAGGCCGCCCAGGAGTTCGAGGCCTCGCAGAGGAAGTACAAACTCGACAAGGAAACCGAAATGAGGAGGTATGGTCCCGCATATTCAGTATATATAAAGGTTTTTTTTAAACACGCTTTATGTATCTATATATTTATAAAACTAGCTGACCTGGCAGACTTTGTAGTGCCTCAATCGATAAATAAAAGACCTAAATTTTTGTATAAAATAAACTTAAAACAAACAAAAGGAATCCGTCCGACGGGGGACACATCAAACGAAAAACAAAATTGTTATTTTTATTTAATTCCGAGCACTTTTTAAACCTTCTCTGGACTGCCACAAATAATTCAAGACCAAAATTAGCCAAATCGGTCCAGCCGTTCTCGAGTTTTAGCGAGACTAACGAACAGCAATTCATTTTTATATATTTGTATAAATATAAATAAAATAATTCTGTGCAAAGATATTCTTGAAAGTAATTTTTGATCATCTTCAACACGACCGATTAACTTGACAATTTTCACCAAGTTGCAATGCCGATAATATTATTTTACTTTTATTTAAAATTATTTAGTCTATAGTCTAATACTAGGTGCACTAATATAAAAAATGATGTAATTTTTTGTTTTGAGTTATCTACGGTATGTTATGGTATTTAAATTATTTTGTTTTTAAACTGTATGTTATATTATTTTGTATTTTAATTATAAATAAATTGCCCTTGATTTTGGTTATGTGTTGAGGTTGGTTGATGTTTGTAGAACTGCAATTGGTGATGCCCGAGGGCACAATGGCGGGTGTGGAGGTCGCGTTCAGAAACTAGCGAACTCAGGATATTGTTTCAACTTTTCCAGGTTACAACGTCTTCAGGAAATCGAAGAAGAATCTGAAGAAGATGTCGTCACCGTGGAAGTTGAGCCCAAGGAGAGATGGGACTGCGAGACTATTCTCAGTACTTACTCCAACTTGTACAACCATCCGAAACTCATAGAAGAACCTAAGGTACGTTCTGTTCCAATTTGTTGGAGATACATGGAGGTTGGAGTGATGACCTTAACCACAATGGAAATTTGTTTATGCTATCAGATTTAATATTAAGATATACATTAAAAACAAAAGAAGGCAAAGTTTTTTACTGGTGGTAGAACCTCTTGTGAGTCTGCGCGGGTAGGCGCCACCACCCCGCCTATTTCTGCCGTGACGCAGTAATGCGTTTCGGTTTGAAGTGCGGGGCAGCCGTTGTAACTATACTGAGACCTTAGAACTTATCTCAAAGTGGGTGGCGCATTTACGTTGTGGATGTCTATGGGCTCCAGTAACCACTTAACACCAGGTGGGATGTGAGCTCGTCCACCCATTTAAGCAATAAAAATAAAAAAAATCTATCTACCGACGGCGCAATATTCGTAAAAAGGGGTACAAAGTTATTGCTTCACGTATTAATATATAGATATATATTGCAGAAACCGAAGAGGATCGTGATAGATCCAAAAACTGGTATACCTAAGGACGTGCTCGGCGCCGACGGTGGGAAGCTGACGGTGAAGGCGCTGGCCAGGTTCAACGCCATGAGCGAGGCCGCCCCGTGCGCTGCCGACGTCGCCAGCCGCGCCGACACGCTGCTGTCCACGCTCAGCGCGCTCTCCATAAGGTGGGGTGGGCAACTCAGGGTCTCGCTTCGAACCTCACTGGAAAACGTATAGAAACGCCCAAGGAAACCGCGAGGGCAGTTCGCTTCAGTCTGATGCTGATGTAGGACAATAATATCTGGAGACGTTACGTTATACGCTCGAGATACATTTTACAAAAATACAAATTATAAATCTTTAATAATCACTACGAATGATACTTTCAAGCAGACTTCAACATCGTTTCTGCTGTTTGACGATAGATGGCGTTACTCGTGCCGCTATAGTAGTACTTAGGACGAACTCTATTCTGGTGGTTCTCACTAGCCCAGTGACATGCTGATATGGTCTCTATAGACAATCAATCAGCTTAGGTAGGGAAAAAATATCTAACCATTCCTAAATCTATCTTTTCATTTAGTACTATTTTCCCGTAGCTGGAATAGCCTCTTACTCTGCTACCAGCGAATGGGTAGGAAAACAAAATATTACTTAATCTCCACTAATTAAAATGAACATTTTAAAAAAAAACTTGTAACATTTCCCAGGCCCACAGACGAAAGTGTTGAAGAAAAGAGAGAACGAAAACGTTTATTGAAAGAATACAGACGAGAGAGGAGAATCGAGAAGAAAGCTAATAAAGAAGCTTTCAAGGAAGAGAAGAAACGGCAAGAGAAGATCATGATGAACAACAAGAATAATGTGCAAGGGAACAGAATATTGTAGGAGCAATAAATATTGTTTAATGTATAACAGGATTATTATTTATTATTTGTCGTACAAGGTCTAGAGAAACTGCGGCTTGAGCTAACAGTAGTTAGTACTCATTTATACTTATACTTATAATATTATAAAGAGGAAAGATTTGTTTGTTTGTATTGAATAGGCTCCGAAACTACTGAACCGATTTGAATATAATAATATTTGAATATAATACTGTATGGAAGCTACACTATTCCCGAGTGACATAGGCTATAATCTTTTTTTGACAAAAATTAAGGATCCTTACTAAAACTCCAATAATGTAACCCAAGGTGTAAATAAATTAGGTACCTAAAATATTCTTTACATCGCGTGCCCTGCGAGAACTATTAATGATAGAATAAAATAATGTACTACGACTTTGTAAAACACATAATTATTTACAAAAACTGTCGCGACAGCATATGTCTAACTACTATAGTTATGCCGCAATAAGTGTTCTTTTATTTAAAAAAATAAAACAACGTCAATTATCGTTGAATTTTTTTTTTAAATCCCGAGCTTTATTTAACAAAAAAAAAGGTGAGGTTATATGGCCAAGTAACTTAAAAAAATATGAAATGTTTATTTAAGTATAATATGTTAAAAAAAACCAGTCCAATATCTGTTATTAAATTTCTGTAATTCGATCATCAACATACAAACAACAATACTATAATCTAAGATCAATCTTCAGTTTACTAAAAATATGTTTTTTTCTATATACAGATCAAATTGCATATACCAACATATCTTAAATAGTATGTATACAAAAATTGTATATATACTAATTGTAACACTCCTTTTGTCTGATAAATAAATACAAAAAATTGAAGTGTTCGATATCTTTATTAAATGCTTTTCAAAAGCTCACGATATTACGATACAGTTATGGGCAAGATACTTTAACCATTTTCATCCAAAAGTGTTTCCACAACCCATAACATATAATATCTTTGTTTTTCATTTCTCTATATAAATGTTATATTTATTATTTCATTAACACATCTTAATGATATTTATTACATAATAGTAGCTGAAGGGTACCTACGTGAACCTTTGACGCTCTATATCGCTAGTGTAGTGTGTTCACGAGTGCTAACGCTCCCGACTACGTCATTACGATAGATTGACAAGAACAAGTGCCGGACCTCCCAGGGTTAGGACAGCGTGAGACCCTCGTAGCCCAGACTCTCGGGGTCCGGAGACTCGATCCTGTTCTTCAGATGCTGCAAAGTGTTGTGGAAGTGTTTCGTGATCTGCTCCACTTCTTCGGACTGATCTAAGTTGGCCAGCTCCTCGCGTATTTTCTGTATTATCTGTGGACGAAATTAGTTTAACGTTAATGAAGACTTTTGCGGGAACGCGACGAGTGTGAGGTCGTGTGATTTGTTTTATTTTGTCTATTTAGTGTTTCTTTAGGATTAAATGGCGGTTTATTGACTGTTTAATATATTTGAAAGTGCACAAATGTGGGAAAACGAAACAAAGCCGCTGGACGTAACTTCTCGGGATCCTCCAAAAAGTCCACTGAAAAAACCACAGTAAATGACCACCATTTACTGAGATTATATTTTATCTCATCTCATTTCATTTAATTTCACCCTAGTTGATTAATATCCCAAATTAATCATCTTTATTTCATTAAATTTCATTTCACTTCACTTCATATTATTATCAAAACATATTATTATGAATGACATCGTTTCTAGCGGCAAGTTCATACTGGTTGAACTTACCTAACGTCGCGAGTCGCGCTTCGCCACTACTTAGACCGCGCCTGCGGTTCGTACGTGAACACTCTTATATTTACTGGTGGTAGGACCTCTTGTGAGTCCGCGCGGGTAGGTATATCGCGGGCCTTGAGCGAATCATGAAAATCCGTAACGAAAAAAACCTAACACCCCTAACTCCGCCTACCATGTAGCTCGCGTTCAACACATTCACACGGTGCGCTTGTGTAGTGTTTGTGAATAAGCGCGCGGCGTGACGTCGCACTGCATGCGCATCACGAAAAGTCTGCCCATCTCTCTCTCGCGCGGTCTAGCTTATGAGTGTGAAGGGGACAGTTAATGTTTTGCTTTTATTAATGTTTAATATAGCGTGGTCTTGTTTTATTGTTGTTTTAATATTAAATTATCATTGTCTAATTATAATTGCATAAGTTGATAAAAATGCTATGCAATAGCTTTACCGCGGCAGTCCCCGAGTGCCACACGTGCTTTTTTTCGTGTAAAAGATTTGTATTAGTGTGTTTAAAATGACACCTAACGCATTAATAGCCGCCGGAGACACAGGAGACGGCGACCTGACCGCCAAACTCTACCCGCCTCCCAAACGCCGGGAGGTGCCCTTAGGTGTTCGTCCATCGCCTGGGTCTTGGCTGTTCGTACCCTCGCCTTCCTACGTGAACAAGCACTTATTCCGGCTTAATCTTTCAAAATCGATATTATTATTTTTTTGTGTAAAAAATCTGTGTTTGTGTGTTTGTGATGTCTATAGAGAGTGAACTCGCCGCGTCGATGAGGCTGGGCGTGAGGCTCTGGTTGCCGCGCTCCCGCAGCAGCGCGTATCTGCCCAGCAGCTCGGCCAGCAGCTGCGCCTGCACGCCGCCGTCCATGCACTGCTGGGCCACGCGCGCCGCCTTCTTCAGGCAGTCCAGCGCGCGGGACGCGTCGTTCAGCGCCCACACCTGCATGCGAGCGAACTTATACTGGTGATAGGACCTCTTGTGAGTCCGCACGGGTAGGTCCACCACCCCGCCTATTTCCGCCGTGAACCAGTAATGCGTTTCGGTTTGCAGGGCGGGGCAGCCGTTGTAACTATACTTGAGATTTTAGAACTTATATTTCAAGGTGGGTGGCGCATTTACGTTGTAGATGTCTATGGGCTCCAGTAACCACTTAACACCACTAAACACAATAAAAAATAAAAAGCCACATGGGGTCTCGGGGTGCGAGGGTCCCCGGGCGGTGCGTACCGGGCGGCCGTCCCTGGTCCCCTTCCAGAAGAGATGCGAGCAGAGCGCCACGGCCCTGCTCTGGTCCGGCTTCTTCAGCAGCTTGCTGGCCGCCAGCGCGCACTGGGTGCGCATCGGCTCCGCGTTCTCAGCGCCTGCGTACAACATACTCCACATTACACTTATGTTCCATTGATACCACAGTCATCCCATAGACACAGCCCACTGAGTTTCTTGATCGGATCTTCTCAGTGGGTCGCATTTCCGATCCGGTGGTAGATTTCGCGAAGCACGACTCTTGCTAGGGCTAGTGTTAGAAACGTNAGAGAGTGAACTCGCCGCGTCGATGAGGCTGGGCGTGAGGCTCTGGTTGCCCCTCTCCCGCAGCAGCGCGTATCTGCCCAGCAGCTCGGCCAGCAGCTGCGCCTGCACGCCGCCGTCCATGCACTGCTGGGCCACGCGCGCCGCCTTCTTCAGGCAGTCCAGCGCGCGGGACGCGTCGTTCAGCGCCCACACCTGCATGCGAGCGAACTTATACTGGTGATAGGACCTCTTGTGAGTCCGCACGGGTAGGTCCACCACCCCGCCTATTTCCGCCGTGAACCAGTAATGCGTTTCGGTTTGCAGGGCGGGGCAGCCGTTGTAACTATACTTGAGATTTTAGAACTTATATTTCAAGGTGGGTGGCGCATTTACGTTGTAGATGTCTATGGGCTCCAGTAACCACTTAACACCACTAAACACAATAAAAAATAAAAAGCCACATGGGGTCTCGGGGTGCGAGGGTCCCCGGGCGGTGCGTACCGGGCGGCCGTCCCTGGTCCCCTTCCAGAAGAGATGCGAGCAGAGCGCCACGGCCCTGCTCTGGTCCGGCTTCTTCAGCAGCTTGCTGGCCGCCAGCGCGCACTGGGTGCGCATCGGCTCCGCGTTCTCAGCGCCTGCGTACAACATACTCCACATTACACTTATGTTCCATTGATACCACAGTCATCCCATAGACACAGCCCACTGAGTTTCTTGATCGGATCTTCTCAGTGGGTCGCATTTCCGATCCGGTGGTAGATTTCGCGAAGCACGACTCTTGCTAGGGCTAGTGTTAGAAACGTCACCAGGTTAGATCCCGTGAGCTCACCTACTCGCCCAGCGAATCTAATATAGCATTTTCTAAAAAAAACTACCCAGTGCAGACATTTCCATGGACCACACCCTGAATATCACCAAACCCTGACTGGATTGCGTCGCAGGTTGAGGAATAAATTAGCAGACCAAAGTGGTTCATGACAAAGCCATTAAACTTGCGAGGGAGACAGCAAGATGTTTTGTCCTGGATTCGGGTTCCACTCGTGACAATGACGGTGCAACACTTGGTACACACCATCTTGAGGCCTGAGGTCCAAATTCCAATGTCATATATAGCAGAAGATAATTTGTTTGACAAAAAATTTTAAATCAAAGTTTCCGGTGACATAGCAAACTCACCAAAACAATTGATCTGCTCGAAGGTGGCTATTATCAATGTTATTGCGGCCAGTTGCGCTTTGCTGTCGGATATCTCGTCTTCATACAGCGAGAAAGCTTGCGACAGGAACTCATAAGCTATCGTTTCATGATTGGCAAATCCTATTTCGCTTATCGCCAAAGCTCCCTGGAGGTACAACCTGAAATTAATGTAACATATTTACACACACCATTCAGTACCGATGGGAAGATAATTTTATTATTGCTTGTAGTGGGGAGCCATTATGGAGCCAATTATGGAGGATAGAAGTAAGAAGGATCATTTCAGTGTATAAAAGACTTTTTGACGGGAACGCAAGGAGTGAAGTTGTGTGATTTGTTTTATTTTGTCTATTTAGTGTTTCTTCGGGTTTAAATGTGTAATAACGGTGGTTTATTAACTGTTTAATATCTGTTTAAGGTGCACAAATGTGGGAAAATGAAACAAAGCCGCTGAACGTAGCTTCTCGGGATCCTCCAAAAAGCCCACTGAAAAAGTTTCAGTCATCCCATATCATATCATGTCATTTCATTTAATTTATCTCAGTTGATTAATGTCTCAAATTAATCATCTTCATTTCATTTCAGTCCATATTATCATTTTACATAAAAATCAGAATATAAATTAAAATAAGACATGACCTAAAGGTTTTAGTTAACAGGTCATAAAATCCCTAAAAAAAAAAGAGTGTATTAAAAAGTGTCTGCTGAATGGGGGTCAATTAAGGTGGCGTCACTGTAGCAACGCCATGGTAGGCAGCGGCTTGGCTCTGCCCCTGGCATTGCTGAAGTCCATGGGCGACGGTAACCACTCACCATCAGGTGGGCCGTATGCTCGTCTGCCTACAAGGGCAATAAAAAAAAATAAAAAAAGTGGAAAATTAAAAAAAAAAACAGCGCCAAAGACTACACTTCACTTCAACCCAGTACACTTAACTCTGTTTAAAACTGCCATATTTATATTACTTCCATTTCTTACACTATCGCTATTTCAGTGACTGACAATAACTTGCAATTTACATTTTTTTTTTTTTTTTTATTGCCCTTGTAGGCAGACGAGCATACGGCCCACCTGATGGTGAGTGGTTACCGTCGCCCATGGACTTCAGCAATGCCAGGGGCAGAGCCAAGCCGCTGCCTACCGCTTAATACTTAATACATGTGATCATTTTCTCAAATTGTCCTTTATACAAGACTCCTCCTTACTTCTCCTCCTCCTTTACCCTCCACACATATACAGAAAACAAAGTATTTCACAGATAATTACCTGAATCTCACTAACGAAAATTTCAAGATAAGTTTGCATACGTATAAGCTCCTGACATTAACATTAGGACCGTCGTCCACTGAGCAACTTCACCAGTTCACATGACATTAACATATAAGCACAAAAGCTCNTACAAGACTCCTCCTTACTTCTCCTCCTCCTTTACCCTCCACACATATACAGAAAACAAAGTATTTCACAGATAATTACCTGAATCTCACTAACGAAAATTTCAAGATAAGTTTGCATACGTATAAGCTCCTGACATTAACATTAGGACCGTCGTCCACTGAGCAACTTCACCAGTTCACATGACATTAACATATAAGCACAAAAGCTCGCAAGAGTCGAACAGTCTGGTTAGATTTTCCTTAGTCCCAAGGAGCAGCGTACCTCAGAGGGAGTTCGGCCAATTCCGCCTTCACGAGCATGGTGATGGTCTGGTGACAGAACTGGAATATCTTCTGGCATTTCTTCTCCCACATCTCGTCCTGTTCATTAGAAGATTTAAATAAACATTTTGTTTTTATTGCTTTGACGACTAGCTCACGGTTTATCGGGTGTTAAATACCGGAGCCCATAGACAACAACGTGAATGCGCCATCCTCCTCGAGGGCATTAGTGAAAACTTCTTAATGTTATGAGTTTCATAATTTTTTTATTACTTAGTTGGATAGACTAGCTCACAGCCCACCTGGTCTTACATGGTTACTGGAGCCCATAGACATCTACAACATAAACGCCGCTACTCACCTTGAGACACAAGTTCTAAGGTCTCAGTATAGTTACAACGGCTGACCCAGCCTTCAAACCGCAACGCATTACTGCTTCACGGAAGAAATAGGCGGGGCGGTGGTACCTACCCGTGCGGACTCACAAGACGTCCTACCACCAGTGAATTCTTATTGAATGACGTCACTCCTTCCTAATTCAACTGCTGCTACGGTTTATACTGGCCTTTATTAATGTCATTGCATTTTTCGTGACGTCACGAACGCTTGACAGTCTCTGAGGCGACGGACCAGTGACGTAAGCAGCTCTGAGTTATCAACTTTGAAGGTAAATGTAGTTTTAATATTTGATACATTGGCAACAGGTACTCCGAGCAGCCTAACGGACGCACCTGGTCTTTGAGGTCCTTATAAACGAACGCCAGACGGTAAGCGTGGAACACCAGCGGCGGGAACGTGTGCTGGATCCTCCTCGCTCCGCCACCCTGAAGGATCTTCCTCGCTGTGCTGGTTATCAGATACTGCTGGTCGGCGGAGTCCGATTTGAAATGATGAATCAGTCTGAAATGAAACAACAAAGTTTTTTTTTTTATTGCCCTTGTAGGCAGACGAGCACACGGCCCACCTGATGGTGAGTGGTTACCGTCGCCCATGGACTTCAGCAATGCCAGGGGCAGAACCAAGCCGCTGCCTACCGCTTAATACTCTCCACAAGCCTCGTTTGAAGAAGGACATGTCATAGCGCTCGGGAAACACCGTGGAGGGGAGCTCATTCCATAGCCATCATCCTTCAATAGGCACCGGTTATGCTGGTATAATAGCCGGCAAACTTCTTGAGCATTTGTTGACGTAGTGGGGGTAAGTTTGCGCATGGTACACTCACGTGCAAAAACATTATTTACTCTGCGTCATAATGCAATTAAATTATTAAAATCAACATATGTATTTTTGTATATATTTATTAGAACATCAACAAAAAATGTAGGTTAATAATTGTAATAATTTAATCTTGGGGTAAAATACATAGATATTCCTTCTATTAAGTCAAAACTAGAGCCAGGTCTTGGTTCAGTTGAAGCGAAGCTGGTATTTGTATATTTTTTTTCGTTATCATGATCTTGACCATCATCATCATCACTGTTTTCATCACCCGAGTCGCTATCATCGTGATTAGTCGACATAGGGCTCATCGGTGTAGTTTACAACTCGGTCGATTCGGACTTCTTTTTTGTCTATAATTAATTATTTTTTGAAAATATTCGATTCGTAGTAATCGAATGTTACTTTTTTCAATTACCAGCTTCCGATTATTTTCTGTTCTTTTTTTCCATCTAAAGCCTAGCTCTTTCATAATACGTCGTAAGCTTCATTCCGAGCCATTAAAATTTATATATTCTTAAAAATTTTCGAAGCCTTTCTACGGTACGGAGTTTCGCTGCTTGTTATGTAGTTATTATGATTACATCTTTTTATTACAGATTGAACGAAACTATCCATTCCGGTAACTTTCTTCTTCCCTGATCTTTTCTTACCCGGAGTCCGCAACACGGCGAGCAAGCCAGAGCCTTTAGCTTCCTTAATAATGCACCTAACAGTCCTCACTGATGGTTTTGTTACTTCCGAAGTCTGTTTTAATTTTTCCATATCATTTTTCCTCTGTTTTATAATGAAGCAATATTCGTCGTACACAATTTTTCTACCCTTTCTTTTGAATACTACACCGGTTTGTCGCGGCATAGTGTATGTTTTATAAAAAATCAACAAACACTCAACAAATAGCAATGGCAACAAAGTCCACAAGTAATTATAACAAATAACTTAACGATTAATAACGATAAACTTTAATAATATAACAACTTTCCACTGTACGCAAGCGTACTTTGGGAGCAAGCGGAACGAGGGCGCGGTGCGGGACGCAAGGTTCGACTGATCTACCAATAACGCGCTCGATACGATGTCCCCTGCCGTCGCGCCTCACCCTCACCACCAAAGAGATCTAAAATTCGGTTCTGCGCAGTCAAGGTCATTTGCTCAAGATGTTTGCCGGTTACTATATCTACAAAGTGTTTATTAACGACTTCCACAATGAAGGAGTAGCATCGTGCAATAAAGTCATAAGGGGACGTCCATTAATTACGTGAGGTGTTTTTAGGAGATTTTTAATAAAATGAGGAAACTGAATATAAAGCTCCGAGTCAGGCTGCTCATGTGCTATATCTGGCCTATCGTCATGTATGCTTGCGAAACGTGGATCCTGAAGAGGACACTACAAGACGCCTACAGGCATTCGAGATGTGGTGTTACCGTCGCATGTTACGCATTAGTTGGACGCAGAGGGTCAGGAACGAAACCGTGCTTCAGCGCGTTCATATGTCCCGGAAAATGTTGCCTTCTATCAAAAAGCGCAAGATAGAATATCTCGGCCACGTGCTCAGGAACGATAGATGCATGCTGCTGCAGCTGATAATTATGGGCAAAGTGGACGGAAAGAGACGTGCTGGGCGAAGAAAGAAGTCATGGCTCCGGAATATCCGGGAGTAGACCGGTATTGCCTCCGTGGAACAGCTGTTCCGACTGGCTGCTGATAAAAATGAATATAGGAAGCTAACTGCCAACATTCGGGATTGAAGAGGTACCGGAAGAAGCAGTTCTAGGGGGGGGACGGGATCAAGCTAAATCTTTCCAAATCTCACTTAGGATTCTTGGCAAATAACATGTAATTATATTTTTCGTAGAAAACGGTGTAAAATTGCGTGAACAATTATTTCTAGAATAAAATATGGCCAAATCTGGGAGGCCCTTCCTCTCGAGATCAGGACTATTACTAACCGCTGCACGTTCAAGTTAAGGGTTCGGCGAATGTTGTTGGAAAAGTTAGCGGAATCGTCATGAACTTATTAAGATGAAGTTATTTGTTAAGGAAATTTATTAATATATTCCTTTTAATACTGTATAAACTATTATATGTATGTTTGTATGTATATATGTATGTATATGTATATGTGATTTTGTATATATGTAGATATATTTTTTTTGTATGTATTCATAGCTTAATATAAATTTCATTGCACCTACCACTATTTACTCTGCACTACCTTTGGTTGACTGGTAGAGAATGCCTTAGGCATTAAGTCCGCCAATGTAAATTTTACATGAAGTGTAATAAATAAATAAATAAAAAAAAGATAGTATTTTTCGTATTCGTCCGAACTTCGTAGAGCAGAGAAGTAGCGCTCGATTGTTCAGCTCTATCGACACGTGCGAGTCGACAAACATCGCGACGTATAAAGAGCCGAATAACAGCGACGCGCGGACACGTTCTAGCCTGCTTTGTTTTAAAGTTTTGAAAAATCTCGCGTGAGATTAGAGGGGGGCAGGGAGCTCAGAAAAATCTTACGATATCTCACCAAGGGGGGAGAGGGGGTCAAAAATTCTCAAAAACGCCTCACGCAATTAATGGATGCCCCCTAAGTGCAAAAAATTTGCATAATTATTGACAAAACTATCAAAGCTCGTATCTCAAGGCAGCATTGACGTCTTGTGTTCATAAACTCCAATTCCCTATAAGCAGTCTAGAGTAAGACCATCTACCATGATGATATAGTAGTTCCGAGTTACCTGGCCAACAACCCCTGTTCTTCCACGAAGTCTTCAACGTCGCTTTCAGAGGGCGGCTGATCCGGCTGGTCCTTCACCAGCACATCCAAGAGACCGAGGACAGCTTCGACCTAACAATATCGACTTATTATTATCTACTAGTGGCCTCGCAGTGGTCGAAATTCGACTATAATTAATTGAAATTATAAGTTTAAGCATTATTATGGTTCTATTGTCAAACACTATTATAATTAGATAATGTAATCACAGTATTCGCCAAAACTGCACTATAGATCAATAATTTAATGACAAACAATATTAATCTATTTTCAGTTTGACCACAGACTTTAAACAATAACAAGTTTCCCAATTTACAGTAAACAAAGAGTATATTTTTATGTATGTGTTGTGTCAAATACATGGTAGTGTGTGTAATGTGTTGTTTGATTTAATGTATCTTTTATGCATTATTTAAAAAAGATACTAGCATTGTGCACTTCTTCTCATGCATTCCAAATCCACATCGGCTTCGATGACCACTTAACATCAAATAAATCGTTCATCCATTCTCCTGTGTGATGATATTTATTGCTATAGATTGACATTTCTCAATCTGCAGTCTACTTGACTCTTTTCCATCATTCAGTGATTCTTTCATTCCACCATTGAATAAGACCGCCAATTCTCCTTTTTTTGTATTTAATGTTTCGCATTGTTGATATACAATAACGAATTCTCTCTCACTCTCTTTCTTTCTTTCTCTATCTCTCTCTCTCCCTCTCTTTCTTTCTCCATCTCTCTCTCCCTCTCTCTTTCTCTCTCCCTCTCTCTTTCACACACTCACTCTTTTTTCTCTATCTCTCTCTCTCTCTCTCTCTCCCCCCTCTTTCTGTCACTCTCTTTCGAGGCCTCGACTAGACCCGTGAATGAAGTCAACTAAGCTTCGAACGTAGAGACAAACGCTTACATCTTGCGGAGTGGATATTGCGGTGTTGGTCTCCAGCACGTCGTTGATGAGGTGGACGGCTATCATCACCCGACCCTGGTAGCTGAGGTGTCGTATCAGCGGCGCGTAATTGGACAACTTAATCAGCACCAATATGTTCTTGTAGTGGTCGCAGGGCAGCTTGATGATCTTCATCAGTTCCTTGAAGACTGGCGTGTGGTGCTCCAACGTGGACTGGCCGCTGGAAACAGAGTTAGTACAAGGTTTATTGACGTAAGAAAATGTTTTTTTTATTGCCCTTGTAGGCAGACGAGCACCTGATGGTGTGGTTCTTACTGGTGGTAGGACCTCTTGTGAGTCCGCGCTGGTAGGTACCACCACCCTGTCTATTTCTGCCGTGAAGCAGTAATGCGTTTCGGTTTGAAGAGCGGGGCAGCTGAGACCTTAGAACTTATATTTCAAGGTGGGTGGCGCATTTACGTCGTAGATGTCTATGGGCTCCAGTAACCACTTAAGACCAGGTGGGCTGTGAGCTCGTCTACCCATCTAAGCTATAAAAATAAAAAAAATCTACCAATGAGCATAGTGTTTGCAACAACGCCGCGACGGCGCGTGGGTGAGCTCACAGGTTCAACTTTAGAGGTTTGCTAACACTGGTCCTAACCAAAGCAGCGCTTCGCAGAATCTACCACCGGATCGGAAACGCGACCCACTGAGAAGATCCGGCGAGAAACTCAGTGGACTGTGTCTGTGGGTTAATTTACTCATCGAACCCGTCGCTCGCGACGGTGACCGGTGCTTGTGGTACCCAAAAGCACCGTTAATGAATCGGGAGGATCCGTAATGACGTATTTAGGGCAACGTGGTGTTTACCATTCGGTCCACAGGATCGGGTATGTAATTCCCGGCGGCCACAACAAGGGGGTTTTTATGTCGTGCGCCTTCTCAAAGTGACTAGCGGTCATGGTAGGATCCTATCAAATAATAGTATTTAGTGTAGGTAAACAAGAAGTAAAAGGGGTAAAACAAGAAGTAATCTCTCAAGTCCGCGTGTTCACCTGGACTGATGTATGTCAGCGCAGATCTTGTCCGTGTGAGCTAGAACCCGGTCCACATAGTTCAGCTTGTCCGGGTGACATCGCTGAGCTAGCTTGAGCAGAGCGAGTTGGAGGCTCAGCATGTCTTCTTGGGGCATGTCGACCCTGCTCTGGTGACAAAATATCTCAATAAATCTCCACGGTCAGTCTAAGCTCATTGTTTATGCAAGCATTACTGATGGCAGGACGTCTTGTGAGTCTGCACGGGTAGGTACCACCACCCTGCCTATTTCTACCGCGAAGCAGTAATGCGTTTCGGTTTGAAGGGTGGAGAAGCCGTTGTAACTGAGACCTTAGAACTTATATCTCAACGTGGGTGGCGCATTTACGTTGTAGATGTCTATGGGCTTCAGTAACCACTTAACACCAGGTGGGCTGTGAGCTCGTCCACCCATCTAAGCAATAAAAAATAAAACACATAATTATTGGAGTCCATTATAGACATCACACAGAAAATGTGATGTCAATCGATTGTGTAACATCCGTGCCGGCCACTGCATTGTTTTAAAATAATATTTAGTATCTCAAAGACTGGCTTACCTGGGTTATCGCAGCAACTTGATCAGAGAAAACTTCGAACAGTTGGACTTCTTGTTCTTGTCCATCTTCCAGGACCACGCTTAGATTCATATTGCCTTCATTCCTCTGTAATTTGATAATGGAATCATAATGCAGTTTACACACACATGGTAGGTTATGATGAGGTAATTCGATGATTTTCAGCTAGGATGTGATGGAAGGATAACACAGCTAGGCATGAGGGCAAAATTTGAAACGGAATCATCGGCAATAAAGGTTCTGAAGAAATAATATTCTCAAACACTAAGACTAAAGTGTCTATATATTGAAAAGACTAAATTTGTAACATTTTTCCCCTCCCATCTAGTCCTGGCTGGAACATATCGAGGTGCCAAAAAACCATTGTATAGTAAAAATAATAAATAAAAAGAATAGTATACAATAAACAAACACAAATATTCCCTCACATTCACATTTCATATACGGACCTGGCTATATGAAGCGAGCCTCTCGATCAGTGCTATGATGATGTTCTTGATGTTGACTCCGGGTTGGAGTTCAGCACACGACTTGAGGAACGGCTGCAAGTTGGCCAGATGGAACTCATCCGGGAACACCTGAATGGAATAAGATTCAATCATCATCATCATCATCATCATCATTATCCTCATCATCATCATCATCATCAGGCTTTATGTTCCCACTGCTGGACATAGGCCTTCCCCAATGCCTTCCAAGAATGCGGTCCAAGATTCAATAATTGTTGAAAATTATCAAGATTCTGTTTGATAAAATAAAGTTAACTCTGCTTTATTTAAGAGTTAAGGGAACGTACCCATACTACGTGACCCGTTTAGGGGGGGGAGCGGACTCTTTAAAATACTACGGTCAGTCACAGGAGCGAGGGGGTGGCTCAGGTTTTTGTCACGTAGTCGATTTTAGTGAGAGAAATCTCGTATTTTTTCGACCTATATTCGAATATAGCGCGCAGTGTTTAGCGCTTTTTAAACTCACAGTTGGTGGCGCTGACGTATAAGACGAATATTAATGTGATTAAACAGAAAATAATTATTGTGTTCGTAAATTAAGTTACTGTAAGTTACATACTGTATAGCAATATGTTTTCACAAATGTTGTTCTTTTTTATAATACATAATTCACTAGTAATTTAAGTGTGCATGCAGTCTTATGCAATCAGAGTAAGAACGAAGAAGAGTATGAACCAAATATATTTTTTCAATTTTTACCTGTGAAATGATTAAAAATCATAATTATTAATTACTACGTGAAAACTAAAGAGGAAGAGGGGTCTTGGCATATACTACGAGTGATCACCAAGGGGAGGGAGAGGTCGAAAAAACAAAAAAAAATAGGTCACGTAGTATGGGTACGTTTCCTAAGATAAGATATTCATATTTTATTATGTGATATTTTTAATTTTTTAAATTTGCCGCTGTAAAAGCTCTGTTATGACAAACAATTGATATTTGTTTATTGAAATCATCAAGATTAAGATAACCTTTATTAACAATGTAATTTAAGTTACATTTTTATTAATTTTAATAACTAGGTCACTAGCGCGATATATGTAGGTATTTAAAAATTCAAATATGTAAGTATACATTTATTATCTAGTTTTATTATTCAACACCGGTTTCTTGATCGTCTTGCTGTACAGCATAGGCCTCCCCAGGAGTTCTCTTCTGCGTTTTTCTCATGCAAGTCGTTCCTGCTACAATTTTGATGTCATCTTCCTATCTACATTGTTGTCTGCCTTTATTTCGCTTTGTATATCATGGACACCATTCTGTCTCTCCATTGGCTCATTTTTCTGTTTTATCTCGAATTAAATGTCCATTTCCATTTCAGTTGTTGTATTCAGTATTTTATATGTATGATCTTTGTTTGTTTTCTTATTTTTGTGTTAAGGAAATTAAAATTGAAATCATGGCGGTTGTTAAATCCTGCTCATCATCATCATCATCATCTCAGCCTATCCGCTGTCCACTGCTGAACATAGGCCTATCCAAGTGATCTCCAGTGCGGCCGGTCCGTTGCCACCTGCATCCAATGTGACCCAGCGGTTCTTTGTCTTTTGTAGTTTCCTCATTACTGAGGGTTGTGACCACCTTGGTCCAGTTTTTGCACTAGTTTCCTCCAATGTTGCCTGCATTCTGCCTGCTTAATGGCCGTCACGTCACGTGGAAGGAAAGAGAAGTCGATGAAGATTGCCAATCAGGTGGACAGACATTGTCAAGGAGTCCACAAACACCAGCGTCCCGGGCGCCATTACGCAGCGATTCTTACCAGGTCGTAAATCCTGCTACAAAATAAATACTTTCTGACCTGTATGATACACTCCATGAGGTACTCCTGCGCTATGGCGTCCCTGCAGCTCACGACCTGCTCCAAGATGCCGGGTAGCACCATCCTGCGGTAGTCCTCCACCGTGACGGACTCCAGTTGCGAGAGTCGAACCAAATTCGTGCCAACTAATATACGAAGCTCAGAGCGTTCCCGTTCGCGGCGCTCTTTATCTCTGAAAAAAAATTGCCAATTCAATAAACAATAATAATACGGCTCAAAACTTATGCAAATATTCTGATCAACATGAACTATGTGCTAAAAGCTTTTTTTTGATGATTGAGGAATTACTGGCCCGGAGGCCTTTCCAGTTTCACCAGGACAAGTGGGCGAGCTAAGGCTCAGCCAGGAGCCGGTTTGGAATGTTTAATGACGGAAAGAAAGATCTTCCACCGAGCGGGTGATATTGCTCGGTAGACCGACGGTCCGAATGTTGTTGTTCGGAACTTGTATACATGCAAGCTTATCTTGAAAAAGTCGTAAGCGAGATTCAGGCACCTGTCAAATATCTTGCGTGGTATGATGGCTACCGCCACAGGATTTGGTGACAGCTGTCCGAGCGCCTCCAAGGAGACCTAACTACTCAAGAGCAATTGCTACGCAAATCAATCACCTACCGGATCGGAATCGCGACCCGCTGAGAAGATAGGAACTCAGCGCGCTAGGAGTGAAATATGCTGTTGATTATAAACAGGCTGGATGCAAACAACACGAGAGCAGTAGTTGTGCCAGGTCGCATTGAACATTTCATTTGTGTGCATTATTGTAACATTTAAAAATATTGTATTGTAGAAAACCCTAATGATATTTTTGGTCAAAATGTGCTTATTATTTAGAATGGCATATCCCGCATCATACCTTGAGTGTCCCTGGTGCTGCATCCTGACCCACAGCTTGTTCATTTCGGCGAAATTCATCAGGACAAAATCAACAGCGTCTCGTACCTGAAATATATGAATTTAAAACTTCTTATTTTCAATTACATCTGCTTGTAATATTACTATGATTTTCAAATCTTTTATTATTATTATTCTTTAGTGGTTACTGTAGCCCATAGACATACAACACAAATGCCGCCACCCACCTTGAGACATGAGTTCTAAGGTCTCACTTTTAATAGTATAACGGCTGCCCCGCCCTTCAAACCGAAACGCATTACTGCTTCACGGCAGAAATATGCAGGGCGATGGAACCTACCCGTGCGGAATCACAAGATGTCCTACCACCAGTAAGTCTAGCCTAGTCTCTCATCATTTTGTACACAGGGTTTTATTTACTGAGCTAAAAGGCCTAATTTTCAGTTCAAAAACACTGTTTTACACACTCACACAATTTTTTGTCATTTAAAAAACATCGATCAAACAATGCAGCTTATCTGTGCAACAAATTGCACTTACACAAACTATGCCGGAGCACAGACTACTCCTTGTGCACATCAAAGATTAAAAACTTGTTGTCAATAAGTAGAGGCTATTTAAATTACTCACAGTTCCCTCGTTTTCATTTGGGGCTTCGTGTGTGTCCGGTAAAACGTTCCTTGTGCACTGCAATAGGTAATTCCTAAGGAAAAGTCCTCTCAAAGGATGCTGAACTCCGCGACACATCTCAACCAGATCCTGAAAAGCAAGATCATTCAGACATTAAAGTTGAATCAGGAGTTAAAGACTTTAGTTACAAGCTTAATATTTCTCTCAAAGGTTATCTGTTCAAAATTTCCCCACCTTGGAAATAGTAGAGTATACAACATCAGAAATCACTATACTATACGAACCTTCAATAGATCTCTTCGCAGATTCGTGTTTGTTTTGATGTAGACCAGTCCTACTGTGATTAACAGGTACAATCTAGGTACAATGTTCCCGGCATATTGGACCAGTTCGTAAAGATCTGCAACCTTCCTTCCCTTTTGGAACTCCTCCAGAAGATACAGCTCTAGGTGACGCAGTTCATCTGTTATTGCCATATCTGATGTCTGAGAGTTACGAAATTTATTTATCACCCATAAAAAAGTTGATATATGAATCTTACACAGAGATAATTTATCTTCAATAAATAATTCTGAACTGAATTTCAAAGGATACAAAGCTCATAATAGCTCTTTGGTGATAACAGTGAAGTTCTCAATTCACCCAGCATTGTTGATGCATGTTTCAGGGCGTCCATCAATTTAGATTTGTCCAGACATCTTTTCATTTGAAATGCCTGAAAACAATTAAAAATACATAATAAATTATATCATGTTGTGAAAAAGTGGTAGTATTATAACTTTTATTTATCAAAGTGTAATTGTAAGGCATGAGCAGTCAAACTGACTTCTCCACACTGTGGCAATACTGAACACATTTTTAGTCCCTCTCTCTTTAAGCTCACACATATATTGCTGAACATAGGCCTCCCCCAAAGCCTCGACACAATGACCTGCTGCATTGCCGGCATCCAAGGAGAGGATCCTCAATTTTTCACAGGTCATTGTTCCAGCTTGCAAACCTACCCACTCAAAATCTTTTTGATCCCAGTGCCATCTGCGAGCCTTACCTACTGCTGCTTCAACCTCACAATTTCTTGAATCATTAATTCAGATTTGTTTCTTACCATGTAACATGCAGCTTTACTTTAAATTACTCTATTCCTTTTAATAATTATAACTACTACTTAAATTAAAAGTTTGAAACTCTTTTATGCCAAATTCACCACAATTACCTGAACTTTAACAATGTTCAAGGCCTCCTCTAGGAGTTTCTCCTGCTCTTCGACTGGAGACACCTGGTTTGTCATTTGGGCCTGTAGATTGGGTCAATCAAAATGATTATTACGTTGTAAACTGTGCCAAATAAACCTTTTTTCAAAATTGAAGCATGTCATCCTTACAACAATAAAAAACCTATAAGCCTAGAATAGTACATTCACAATAGTTAAAATAACATTTCGTAATGATTTCATGTATTTTTTTTCTAAATTATGCTGTATCTAGCACATTCTCACAGATTATAGGTCTACAGAGGGATTTCAGTTCCCACTGTATTTTGTACTGTATGTTTCATGGAGAGTGTTCTGAGGAATTGTTTGAGATGATACCATCATATCGTTTTTACCATCACACCGCCCACTAACGGAGTAGAGTTCATTCATACTAATTGGAACCACTGCGTTCATCCATTCTTTAAAGAAACTTGAAAGAAATTAACAGATTTCATAACAGAAAAATTAACAGACTTCAAGCAGTTGATGATTTGTGTACAAGGACTTTGTAGTTAAAAGGGTGTATGTGTCTATGTTAGTAGTTAATAATATGATAAATACGTTTATACATAAATATGCCCCTGAATGTTTAGTAAAGGTCAAACAATACACATCACCGTAAATTCCGAAACCAAGACATGTAACATAATTATTAATGATTTTTTTTACAAAGATAGAATATTCAACTGTGTAACATAATCATATTACCAAAACTTTCATTAAACTAAGGAGTGTTGTTAGTTCATTTTTAAAATCAGCTGGATGTTATAAATGCAGTGGAAAAAGAAAATTAACTGGCCGACATCGTTCACAGAATATTTACAACTGTATCAACTTTAAAATCATGCACCTTAGAACACAAAAGCACTCAATTTATTTATCAATGTCTAACTCACTGTTGACCAAACATACAGAAATGGGTGGCCTATTCCCGCCATTTGTCGTTTTTAACGATGATATTGAGCTGTACGCATTTAGTAACGCACCTGAGTAACTAATCCGATGCAATTGAAAAACCAGATAAGGCTTTTTTGCAAATTCGACGAAAATTCGTAGGCGTTAACAATCAGTCAATGAGCAGGTTCTCATAAACTGAATTGACATTTCCGTTCTTATGATATTACTAACGGCCCGCCCCGGCTTTGCTCGGGTATTTAAGAAAATCTTAAATATTATAATACAGACACATGAGCCCTTCTATTTTCGTCAGGTTATTAAAAAAAGAAGATTAAAAAGAAAGTTAGAATATAATTATTTTAATGAACTTTTATTTTTTATTTGTCGTTTTATTTTTTTAAGTAAAAGAACGCTTATTGTGTCGTAACTATAATAGTTACACATTTGGTGTTATATCAGTTTTTGTAAATAATGATGTGCTCTGCAAAGTCGTAGTACATTATTTTATTCTATCATCAATAGTTTTCGGTGCGCACGAAAGAATGTTTTAAGTAATTTATTACACCTTGGGTTATAGATTATTGGAGTTTTAGTAAAGAACCATATTTTTTTTAAATAAAATAAAATCTAAATTAATTTAAATAAAATCTGCGTCACCCTGGAATAGTGAAGCTTCCATACAGTGAAAGAATTTTTCAAATCGGTTCTGTAATTTCAGAGCGTATTCAATGTAAACAAACAAACAATCAAATCTTTTCCCATTATAATTTTTTTTTAGGGATTTATGACCTGGTAGCTAAGACCTTTAGGTCATGTCTGTTTTATTATTATAAAAAAAAACATGAAACACGCAACGCGCAAACCAATGTACATATGAAATTTTAAAATTTCGAGGACCAAAAAATTTATGCGTCCATCACAAAAGTCTCCTCCTCTCCTCAATGTATATAATATGTCAAGCTTCTGACCGGACACGATATACATGAGCAATGGATATGTGGCGTTTAAGTACGCACCTTTTTATGATGCGTAAGCCGGAACGCACGAGATGTGGGAAACAGAATATAGTCTGTGAGACGGGACCTTTTTACCGCCAAATATTTAAAACATAAAAATAATTTATAATGTGTTAAAATTAAATAATAATAGCATAATAGAATAACAGCAGAAGAAGTGGCGAGCACCTTTGTAGCCGGTTGGATTGCTCGATTCGGAGTACCTGCTGTCATCACAACCGACCAGGGACGACAGTTCGAGTCGGACCTTTTCAGACGCCTTACTAATTTATGTGGTACTAAACGTATACGCACTACTAGTTACCACCCTTGTGCCAATAGGCTCGTGGAGCGCATGCATAGACAATTAAAGGCCTCTCTGATGTGTTATGATGATTCGTGGTTGAATGCATTACCTTTGGTCTTATTAGGAATGCGTTCTGCTTTTAAAGAAGACCTACAAGCGACAGTAGTGGAATTGCTTTACGGAGAAACATTAACGCTTCCAGGGGAACTGTTAGTACCTCCCGGTCTTTCTGGCTTCGAGGACCCGACGGATTTTGTCGTAAAGTTAAGACAGCGTATGTCTAAATCATAGACCTAGTGTCGACAGAATTAAGCCAGCTTTCGTCGAGCATTCTTTAGTATATCTCGTTCCGGCACCAGCACCGCGGGTTTCTGTGCCTCAACCAGCGCAACCGGACGCTACTGATGTCCCTTCATGTCCACTCGTGCCTTCGGCACCTCTAACTGCTACTCCTACGCATACAACTCAATATACCACCCGATCAGGTCGCAGAGTCCACTTCTCCAAACCTTTCGACCTATGATCATTTTTCTCTTTTTCTGCGGATTCTCATTCTCCGTAGGGGGGTGGTGTGGCGTTTATGTACGCACCTTTTTATGATGCGTAAGCCGGAACGCACGAGATGTGGGAAATGTGTTAAATAACTAAGGTACATAATAAAATTACTTAGAATTGTTTATGTCGCTACAACAATAAAATTTATATTGTTTCAACGGTGGTGTTAATAGTACATAAAACACGACTTTACGACGAAATAAAGAAGGGACTATATGAACTCTCTTAGATAGATACTTCAGATCGCATTCTTATTTTAGTATAAATTCTCATTTTTATGAAAAATGTTATTAAGGAGAAAAATGAAATGAAGATAATTAATTTGAGACATTAATGGACTGGGATGAAATTAAATCTCATTAAATCCCGATCCCGAGAAGTTACGTCCAGTGGCTTTGTTTGCGTTCCCCCTAAAAAGTCTCCCCTTTATAATATTAGTATAGAAGTATAGATTATAATGTTAGTAAAAATTATTGTTTTATCTATATAAAAGTTGTCTGATACTTCTAAAAATTAATGTTCGGAGTTTAAAATCATCATCATCATCATCATCATCATCAACAACAGCCAACCGTCGTCCACTGGTGGACATAGGCCTCTCCCAAGCCCCACCACTGAGCCCAGTCTACGGCTCTCCTTATTCACTTCTTGCTGGCCACCGTTCGGAGGTCATCACACCATCTAGCCGGGGGCGTCCCACGTTACGTATTCCGCTGCGCGGTCTCCAATCGAGAACCCGTCTGCTCCAGCGCTCGTCAGTTCTACGGCATATATGGCCAGCTCACTGCCACTTAGGCTTGCTGACTCTTTGAGCTTTGTCGATGACTTTAGTTCTCTGTCCAATAACCTCATTCCTGATTTTATCTGTTGGACGGTTAAATTTGAGGGGACTGGGTTCTGTAGATTGATGAGGGGCTATTTAAAAACACACTGCTTCATTATAATTATATTGCAGATAGTTTGAATACTCTTACACAATTATAAAATTATTATCTTTATATTTTTATAAAACTCTTACATGTTTCTTTGACCGTGTCTAGATGAGAAGTCATGACTTTTTCTTACGAGAAGACAATCATCTGTTTTTTAAACATTTAAAATAATTATAATATTCGAAATCTGTAATCATGTGTCAAGTGCTGCCTGCCCTTACATTTATATTCAAACTCCAACATTATCCTTCAAAGAAACTCCGAGCATGGCTCTTTCCTTAACTCGCTGAGCGATCGAGTTTAAATTCACAAAAACCAAATTTTACCGTTTCTGACTATATTAAATTCAAATGGTTGGCCTTATGTTCATCTAACTACACTTTTAAAAAGTCAAAATTGCTATTTCAGTTAATTTATTCATCAAAGTTTGATGTCACATAGTAGGTAGTCATAAAGAAATATCAAGACCAAAAAATCTATAAAAAAATCCAATATAAGCTGTCAAGTTGACAGTGTCAACCAACGTCAAACATCTAAATATGTATGAAACACTGACCTGTGACCTTGCTCGTTCACGAAGCCCGCTATAGAAAGCAGAGTATTATATACACTTGACATTGGCGAAATCTAAAAGGAAACGCCATAAACCTAAGAGATAGATAGATAGATAGAAGTAATAGGCATAGATTATACACTTATATAGTCGGATTTTTTATTAGACGAAGTCAACTGACGTTTACTGTGTTGTCAGTTTTTGATGAAATAAAAATAGTGTTGTGACAAAGTGAACGATTGAAAAAACTCCTGAATTAATGAAATTGCCTCGATTGTCTAGTGAACAGTTGGTGTGCCGAATTGCCGATATCGGGTATGGGGTTCGAATTTTAGGCGTGCTTTGTACATACCAACGAGTTTTCGACGAAATATTATGTTCCTATAGTATCTACCTGTACTGAATACCGAGTGTTTTAAACATTAAGAAAAACATTGCGAGGAAGTANCTTTCATATTTAAAAATCTTTCCACCGCCTCTCATGTCATGCTCAGGGAGGATTCGGTTAGACGTTCAATGCAACCACCTTACTCTGGTCCTCATAGAGTTATATCTAGAGCCGAGGACGGAAAAACGTGGTCGATTGATGTAAAAGGGAAACAGGTGACGGTCAGTGTCGACAGAATTAAGCCAGCTTTCGTCGAGCATTCTTTAGTATATCTCGTTCCGGCACCAGCACCGCGGGTTTCTGTGCCTCAACCAGCGCAACCGGACGCTACTGATGTCCCTTCTTGTCCACTCGTGGCTCCGGCACCTCTAACTGCTACTCCTACGCATACACCTCAATATACCACCCGATCAGGTCGCAGAGTCCACTTCTCCAAACCTTTCGACCTATGATCATTTTTCTCTTTTTCTGCGGATTCTCCTTCTCTGTAGGGGGGTGGTGTGGCGTTTATGTACGCACCTTTTTATGATGCGTAAGCCGGAACGCACGAGATGTGGGAAACAGAATATAGTCTGTGAGACGGGACCTTTTTACCGCCAAATAATAATTTATAATGTGTTAAATAACTAATGTACATAATATAATTACTTAGAATTGTTTATGTCGCTACAACAATAAAATTTATATTGTTTCAACGGTGGTGTTAATATTACATAAAACACGACTTTACGGCGAAATAAAGAAGGGACTATATGAACTCTCTTAGATAGATACTTCAGATCGCATTCTTATTTTAGTATAAATTCTCATTTTTATGAAAAATGTTATTAAGGAGAAAAATGAAATGAAGATAATTAATTTGAGATATTAATGAACTGGGATGAAATTAAATCTCATTAAAATGGTAGTTATTTACTGATACTTTTTCAGTGGACTTTTCGGAGGATCCCGAGAAGTTACGTCCAGTGGCTTTGTTTGCGTTCCCCCTAAAAAGTCTCCCCTTTATAAGATTAGTATAGAAGTATAGATTATAATGTTAGTAAAAATTATTGTTTTATCTATATAAAAGTTGTCTGATACTTCTAAAAATTAATGTTCGGAGTTTAAAATCATCATCATCATCATCATCATCATCAACAACAGCCAACCGTCGTCCACTGCTGGACATATGCCTCTCCCAAGCCCCACCACTGAGCCCAGTCTACGGCTCTCCTTATTCACTTCTTGCTGGCCACCGTTCGGAGGTCATCACACCATCTAGCCGGGGGCGTCCCACGTTACGTATTCCGCTGCGCGGTCTCCAATCGAGAACCCGTCTGCTCCAGCGCTCGTCAGTTCTACGGCATATATGGCCAGCTCACTGCCACTTAGGCTTGCTGACTCTTTGAGCTTTGTCGATGACTTTAGTTCTCTGTCCAATAACCTCATTCCTGATTTTATCTGTTGGACGGTTAAATTTGAGGGGACTGGGTTCTGCAGATTGATGAGGGGCTATTTAAAAACACACTGCTTCATTATAATTATATTGCAGATAGTTTGAATACTGTTACACAATTATAAAATTATTATCTTTATATTTTTATAAAACTCTTACATGTTTCTTTGACCGTGTCTAGATGAGAAGTCATGACTTTTTCTTACGAGAAGACAATCATCTGTTTTTTAAACATTTAAAATCATTATAATATTCGAAATCTGTAATCATGTGTCAAGTGCTGCCTGCCCTTACATTTATATTCAAACTCCAACATTATCCTTCAAAGAAACTCCGAGCATGGCTCTTTCCTTAACTCGCTGAGCGATCGAGTTTAAATTCACAAAAACCAAATTTTACCGTTTCTGACTATATTAAATTCAAATGGCTGGCCTTATGTTCATCTAACTACATTTTAAAAAGTCAAAATTGCTATTTCAGTTAATTTATTCATCAAAGTTTGATGTCACATAGTAGGTAGTCATAAAGAAAATATCAAGACCAAAAAATCTATAAAAAAATCCAATATAAGCTGTCAAGTTGACAGTGTCAACCAACGTCAAACATCTAAATATGTATGAAACATATTTGTAGTTTGTACCTTTTTAATATAATTTCCTGTTCATATTTATTAATCTAAAACAAAAATATTAATTAGAATCAATTATATAAGGGATTTATGGCATTCATGAATAATGCGAAACCTGAAATGTAAATGTGGACTGTAATCTAAACGTCTTGAAGAAAATCCTGTTCGTCATTCAAATAAAATGGATAATAAACCGTCATTGAGTCAATATTTCGGAGGATCAGAGATACCACCAGCTTCTCAGTTCTTCGACGAAATCGGAACATCGCCATCAGATATGATACAAAGCGTTTATTTAGGTGAAAGCGAAGGTAACAAATTTTTATTCTGCTTTTCCATTTTAAATTTTTATATCCATTCTAAGTATAGAAGTGTATGCCTTAAACTCGCTAAAGACATTTTCAAGATATGATTACATATGTACAAGTTCTAATAATCACATTTGGACTGTCTAATGAGGAATTTTTAACCGCTCGGTGAAAGACCTGTTCTTTACAGGCCCCAAACTAAACAATAAAACTGCCCAACTTATGTCAGCTTTTGTATCTAGGTTGTCTACACTTTTTACACTTATTTATAGTATTACACCATAAAATTGTTATCTTATCAAGTTCTTGGCTAGAATTTCGTTACATGATGCTATTCCTTTTCTTTGGAAGTCATATTATTGAGCTTATAAATAAATATCACTCTACTAATTATACTTACTGAGTATATATTTCGTTCACCACTCTTGTTCATGAAGAATGCCAATGGCACAATCAAGCTGTGGCTTACCTTTGAGGAAGGACCATGGCTGTACTGAATTTCCTTCTTAGAATTTACTGTGTTAATAATGACATCAGTTTACCATGTAACCATGTAACTAAAGCATACAAAAATAATGATAAGATTACAAAAAGCTATTAGTATAACTAGACTGTCTCAATATTTGTTTAATTTAAGATGAGATTATAATAATCTAAATATTTTTAGGGTCTCGAACAACAGCACCCAGTGTTTTCACGTCAAGCACGTCAGCAACATTTTCTCAACCGTCAGCCCTTGATGAAGTCACCTTTTCAAATGTTGTACCCACTGTGAGTGGGACCACATCTCTACCTGCCACTAGCTTGCCAGATCCATCAACGTTTTTCGATACAATCGGCCCTGAACCTACTATAGGGCTGACAAAACCTGTAACAACTACAGCACTGACTGATGCTATCGACGGATTGAGTATTAAGGTATTTGAAAATAATAAAGTGCCATATTGTAAAGCTGTTTCATCTAATGCTCCACCTTGACTATAAATGCTTAGCTAAATTTGGTACAAAGTCCTTAGTGATACTTGAAAGCATGCAGGCTTATTGTGTGTATTACAGCAGCAAAAATCGGGTTGTGGCTAATAATATATAACAATTGCATGCTCCAAAATATGTGTGGTAACAGTGGAGGATTTAAAATTGAATTCAAAACAAACTTGCAATGTAAGATTGTAATCTTGTTTGTTTTTAATATGTTACTTTAAATAAGTTTTTCTTAACCCTTTGATTACCATTTAGGTCACCGGTGCCTCGGTCCGCTCGTGCGACCGGACTGTTAGCGTGGTATGGACATGTGATGCGTAGAAAGAAGATGCATGTGACTAGGAGATTTATAGAAATGGTAATGCAAGGTAGAGGGGAAAGAGGTAGACCAAAGAAGACATAGATGGAGTGTTTGAATGACGATATGAAAGAGAGAGAGGGGGGGTGAGTGTTGAGTGAAGAGAGAGAGAGGGTATTCTTTATTGTACACCAAAAAACAAATAAACAGTGCGATACATGAAAAACAAAAAAGTACAATTGGCGGTCTTATCGCTAAGAGCGATCTCTTCCAGACAACCATCAGGTGGACAAGAATCATTTGGAAACGAACTACGCGCGGTGTACCATTCCAGTGAAATACATATATACATATATGTACACATACATATACACATCTCCGTAAATATACATACAATTGATACAAAGTATTATAATATAATAATAATTATTAAAAATAAAAAAATAAAAAAAATAAATTTTGCTTCTTTTCACATAAATAAGAATGGAAGAGAAAAATTAGCTGTGCCGACCCACCTAGTGGGATAAGTGGGAGAAAAAAAAGAAGAAGAGTAGTAGAAGGTCACCGGTGCCCACTTGGTGCAATGTAGTAATTATGTCGATTTCTGTTACTAAGCACCTGGATTGTCAAATTTTTCCGTTTTTTTTTTTAAATATATTTTGTAATATTTTCTTCTTCAGAAATACCTAGATAGGTCTTTAAGAAATAGATTTATTCTTAGCACCATCGGATTCGTCTTTCCCAGAGTCTACTAGATATTTCTTCATGTCAGTAATCTCTACTGGTAGTAGGACCTCTTGTGAGTCCGCACGGGTAGGTACCACCATCCTCCCTATTTCTGCCGTGAAACAGTAATGCGTTTCGGTTTAAAGGGCGGGGCAGCCGTTGTAACTATACTGAGACCTTAGAACTTATATCTCAAGGTGGGTAACACATTTATTTGTAGATGTCTAACGGCTCCAATAACCACTTAACACCAGGTGGACTGTGAGCTCGTCCACACATCGTAGGAGAGAAGATTTCAAACAGCTACTAAATACTACACACTTTACTAATAGTGCACTTACCCTTCAAGCTGAAATTAGAATACTTTACTGCAAGTACCCAATGCACTTTACTACTGAAAAATTACCACCACTATTAGCAAGAAATTCATGTTTAGCCCTAATGAAAATAACTGAACATTTCTATTCATTTTATCATAAATGAGACTCTAAAACAAAATGAGGATGATACTGAGACATCTGGATGTAATGTTTTAAAATGTTTGCATCAGTTCTTTTTGTATTCTGAATAAAAAAAACTGCAAATAGTTCTGAAAACTCCTAAAATATGTACCCAGAATGTTTCTTCAAACAAGTTCCACCTGAAAAGGGACTATTAGCTTGTCTGCTCAGCTAAAGTGAAAAGCTTATGATGCTATTATTGCTTACTAGCTGACCCGGCAGACTTCGTAGTGCCTCAATCGATAAACTAAAGACCTAAACTTTTGTATAAAATAAACTTAAAACAAATAAAAGGAATTCGTCCAATGGAAAAACACATCAAAGGAAAAACAAAATTGTTTTTATTTATTTAATTTCGAGCATTTTCATATTTATCTACCTTTTAAACCTTCTCTGGACTTCCACAAATAATTCAAGATCAAAAATGATAAATCAGTCCAGCTGTTCTCGAGTTTTAGCAAGACTAACGAACAGCAATTCATTTTTAAGAATTCAAATTCAAATTCAAAATCATTTATTTCAACTTGGATGTCATCAAAAACACACTTGTTGAATGTCAAAATGTAAAAGAAAATGTTAACTCTACCACCCGTTCCAAAAAAAGCCACAGTCCTGAGAAGAACCGGCGAAACAAACGCAGCGGGCTTTTTTTTTTTTGGATTTGATCAAATATTTTCTTTTTTTTTTTTAAATAAGAAAACATATTTACGTTATACGAAAAAACAAGTCAAAAAAATACAATTCAAATAAATAATAATAATAATGAAAAATGAAAAGGCCAGGAGCGANTCTACCTTTTAAACCTTCTCTGGACTTCCACAAATAATTCAAGATCAAAAATGATAAATCAGTCCAGCTGTTCTCGAGTTTTAGCAAGACTAACGAACAGCAATTCATTTTTAAGAATTCAAATTCAAATTCAAAATCATTTATTTCAACTTGGATGTCATCAAAAACACACTTGTTGAATGTCAAAATGTAAAAGAAAATGTTAACTCTACCACCCGTTCCAAAAAAAGCCACAGTCCTGAGAAGAACCGGCGAAACAAACGCAGCGGGCTTTTTTTTTTTTGGATTTGATCAAATATTTTCTTTTTTTTTTTTAAATAAGAAAACATATTTACGTTATACGAAAAAACAAGTCAAAAAAATACAATTCAAATAAATAATAATAATAATGAAAAATGAAAAGGCCAGGAGCGAACGCCTCATTCCCACGTAGTGCCATCAAGTAAAAAATCCTTAACTTTATAATATGCCTTGTTGCACAAACGTTCCTTGACAGTTTTCTTAAGTCTATGAACAGGTAGTAGTTGAACGTTTTGTGGGATCTTGTTGAAAAGTTGTACAAGACAAATGAACAGCAATTTATTTCTATATATATGGATAATTCATAGTAAAATGGGAACAGTACATGTAAGTTCATACTTACTAAAGTTATTATAGATAAGAAAGTTCCTCACTCTATTATCTTTAACATCGAAAACAATTTCTACGAAGGTTTGTATGCGAATTGTTGGAACCGTGGGAAACAAATAGAATTTCTTGTATCCCATTTTTGAGCATGTGTTTCCATTTACAAGATGTATTTTTAAATGAATACCAGACTGCTTTTAGTCAACCTGGGTGCAATCTTGGGTAGAAAGCTAGTTTATTATAAACAAAGATTTTTTTTTTTTTTTTCAGAATCAACCCGTTGACAAAGATGCAGAAAGAAGACGAGACGCTTGGATACCCAATGAAGAAGCCAAGAAGACATTGATGAAGGTCTTTATTAAATAACTTTTTAGATTTAGAACATTTTAGCACAATAGACAGTCTCTGGTTGGAGCCAATCGCCATTTAATTATTACATCACAAATGAATATGATATAAAGATTGTACGGAGACTGGTATCGGAGATATAAAACAATTTATAACATAGAGATCAAAACTATAATTCATAATTAAAAGTAAATACTCATCATTTAGGAAAGGATGTATAGGCACTGGTGAATGGCTGTGAACACAATATGTCAAGTAAGATTTTGAAGAATTGTATCTTGTCTATGGAATTTGACTCTGGGAATTGTTTAACGCATGATTGTCATAATCCCACAAAACGTTTTGATATAATAAATACAAACTGTTTTTTTTTATTTGCAGGCACAATCGTCACCGAAAGGCTCATTTTTCCCCGAGAGAGAGGTGTTGACCATGCCAGGACTGGTGCTTGAAGAAGAACTGGTAAGAAAATTTTAATAGAATCTATTTTAGATTATACAGGAATATTTTTATGGTACCAGAAAAAAAAAAAAAAAAAACATCAGTATCAGAAAAAGACGCTGGTCACAGACGACAAATCTATATATATGTAAAAGAAAGTCGTGTTAGTTACACTATTTATAACTCAGGAACGGCTGAACTGATTTGGCTGAAAATTGGTGAGGAGGTAGCTTAAAACCAGGAGAAGGACATAGGATACTTTTTATCACGTTCCCGGGGGTTGTGACATAAAACGTGGTATAACAAAACGCAACTGATATGAAATAACAAAACGCAACTGACAGCTAAACGTAATATATTCTATGGTTAATTATAGTAGAATTTTGAAGTTGACCGGTTGATGTGTTTGAAACAAACCGTGTGGCGGAACAAAGTTCGCCGGGTCCACTAGTAAAAAATACAAATACCCATATAAATATCTCATAGGAATGATATTTACTTTTCAATTTCTATGGGGGCGANACTAATATGGAATAACAAAACGCAACTGACAGCTAAACGTAATATATTCTATGGTTAATTATAGTAGAATTTTGAAGTTGACCGGTTGATGTGTTTGAAACAAACCGTGTGGCGGAACAAAGTTCGCCGGGTCCACTAGTAAAAAATACAAATACCCATATAAATATCTCATAGGAATGATATTTACTTTTCAATTTCTATGGGGGCGATGGCGAACTTTCTTTTAATGTATAGATATGAGCGGGACTCTCAAAAAGGGTACGCCACATTTGAAATCTCAGATCAATTTTTTTAATGAGGCGCTATAGTTCATTTTATATATAAATGTAGAAGGAAAACGGAAATTAGAACTCAATTGTGTTTTTAAAACAAAATAAATTTGCCTTATGTCTTATCAGTGAAAGATCATTTTCGCTAAACTGTTTTGTACGTTCCCCCGCCGTATCAGTGGGCGTGACGCTTATCCCTACAGTGTGTGCGAAAAGGATAGGTATATGTGTTTCAACACTTTCAACGCTGACCCGATAGTTTGGCTTTATTAATGAATATTAGCAATTAGCATGTAAGTTTAGCATTTAGTATGTCCATGATGTTGTGAAATTTTTCTGTTATGACGTAAAAAAATATATTTGACTGCACATTTAAAATAGAGTATATAATATATTGCGCTAAAACACGTTTGTTTTATTATTGCTTAGAACCCATCTAAGCAATAATAAAACAAACATGATGAGCTCACTGACCACCTGATGTTAAGTGGTTACCGCAGCCCACAGGCATCTACAACGTAAATGCCGCCACCTACCTTAAGATATGTGTTTTAAGGTCTCAGTACAGTTACAACGGCTGCCCCACTCTTCAAACCGAAACGCATTACTGCTTCACGGCAGAATTGGGTAAGGTGGTGGTACCTACCCATGCGGACTCACAACACGTTTGGAACCTCTTGGTCTGTGGAGGGTCTTCGGTTCCCTCTGTATTTTGTACCGTATGTTCCATGGGGAGTGCTCTGAGGAATTGTTTGAGATGATCGCCTCATCTCCTTTTTATCATCGCACCTCCCGCCATTGGAGCAGAGTTCGTCCATATTATCTGGAACCGCTGCGTTCATCGACAGAGCGTTTCTTGAGGTCTTTTTTGCCACGTACCATCCGGATATGGAATGAGCTCCCCTCCACGAGCGCTATGACATGTCCTTCTTCATACGAGGCTTGTGGAGAGTATTAAGCGGTAGGCAGCAACTTGGCTCTGCCCCTGGCATTGTAGAAGTCCATGGGCGATGGGTGGCCTAAAAAAAACGTCCTACCAGTAAAACATGTAAATGTGTAAGTCCGTTCGTGTGGCCAGGCGGACGCGTTACAAGAGGTGGCGGTGAAGTACCTGGGCGTGAGCTGCGCGGGCAGCCGCGGGGTGGTGCGCGCCGACCACGTGACCCGGGACGAGCCCGGCCTCCGCGAGCTCATCCGCACCGGGTACTTCAGGGCGGCCGTCAACCTCACCGCGGTGCTCATCAGCGCCGCCGGACAGGGTGACTATATTGGATAACTGTAACTGGTGGTAAGACGGACCACACGGGTAGGTTTTTATTTATTGATTGCTTAGATGGTTGAATGAGCTCACAGCCCACCTGGTGTTAAGTGGTTACTGGAGCCCATACACAATCTGCTTCACGGCAGAAATAGACAGGGCAGTGGCAGGACCTCTTGTGAGTTCGCACGGTTAGGTACCACCGCCCTGCCTATTTCGGCGGTGAAGCAGTAATGCGTTTCGGTTTGAAGGGCGGAGCAGCCGTTGTAACTATACTGAGACCTTAGAACTCATATCTTAAGGTGGGTAGTGGCATTTACGTTGCAGATGTCTATGGGATCCAGTAACCAATTAACACCAGGTGGGCCGTGAGCTTGTCCAACCACTTATGCAATAAAAAAAGCTTTAATATGAACGTATTTTTTTATGAGCATTTGCGTAGCCATCATGTGCCTATATTTCCTCCGCGCCAAGAGAATAACCTTATTGAGACCGGAGGAAGCTTCTTTCATGTACATATGCCCGAAGGGGCGGTTGTCAGCTATTAGTGTAGTTACTATACCAGCTAACTGTAGGCGGACTGTGAGCTCGTGCCTATCTAGTATCTATGCAATAAGGATGCTAGTAAATTCATTTCGCGTCCTATCTCCATTTGAGACTGACTGATCGACTAAAGGACTAGACATGTGTAAGTAATGCGAGTGATATTACTCCGGTAATATTACTCTACGATGTAATGCAACATCACACATTACGCGAAGGAAACAAACATCACACTATCACCCAACATGTTTCTTTCTTTGTCGTGTAATGTTGCTTAGTACACGAACGGAACCGAGCGAGCGAGACAGACCGCTCGACGCTGCAACGTGATGGCTTGACGTGCAGTGCTACAGCACACTACGCAAAATAAATGAGCAAGCGACACGGAATTATTCCTAGTAATTTTGAACCGTATGCCCTGGCCGCTAGGCACATTTGTATACCTATGGTACGTCTGAATTTTAATATAGGTATTTGTGTTTATATTTTTCATGCGGCCAGCCGGTAGCTCTCCGCAAGTAGTTACTTAATTTTTTATTCGCAACTTTTGTAAAATCGCTAGTCGCTCGTAATTGTTTAGTAATATTTCATATTAATTTTTGTGTTTGAATTACTTAAGCACTTGTTTGAAGATAGTTTTATTATTTGTTTTAATGCGTGTTTAATAAGTGAAAGAAAGAACGGCGTCTAAATGAAAGTACAGTCCTCTTTGGATGCATTTTGAGGAGACCGCGCCGAAACAATGCGTCTACTGCTCTCGTATATTAACATTATCGTCGAGCTCAATTTGCAGTCTAAGTCGCCATATGAAATAATCCCACAATAAATTATATTAAGTAAAAAATAAAATTATTATATTATTAAGTAAGTCAATCTCTGTCAAGTAATATAACAGTGTATTACAATACAAAATAGGAACACATCACTTAGGTAATGATTCGGGTGTATAGATACAATGTATTCGTCGTCACAGTATCTATTGAACGCACCGAGTAATGTTAAGAGTGATGTGTAATGTTTTCGAGTAATATCACCTGTCTGTAAAAGTGATGTCATATCACATTTAATCACATTACATTGGGAAGTGATGTTTTGCGCAAGTCTATTACATACCATTACTTGCCTGCCTGCCTGGCACTTGTCTCATTCCGTTGGGTCACGAACCGTCGACAGATCGTGACCCTCACATGAAAAACTCCATAGGAAATCTACGTTGTAACCTCGGATAATTTTGAGATGGATGCTATAAATACGAACGAATAACAATTGACGTTAGCGCGTGTTGGGAATCAGGCAGCACCATCTAGCGATGACAATAGTAATTAAGCCTTTCACTTCACATCTTACCTTGTGTCTCAGGCGTGGGACGGATGCACAGACCCACGAAGCACACGCCGCGCTCCCTCCAGCTCTGGTTGACGAGGTTCTCCCTGATGCTGAGGATCAAGCTACATGAACCCCTGATCAGGGAGGCGGAGCAGTTCGGCGACTGCACCAAACCCGACATGTTTTACCAGGTAATTCGAAATGTGGACACGAGAGAATTTTATAACCATTTGAGCAAGCTCTAAGCTCTAAGCTTGGCATTGCTGAAGTCCATGGATTTTTTTTATTGTTTAGATGGGTGGACGAGCTCACAGCCCACCTGGTGTTAAGTGGTTACCGGAGCCCATAGACATCTACAACGTAAATGCGTCATCCATCTTGAGATATAAGTTCTAAGGTCTCAGTACAGTTACAACGGCACCCTTCAAACCGAAACGCATTATTGCTTCACGGCAAAAATAGGCAGGATGGTGGTGCCTACCCGAGCGGACTCACAAGAGGTCCTACCACCAGTAATAACCAGGCTACCGAGTATTTGGCCCTTGACCCCCAGCCTGATAATATCCGTTTGCATAAAATGCGGTCAATTTTATTTCAGTTCTACCCGGAGTCTTATGAGAACCGTCCGGGATCCCTCGTTCCTTTCTCGCTGAGGCTACTCCTGGCCGAGATACCGGGGCACGTGGGCAAGCCGGACGAGTCCATGGACAGACTATATGCGATGCTCGATGTTATACAGCAGGTTGGTTTTTATGATGGTCGTGGTTTCGTAGCTTTTGGTGCTCTGGTGTTGATAAAGCTTGCAGTCAAAACTCTGTGCCGATTGGTAAATGTGGTCCACGGTCATCACAACGTGAACATGAGGTAGAATCCGCTATATTGGAATATTAACAAAGGTAAGATCATTGAGATCATTCAAATTCTTCTGTCGTTGCTTGATAGTTGACGTTCGTATGGCGCTCGGAACTTGTATATTTTATACAAGCAAATTGTAAATGTCGTTATCGCGATTCAGGTTTTTATCTAATGCTTTAAATATTGTAACAATATTTATTGTTACAATTAATGTTGTAACTTTTTTTTCCCTACCTATGCTGATAACCTTGAGAGGCTATTTCAGCTTCTCTCTTTGACGTGTAGGTGAGCTCACGGGGCTCAAACCGGGTGTGTTGCTAACACTGGCCCTAGCAAGGGCAGTGCTTCGCAGAATCTAGCGCCGGATCGGAAACGCGACCCTCTGAGAAGATCCGGCGAGAAACTCAGTGGGCTTGTGTCTGAGGGTTAATTTGACCGGCGCTTTTGGTACTTAAAAGCTCCGTTAATGGATGGGGAGGATCCGTAATGACGTGTGTTTTAAACTTTCTTCAAATCAAGTATTGTTTCGTAGTGCTTATGCAATCTTATGACATATCAGGATCAAGAGGTCTTTTAAACTCAAGTCAATGCCTTTCTTTATTCAGATGCTGTCGAATCTCCGCGACGGAAAGACCGAGGATGGCTCTGGTCTGCTCTCGTCGGAGCAGGATAAGGCGGAGTCGATACGTTTGTGGACGGGGAGGGAGACGAGGGTATATCATTCGATCGTCAACTGCGCTATAGCCCTGAAGGTAATTCATGTTTTGGGAAAAACCCGAAAAAACTTTAGCCGATGCGGGATTCGAACACCGACACGGATGCACCGAAGTGAATGGGGCGTCATAACCTCCAGTCCGCGGTGGTTTTCGGAACCCCTTCGTAATTGGGAATGTATAAAAGGAAATGGAATTTTAGACTGAAAAACCAGGGATTTTACTGGTGGTAGGGCATCTTGTGAGTCCGCACGGGTGGGTACCACCGCCCTGCATATTTTTGCGGTGAAGCAATAATGCGTTTCGGTTTGAAGGCTGGGGCAGCCGTTGTAACTATACTGAGACCTTAGAACTTATATCTTAAGGTGGGTAGCGGCATTTGCGTTGTAGATCTCTATGGACCCTGGTAACCATTTCATTTTTCATCCTTAAATCGGATTGCTCTTGTAATAGGGAATGCTGTGTTTAAGAGATGCGACACCTTCAACGTTTATATTATATGTATTTTAAATTATAGATAGAAAAATATATATATTTTTAAAATACTTTATTAAAATATTGGACGCTACTCGGTGCTAACACTCGCGCTGGCCTGTAGCAGGTATAGGTACTACGCGCATTCACTCTCGCTCTGTCTCTTTCTATTCCCCCTCCCCAGGAGCGTTGAACGTTTAACGCAACCTTGTTGGAAGTCGCGTTAGAAGTGTCACTTCAAAAATCGATTTTATCAGGATTACAGGCACGCTTCCAACGTGCTGTCCTCGTTGGAACAGGCGTGCAGCACGGCCGGTCAGAAGCGGGCCGTGTGCAGCGCACTATGCCGCCTCGCGCTGCTGGCCGGGCACGTGACCGCCGCGCGTGCGCACTGCCGCCGCGCCACCGAGAACCGGACGCACGTGTCAGTAGTACCCGCTACTGTTAATCGTAACGTTAAATGCGGCCGAATGCAACATCGGCATATGTGACGTCATTTGTGGCCAGTGAACGATGAGCTAATCACATATATCGTCTTTTCGCATTAAAAGTGCAGAGTTAAGTTGGTGTTAAGTGGTTAATGGAGGCCATAGACATCTTGAGATATAAGTTCTAAGGTCCCAGTATAGTTACAACGGCTGCTCCGCCCTTCAAACCGAAATCACTGCTTCACGGCAGAAATAGGCGGGGTGGTGGTACCTACCCGTGCGGACTCGCAAGAGGTCCTACCACCAGTAATTGATGTGTATGAGCTCTCCGGGGTGGCGACGTTACATGTGAGTCTGGGGGCGGCTGGAGGTCACGCTGATGGTGGGTTGCGATGTCTGCAGATGTCCGACGCCCGACGTGCGCGAGTACGTGGACCTCGGGCTGGTGGCGATGGCGCAGGGGAAATACGAAGACGCCTACAACGACTTCGTGAGGGCGGCCGACCAGGAACCCACAAACATTATGGTGCGGCTCATTCTTAAACTACCGTTCGTGAGCACCCGTGAACATGTTGTTGTGCTTGCTTCACTGTTGCCACACTGTAGTAGTCCTTGCATTCCCGATCCTGCAGACAGAATGGAAAGCAGTCGACGTCGCCCAAAACACGTCGTTTCGGATCCTCCCGATCCACTAACGCTGCTTCTAGGTACCTCAACCTAGTAAATTAACTCACAGACACAGCCCACTGAGTTTCTCGCCGGATCTTCTCAGTGGGTCTCGTTTCCAATCCGGTGGTAGATTCTGCGAAGCACGGCTCTTGCTTAGGGCTCGCGTTAGCAATGTCGTCAGGTTTGAGCCCCGTGAAAAATAATAATGATATATGTACTTTTTGTGATCCCAGGTCGCGAACAACATCTCCGTGTGCCTGTTGTACATGGGTCGACTGAAGGAGGCCATATCGGTGCTGCAGAAGGCGATAAAGAGCGACCCGGAGCGCGGCCTCAACGAGAGCCTCCTCGTCAACCTGTGCACGCTGTATGAGCTAGAGTCGTCCAAGACGAACGAGAAAAAGCTAAATCTGTTGCGGATGCTGTGCAAGTACAAGAGCGACACGATACCGAACGTTCTCGAATGTCTGAAGCTCGCGTAGGCTCTGCGGCTAGCAACTAACACGTAAGCTCAACTAAAGGCTTTGTCAAACAGGTGGCTTGGCTCTGTCCCTGGTATTGCTGAAGTCCATGGGCGACGGTAACCACTCATCAGGTGGGCCGTATGCTCATCTGCCTGCAAGGGCAATAAATACAAAATAAAAAATAATAATACACATTCACTCGGACTCTAAAATGAACATTGTAAAAAATGACAACGCTTAATGTCAAAGCGGCCTAACGCCGCGACAGAGCGTTGCGTACTTACAGCGCTGGCGTTCTTTTTTTTTAATAAGGGCTTTTATGACCCGGTAACTAAGACCTTTAAGTCATGTCTTATTTTAATTTATATTCACATATTTTTATTAAAAATGATATTATGCAGTGTAATGAAATGAAGAAGCGCTGGCGCTCTGTATGACAGTTTGTTACCATAGTAGTACAACACATCTCGGCGTCATAGCGCGCTGTCGGTTTAGCGTTCTGACGCGCGCTAAGTACGCGTTCTGTTTGACGAAGCATTTATTCATAGCGTTAAAGCGAATAGTGGCGAGCTAGAAAGGGGATGATGTTCCGCTGAGTGAGACGTCATATGTGTGCCACGGTCAATTCGATATATGAGTCGTCTATTATCAAAGGTGGCAATCTGTGCAATTTGGACAAAAAAATGTTATTGATATATCAATACAGATTGATTTGAATATAATCGTCTCCTTCAAAGAATACGGTTCAAAACCTGCATTAAATAAAGGTTAATAGTTAACCTGTTATTTATCTAAGATGTCGTTCCGAAGAGTTTTGTGACTGCCAATGGAATACAAAGTCAATAATTCGTTTTTCTGATTTACCAATTGCAATAAAAATCAAACCCGCTCAATTGTCATTTACGTAATTACTGGTGGTAGATACGCATTTCTGCCGTGAAGCAGTAATGCGTTTCGGTTTGAAGGGCGGGCAAGCCGTTGTAACTATACTGAGGCCTTAGAACTTATATGTCAAGGTGGGTGGCGCAACATAAATATGTTGTAGATGTCTATTAGCTCCAGTAACCACTTAACACCAGGTGGGCTATGAGCTCGTCCATACATCTAAGCAATAAAAAAACGTAAAACCTAACTCAAATTTGTATGGAGTTGGAACGTTTGCCTACGTTTGCCGCTAGGGGCGCTGTTCTTTTTAACTTTTACGCTATCGAGAACGTTAAAAAACTCGCACTAAACACACTGAACTATGCGCTTAGCTTTTAAGCTCGTAATGGCAGTTGAAACGGTGAACTTTATAGAAATTTTCCAAAATCAAAAAATTGTTCGCTTCGAGTGAATTTTTGCGGAAACCTATTACAATGTTACTGTCTGTTTGCCTCTTCCCCGAGGCTTATATTAAATTTTCAAATAACATATTTAAAGAAATATTTATATAAAAAAAATGTGAGCCGTCACGGGACGCCTGGCAGATGTGAAACATCGACATTATTTTGTAAAAGTAATATGCAGAAAAGAACAAACAGACTGTGATAGGAACTACATATGACATAATGATAAAATAAAATATTACGAAAAAGTAATTTGTTTTCAAGTAAAACACAGGTTATGTGTACTGTAGTAAGCAACACTGTATACACTACGGAGTATACACTGTAGGTATCCGAGCTCAGTGTAGCGAGAGAGATGGCTTAACGCCGGGTCGAGTGGGAGAGAATCGCACAGTCGATTGCGCATGGCGACGCGTCGCCACAGCATGCGTCGCCACGCCAGAAATCGGTTTTACGTCCAGCTATAGATATTTCACATCAAAACATTCATACGTGGTAACACTGTTCGCTTTTTTAAATTGCAATTGTCGAAGTTCAAATATTTCTTGATGTATAATCTCCAAATGACAACGTAATTATTTATGCTCTTTATGTTAATTACAGTGGTTACTGGTAATTAGTGGTAATGCAATTCAAATATTTAGTTACAAGTGTAGAGATAGCACACTATGACGTCTATGATTCAAGTGTTTGAAGTGAAAACTTCTTTAGCATCGTTGTGATTCGCAAGTCAATGAAACGAAAAAGCGACACTAAAAAGAGATAGAAACATAAATTCATAAGATTTAACGTGAGAGAAAATGAGATAGGAAGTATTATACAGTGTTTCTTATATTCGTGGTTTTCTTTGTGCTCTGCTTCGTAACTAATATTCGTACTTAATAAATTCTGAATAAATCTATATAGTATATATAAATATATATATAAATAAATAAATAATAAATAAATAATAAAATGTAAAATAATTATCAAACTTTGTATCACTATGATCATTACTAAAACCTACAAATATCCTTTTCCCGAAATTTTACATTGGTCTCGTTATCTTGAAGCCAAAATTTTTGAAGGTTTCACTTCTATCACGAGTGAAATGCACACATGTTTTTTTTTTATGGCAATGACATTAAATTTAATTAAGATAGTAAAAAATTTAATGTATGTAGGTATTAGTTACTTCTTGACATTATAAGCGTCAGGTTTTGTGCAGTGTGCTTAGTTCGAGTTTGTTAACTTTCTCGATAGCGTTAAAGTTAACTGTCCTCAGCCGTCAGCGCCACCTATCCGGCACTAATGTAACTATGTTCGTCAGGGTAGTCATGTCGCCCTTTATATGGGTGCAATGTTTCACATAAATTGAGCTAACGGATTTCGAGTTTTAGATCAACATACAGACACACATACATTCGCTGTTATATTTTAGTATATTTATAGATTAGAATGTAAAACGTTTATTTTGATATAAAAATGAATTTTTACTGGTGGTTCCTACCGTCTTGTGAGTCCGCACTGGTAGGTACCACCGCCCTGTCTATTTCTGCCGTGAAACAGTAATGCGTTTCGGTTTGAAGAGTGGGGCAGCCGTTGTAACTATACTCGAGACCTTAGAACTTATTTCTCAAGATGGGTGGCGCATTTACGTTGTAGATGTCTATGGGCTCCAGTATCCACTTAACACCAGGTGGGCTGTGAGCTCGTCCACCCAGATAAGCAAAAAAAAAAAAACAACCCTCCCTACATTTTAAGATTATTATACCTACATCGTTTCATGTTTTCGACTTTATTATAATTGCAGAAACTTCATAATTACAATCGGTAATACAATAACAATCTATACTAATATAATATATAAATCTAGTGGTTTTTACGGATGTTCCGTTATAACTACTGAACCGTGCATCCGATAGACTTGAAACTTGGTATCCATGTAGAAAATACATGTACTTAATGGATAGGCTAATATTTATATGAGCGTTGGACTCCCTACATCAGTTGCGCAGGTGTTAATGATGAGAATCTTTGTGGGGGTGAGAAATAGTAATGTTAATTTTAAATGGCCAGCGAAGCGGACGGGTACAGCCAATACCGTCTTTACCATAAGGGCACACGGAGCCCGTGCCCAGGGCCCCCCGAAAGACCGACAATTTCTCTCACACGTTTATTCTCAAAACATTTTTGTCGGGCACATTAAACTTTTTTCACAAATCAGTAATCAGAAGGTATTTACAAGGCATATACTATGCCTATAATAGAAGATTTTGCTCAACAGAAATCCTGAAAGAAACCGTTATCGAAATCGTAACCAAAAAACCAGCAGCATTCTAATATAATTAATGACATTATATCATACTGTATTTGATTACCTATAATAAATGGTCATACTCAGTAAAAATTTTTTTATTTTAATTCGCCTTTTTTTACTTTCCAAAAGGGCCTCAAATTCTTGTGTGCCCAAGGGCCCCAGCCTAATTTAACACGTCCCTGGGTACAGCTAGTTAGTAACTTATATGATGTGATACGTTTTCCGCTTAGAAAGGAAAAGAAAAAACAAAGTTCGGTGCAGTTATGAATTTTATTGTTTAATCTCATTATCTCATTCAATAATCAGTGGACGGTTGGATTATATAGTTTAAATGGGAATCAGTATTCGAATTAAAAATATTAACACCGTAGTATTTAACATGGATCATGTATGTTTTGTTACACCGACATAGGCTGTGAGCCGTGAGCATTACTAAGCCAATGTTTCATATGAATAACTGTCTCTCCCGTATTTCGCTGCCTCAACTACGCAGAGTAATGAGCAACTGCGCATTTCGAATCATTAACAAAATGCAGACTAAACATACATTACATACATACGCATGCATGTACATGTAATGAAATAAAACATGAATTTATATGTGATACCGAATGTAATCACCAAGGCAGTGATTCTCAACCTTTTTTTGTCCGTTTAAGTTTTTTTTTATTTACACTGTAAAAATAGTATCATAATAATTTTGAATATAATACCGAGGGATGAAAGGTTATTTTGTTTAAACGACCATTTGTAATTTTACAGGAGAGCCATTCCAAGTTTAAAATTTGGAAAAAATATAATTACAAAACTTCTTTAGCTGTTTAAATGGGGTAAACATAATTGAAGTTCAATTAAAAACATAAAATTGTCGATACCAATCTATACTTCTATACTAATATTATAAAGAGGACAATTTGTTTGTATTGAATAGGCTCCGAAACTACTGAACCGATTTGAAAAATTCTGTCACTGTTTGGAAACTACACTATTCCCGAGTGACATAGGCTATAATCTTTTTAAAAAAAATTAGGGATCCTTACTCTTAAACTCCAGTAGTGTAACCCAAGGTGTAAAAAAAATACCTAAAATATTCTTTATATCTCGTGCCCTACGAAAACTATTGATGATACAATATACAATGTACTACGACTTTGTAGAACACATTATTATTTACAAAAAGTATCGACGATACGACAGCGTATGTCTAACTATTATAATTATGCCGCAATAAGCGTTCTTTTATTTAAAAAAATATAACAACGTCAAATATCGTTGAAATTTTTGTTAAAGACCCGAGCGGAGCCGGAGCGAGCCGCTATACCGAATAAAACGGACCCTTGATTACAAAGATAAATGTGGCGTATTAAGCGAAATGTCGCTTAAACAAAATAACCTTTCATCTGACGATATAGTTTAGTGGCACATAAGGGGTTATTCCAACTTCGCGTGGACCGATAGGTGAGCTGTAAGTTTGAGTAGCCCCTTAGACAACCAAAGATTAGAGGGAAAAAAAATGGCGCAGTGGAGAATCACTGCACCAAGATATCGTAAACTATATTAAAGCTAGATGATTTTTTTAATTTGACATCTGCTGGAAGTAAACGCACCATTGTGTCGAGCTTGTTTTTGTACAGGATTTTGTCAAAGAATTTTAAACCGTATTATAATTATATAGAATACATTGAGAAAACCTCGGTAACGTTTGAAAGATCAATAAAGTGATAATTTATGAATAAGGGCCTTTCATTTTATATCCTCGTTTCGTGGCTAACCACTAATTCTTATCCTGGCTCGCGACCACATCAAGGCTTACCTTTTTAAGGGGATGACCTTATGCTGAGATATTGTGAAAATGCCGTCCTGTGTAACAGGGGGCTAACATGCGTCACGGGCTGCGTGGAAAAAAAGCCGTGAGCCGTTGTCTAGACTGCACTGATATAGTACAACCCCTGGAGGTTACTGGAATAGGTAGAAAAAACAACCACGATGCTGACTCGTCACTAGTGTCCTATGTGCTGAGTGAGAGTTTTTTAACGTTCTCGATAGCGTAAAAGTTAGCCCAATTTTGTATGCAGTTGGAACAGCGCCCCTAGCGGCAAACGTACGCAAACGATCCCATTCCATACAAATATGCAATACCGTCTTTACCATAAGGGCACACGGGGCCCGTGCCCAGGGCCCCCATTCTCAGGGGGCCCCGAAAGACCGACAATTTCTCTCACACGCTTATTCTCAAAACATTTTTGTCTGGCACATTACACTTTTTTCACAAATCAGTAATCAGAAGGTATTTACAAGGCATATACTATGCCTATAATAGAAGATTTTGCTCAACAGAAATCCCGAAAGAAACCGTTATCGAAATCGTAACCAAAAAACCAGCAGCATTCTAATATCATTAATGACATATTATATCATACTGTATTTGATTACCTATAATAAATGGTCTATAACATCTTACGATTGGAATCTATCTATCTATATATAAGTCGACTATTATCAAAGCCGGCAATGTGACTTTTGGAAAATTATTGGTAAATCAGAAAAACGAATTATTGACTTTGTATTCCATTGGCAGTCACTAAACTCTTCGGAACGACATCTTAGATAAATAACAGGTTAAGTATTAACCTTTATTTAATGCAGGTTTTGAACCGTATTCTTTGAAGGAGACGATTATATTCAAATCAATCTGTATTGACAAATCAATAACATTTTTTTGTCCAAATGCACAGATTGCCACCTTTGATAATAGACGACTCAATATATAAAAATGAATTGCTGTTCGTTAGTCTCGCTAAAACTCTAGAACGGCTGGACCGATTTAGCTAATTTCGGTCTTGAATTATTTGTGGAAGTCCAGAGAAGGTTTAAAAGGTAGATAAATATGAAAATGCTCGGAACTAAATAAAAATAACAATTCTGTTTTTCCTTTGATGTGTCCCCCGTAGGACAGATTCCTTTTGTTTGTTTTAAGTTAATTTCATACAAAAGTTTAGGTCTTTTATTCATCGATTGAGGCACTACGAAGTCTGTCGGGTCATCTAGTACAAGATAAGAATTAGGGTGAGGATTTTAGACAACATTAAGTATGGCGACGTGTGCATGACGCGACCTTGAGACGGACGCTCATCTTTGATGATTTATTTCACAGGTTCAAGTTTACATACAAATAATAGTACCACAAATGTCCGACAAGGAAAATTCTTCACTGTCCATTTTAATTACAAGCGACAACAAAAAAATAAAACAATTCCCTCTAAAAATACACATAACCATAATTTTTGTTCTTACATTTACATTTTATATACGTACCAAACTATTACTAGCCTAATTCGAGAATGAAAATTTATAATCGATATTCGTTGTATGTCTTACTATTCTATCTTATCTTATTTCTTCGATCTTATATTAGGGAATTCAACTGGGATATTCGGTTGGGCGTCGGAAAGATATTAAGCGATTGTTTTTTTATTGCTTAGATGGGTGGATGAACTCACAGCCCACCTGGTGCTAAGTGGATAATGGAGCCCATAGACATCTAAATGCGCCACCCACCTTGAGATATAAGTTCTAAGGTCTCAGTATAGTTACAACGGCTGCCCCACCCTTCAAACCGAAAGGCATTACTGCTTCACGGCAGAAATAGGCAGGGTGGTGGTACCTGCCCGTGCGGACTCACAAGAGATCCTACCAGATTGTTTACTAAAGGAACAATTAAACTCAAAGCTCAATTTCATTAATTACATCCGAAGTGCATTGGTGCATGTTTCATATCAGAGGACTCTGATTAGCTCAGCTTAGATCTGGAATATCCATTAAAATAATAAAATTTTGGGCAAACAACCATAGAAAGCAGTGACAAGGACTCGATATTATTATATTTGTTTAACTAGATAAGTCTAAGATGTTTCTTATGTTTAAACATTGTCTTCTGTATTTGAACCGCGAAGAAAAAGTTACGAAAGTAAATTTTCATTCTCGTTAGTGAAATGTTTACTTCATTCCGTGAAAACTGTGACAGCGCCGAAATAAGATAAGTCGATTGGCTTCGAATGGCGGCGATTTTTTTATACAAAATGCCTTGCTATTGGTGCAAAGAAAACATATTTGTTTAACCCTAATTCAAAACAGTAATACATTGAACTAGAGAAAAAGTTTTACCGCATTTCCAAATGGACATATTCCACCGCCTTAGAAACCAACCGACTCAAATGTCATAAGGAAATTTTTGAACATATTTAAACCCTAAAATGGCAAGTGTGATTGGCTTCGCCATAATTTCTTTTGAGCTGCCATAATTTTTAAAACATTAGTTAATAATGGCAAGACTTACTTTGACAGTTTTTAAGAAAAGCACAAATAGGCTTTTGACATGCAGCCAGATAAAAATTACGACTTTTCAGTTTTCATTGTGTTCTCAAATTTTATGCCCATAATCAATTCGACACACCTTCGAATTCTAGACTGAGAGGAATAGATAATATTTAACTGGTATTGCATATGTGTGGCGATAATATACCAAGCCACATCACTACTGCGCGACTCATGGCGATAATGTACATCATGTGGCGGTTGGCGTGGCGCTGTATCAAAAATTTCAACATTTGGCGATACTAGGGATGTCGTGACTTGGATAAGTAAGTCTTATTAAATCACACCAAGCCCCTGTCATAAACGCGACGAGGCTAATATCGGCCTTCCTAGTGTCCAAACTGCTAAATCGGTATCTTTTATGAATTATCAACCGCAGCAGTTAGTTTTTCGATAGCATTAGGCATTTTCATCAATCTTAACCACTATTAAATTTCGTTTACAAAACTTCGCATTAATAAAACGACCCTCGAAACTTTTTAGGACAACGCCTTCATTAATACCTAACATCAAGATTATTGTGGATTACAAGTGTTCGAATTCCGAAAGGTGTCGAATTAAATTGCTGGCAATGACTTCTTTCAGAAAAAAAAAAACCATTGATTAATTTTCGTTCAGTTTATATTTCATTTACTTTATGTAACACAAGCACTTTCGGGCATGTGCCGATACGAAAACTTTCAATCAAGCCTACAACAAAATATAATTTTTCAAAATGGTAACCTTCCGTTATGCTGAACGATTACTTTTATATGGCAACTCTTTTCATGCTATAGCTTCATGCATAATTTATTTTTCAAAGCCCAATGTCTGCCCAATTATGAGGTAGTCTTGTTATAATTTAATCACAAAAGGAATTCAGCACCAAAGTTTTAGGATTTTTACGTTTTCATCTCTGCCTTTGAACATTGACATTTGTGGTCTCTCTGTTGTTGGGAAAATTGTTTATTTCCTTGCTCGTATTAAAAAGAAAACTATTTAGAATATTGTATTTAAAATACTGATCTGAAATGTGGTATCTAATTTTTTAAGCGCCTTCCAATGAACAAGAGGACGGATGTATGTAATTGCTCGGAGGCTTTTTTTTTTAAATTTAGAATGCGCTCTACAATTCTTTGACGATCTATGTAAACTAGTCGTAAGGAACTTAACAATTTCCATGTTCAAATGACGTAAACGCAATGTCTGTCAGTTATCGCCATAATCATACAAAATAATGCACCAGGGAACTCTCTAGAAGTCTCAAGAGAGTTCTATAAACTACATTAAACGTTCGCTATCGAGGACAATACTGTTTCGTCAGTAATCATAATAAAATAATATGCATGATTTATTATCTATATATACATAATTATTAAAAAATTGTGATTTTTGCGTTTGTTGTATAAAAAATAATAATACGAAGCACGTCACTCCCAAAGGGCGGCGAAAGGATTCATGCAAGGGACATTCATAAGAAAACAAAGGTCAAAACGAAATAATAAGTCAAAAATATACTTTTGTCAAAGAAATTTTATTCAAAGTTATTTTGAGATCAAAGCACTTATGATTTGAAGATTGAAAAAAAAAAATTATGTCATTAAAGACGAAATCATGAATAGATTCACGTTCACGTCCCTTTGGGAGGGCTAAAGTATTTTTCTCCTAAATACGATCGGTCTGATCTAAACGGTACGTTGCTGTAAATCATCAAGTCTGTATTTTCGTGAGTATTCATTCGATAATGAAGCGATAATCACTATTGTAAATTCAGCACTTTTATCTTACACTAAGTTTATTACCCTAGAGTAATTTCGCACAATATAAGGTAAAAGATTTATAAAGCTTCATTATAATTACAAAGCGAACAAAATTTAGATAGATAGCCAACCATGATTCCTCTTCAATTAGTGGCTACCTTCATTTTTGTGTTGAATACAATTGGAATCAATCTAATACCGAAACTGACTCGCCGATCACAATACCTTTAAAGATGAAACTAATATACAACGTTAAAATGTATTACTACATTTCGTTAGTAATTATAATCAATCAATCAATCAATAAAAAATAAATCCAGTATATCCAATCCTATTAAAATTTTCCCCAGTTTAGAAATTCGTTTCTGAAATAGAATTTTTATTAGCTATTCGCTGTTTAACTCTGCCAATGCCGGTCCCAAAGGCCCGAAGAGGAGGGTTGAGTTGAAGTTCGGCCTTTCCACCGTAGAAGAGAACGCCGAATGTCGGCCGGCGGTTAATTAGCCGGACCCAAATAAGGCTTCAACGGCCTCGAAGAACTAAAGCTCTTCCAAAAGCACTGCCGTGGAAGGATGCGGGACCCCACCATGTCTATTTTCCCAAGAAAGCCTCATGAGGCCACGACCACTCGGGATTATCAACGGAAGGAGGAGGAGTAGCCAGTATCAGAACGCGTTAAAATAAAACGTGGATAGATTCGAGGTTTCGCGAATGTCGACAATCTTTGGTCTTCCGATATTCCAGATAAAGAATCGACTTCAGAATATAGCCTACTGAATATAGTTTCAAAATGTCTTGCCCAAGGACATTGACTGCTTAATTGCAGATCTAGGCAGGGCACCTTACCAGAAGGTAAGTGCTAAAATACCTACAGACAACATGACGTTTGCAAATTGATTGCCAAATATATTTTATCTTTCAAAGGTATTGGGAGTTGCAAATCATTTAAAGTGATTACATACAAAAATAAACATGAGTTATAATTAATTTCTTATCTTTCCTGACTGAAAAAAAAAAACTATTTACTCTTATCTAAATATATGAATTATAAATCTTGTACTTAATATTATGCTTTTTGAGTAGTTTTGTCACGAGAGTTTCTAATTTATTTACATAAGTATTATTAGTATAGATAATAATTATGATTAGAAATTAACTATACATCGATTATTGCTTGCGATTCTGATATCCAAAATGTGTATTGGACACATTTTTGTTTATCACTTTTGTTCAGTCTTCTTATGAAAAAATATTTTATGTCTGCTTATCGTGATACACCGTGTGATATCATTGTGATACAGCTTCCAAAAACCTATCGTTTTTTGCTTGTACTCACAGATGCTCATTATTTGTTACCCTCAAATAGAGGGTGTAAAAGTAACAATCTCGAAATCGAAATAACAATGGTATTCTTTCCGGAGCATAACAGAATAACAACTTTAATTTAAGTTACTTATTCATAATCTCTTACTGGAGCTTAACCAATCTGATATAAGAAGACTATTACAAAGTTTCTTTCACAATAAAAACACAAATCTCATGATTGACAGACTTCTTATGGCAAATTGATAAAGCTGTGATAACTTATTATGAATAAGGTCACCGGTCATTTTAGTGTTTGGATGAAAAAGCAATTTACGTGTCCGTTGACTCCGAGTGCCAGTTGCATATCAATTGACATTTTGACATTTACATGTGGTGCTAAATTACGGTACATGTTTCAATAAAAAAAATGTAAACATATTTTAAGTGTCATCATGTGAAAAATGAACTTCATTGCCCCCTTTCATTTTTGGGAATGTTGCCAATACACCCAAAATACCCTATTAACACATTCAACGCAATCTTGATTTTGAGTTGTACATCAATATTTAGTTGAATTTTATTTATACAATTGAGAAGATCAGACAAAAAACATTTTTTCATTCAGAAAATGTTACTATTATTAACTAATTTAACAATTTCTTTATAGACTACCATGGACATATATATGACCAATAGAACATGCAAATGTGTTTTTAGCATTTTAATAAGTGAAATACATTTGTCTGTTCATGTGCTAAGTCTGATGCAACAATGTCTTAATATTACATACACATTTCCTTAAATTTCCAGAGCTCGAATTAAAAAGTTTCAAAGCTCTTCTATCTATTCTAAATGTTTATTAAAATGTAACAAAACTACTAAAAAATTACGATGCAAGTTAAAATTCCAATGGACCCTATGTACGGTATTGAAATTACAAAATAACGTTTTTTGTATCATGCCTGAAAATTTTGTGTTTAATTACTAGTATAGTAAAAGAAAAGTATTTAGAAAAAAGTATTAAAAATGTATCCACAGTCCTCCAAATTTTTTTTGTAATTCTGTCCGACTTTGTTCATTTCTTATGCATTCAAATGTCTACATAGGGACCACCGATTGCAGTTTTCACTTCAAATACGCTCCGCAGTCATGATTTCAGCACTGTGATGTCGAAATAAATAGTTCACTTACACACTATTGAGTTGTTTATTGTTCACAACCGATTACGACGGTTTCTAATAGCTCTAAGGCGCGCACGGCGCAACCTCGCGGATTATATGTCCCCGTTCTGACTGATCCCGATTCTCTTGATGAATTCTTCTTGAAGCATCACTGTTTTGATCATATTCGGATGGGCTCCATATGAAAGAGTTTGATCTGGAGTTGAACAGTATTGTTGGGTGCCATCTGTTAGGATAACCTGACCGTTGCTGATAGATGTTGTTGTGTCAATAGAGTTCCAGTAGTTTTCACTTGGGGATGTGCTGTTGACTCCGGGCGGAGGTGCTGCTGGAGCACCTGTGTACCTAAAGTAAGGATTCTTCAAATCCAATGTGTTTGATGAAGATATATTTGTACCTTCTAAGTTCACTTCCATTGTCACATCATAGCTCTGGCGCTTGTTTGCCAACAAAAGCACTCGACCTGTAAGAGCTTGACCTTGTTTAGCAAATATAGGTGTCTCAAGCAAACACCGCACTTGATACCAATGCGTTAAAGGTTCCGTTGGTGCAGTCGATAACCATATGTGTTGTGTTCCCCCAGCAAATAAAACATCAAACCAGAAAGCTAATCCGTGACAAGTACCAGACTGGGTTAGTTCAAATCTAAAGGGTACCTCTATACGATGTAAGTCAGTTTCATGAGCATTTAAGAAGTCAACAACGTGTCTAACAGACCGAGACATGCATATGCGTACATCAAATGTGTCAACTATAGGCTGTCTAAAGTACTCTTTCATAGCAGCTGTGCGTAATGCACTCAGGTCTACCCCGTGGAAGCACACTTGATACCAAAAATTAGCCTTATTATATTGTTCCATGAATAATGCATCATCAGTGAATGGTGCTATATGGAGATCACCTCTCGTTGGATACATATTACCATTCGGTTTTAGCCATTTCTTCGCATGTAAATATGTCTCTAACATACGTTCATTGTACAACATGTAACCCATCGGTTCAGAGATAATTATATCAACACTTTCTGGTAATTCAATTTCTTCAATTTTACCCGCTATGACTGTGATACGATCATGTAAACTGTTCGCTCTGACTAGGGCCTGTGCGTGATGCGCCATGTTGCTGGCTTCTACTGCGTAAACCTTCCGAGCGCCTGCCTGGGCCGCGAAAAACGAAAGTATCCCGGAGCCTGCCCCAACATCCAAGACCACTTTGTTTTTGAAATCGTTCACATTAGACAATATGGCGCGCTGATATGTACTCGTTCTGACATAGTCCTGCATCATGTTCTGTTGCTGACTCAGGTAACCATAAAACTGGAAGTACTGCATCGCCGACGAGTCTTCGGTCCTGACCGTGAAAACTGAGGACGACCTGCCCGCCTTGACTTTGCTGACGAGCAGATGGAAACTCTGGCAGTCTGCGTCGGATGCCAATTTGAAAAATAGCGTTTCATTGTCTATCGTAAATATGTATGACTGTCCGGCCACGCGGGAACACTCACTCTGGCTATGAACAGGAAACTCCAGCACCTCCTGCGCGAGCACAGGATCAGCACGTATCACTTTCACACTCAGCCCTTGCGGGTCGTAGTCCACGTTTACGTTCGTCGGGAAATTGAATCGAGGCGTCAGAACGCCATCGCTGTTGACGGTCGACACCGTCACGCCGCGAAACGTGTTCGCCATTTTATAAAAACGTTTTGGTTAGTTGGATGTTTTGTTATTAAATCACACGTTTTATTGCAAACAAAGAGAAATGCCGTTGAAAAGTTTACAGGGCCGGCGCAAAATCGATCACTCACAAACTTCCTCTCCCTCCTTTTGTCTATGCACGACAGCAGGGGCAGCGTGTTATTTTTTTTCTTTCAAAAATTGGCATCTGGTTTTGACAGAACAATTTTTGAATATTTGTTATGAATCAACAAATCACGACGANAATCACACGTTTTATTGCAAACAAAGAGAAATGCCGTTGAAAAGTTTACAGGGCCGGCGCAAAATCGATCACTCACAAACTTCCTCTCCCTCCTTTTGTCTATGCACGACAGCAGGGGCAGCGTGTTATTTTTTTTCTTTCAAAAATTGGCATCTGGTTTTGACAGAACAATTTTTGAATATTTGTTATGAATCAACAAATCACGACGATTAAGAGATGATTGTCAATGTGTCAATTTAATAAAACAAAATAAGCACTTTTCACCTATTTTAGAAAATAAATCTTGACTAAAAAATAATTTCAACCAACATTTTACGTTTACGAAACCCAAAACTGTGTTACTAAATGTAAAAACCATAGAATATGTAGTGTTTTCTACTCATATACTAACCTAAAGTTTTTGATGCTTGATATTTGTATTTTATTATATTACCAAAAATCGTTGATTTCTATTACTTTCAATAAAAGTCAATGTAGAGCTATAGCCTCAAAAATGTCCATCATAAAAAGCTAGTCTAAAAGTCTAGGTGAAAAATTTGAGGCAGTGGTTTGATTGCAGCACTACCTCAGTCCAATTATTATCAAGCAGGCGGTTTTAAAAGTTAGGATTTTATTGTTTAAAGGGAAAAATTCAGTTGAAGAAAAAGTAATTAGACCACAGACAATTGTGTTCACTTTATTTTTAATACATTTAATCTTTGTTAAAAATAATACACTAAAATTATGGCGGACGAATGGACAAAGGTATATATATTCAAAATAAATTCAAAAAAAGTGAGCCGTCACGGGACGCCTGGCAGATGTGAAACGTTGACATTATTTTGTAAAAGTAATATGCAGAAAAGAACAGATTGTGATAGGAACTAAATATGTCTAATATTACGAAAAAATAATTTGTTTTCAAGTAAAACACAGGTTATGTGTACTGTAGTAAACAACACTGTATACACTATGGAGTATACACTATAGGTATCCGAGCTCAGTGTAGCGAGAGAGATGGCTTAACGCCGGATCGAGTGGGAGAGAATCGCACAGTTGATTGCGCATGGCGACGCGACGCGTCGCCATGGCATGCGTCGCCACGCCAGAAATCGGTTTTACGTGCGGCTATAGATGTTTCACATCAACTTAAATTAAACTTCTCGATCATAAAACTTATTTTTAACTTGAGAGATTCCCAGAGAGCATAAGATCCAACTTTTTTTTATTCCTTTCTTAAAATGGCAGCGAAAAAAGTTTTTATACAGTCTTAATGAAATTTTATAGGTCTATGGAAATTATGCTATGAATTCCGGAAACGGTACCGTAACGACAGTTGTTCGTTTGTCAATGTCAAAAACATGTTTATTTGAAGAGGTTATGATTTACCTTACATGTTGTGTTCTGGTTTAGTGTGGATAGGACTTGGTTCTTATTAAGTATTCGTATAATTTCCTAAAATGAGTAAAAAGCTGAAAGATTTGAAGTGGGAAACTGTTCCACTAGAAGGCTTTCCAGCTTCCGTCACAGATAAGCTGCAAGGTTTTGTAGGTCTTGAAGAATGCACCTCTTATGGTCTGGACAGGGAAAACAGGAAGCCGAAAAAAGTATTTCTAAAAACTTCTATCTACAAGGTCTCATAATTGTAAGTTCGTTACATGTTTTAACCTCCTCAACTGTTTTACAGCACAAAGAAAATGCAAATAAAAGAAAAAGCGAAGCAAAAAGCACCAAAGCACAAGAACCAGTAAAAAAGCTTAAATTAAGTAATGGTTTTATAGTTGAAACTTGTAATACCTCCATTCCGTCACTAAGTAATGAAATAGCAACAAGCAATGTCTATGAACAAAAAATTAAAGGAAAGAAACCAATAAAAGAAATGAATATTAAAAAAAAGAAACATAAATTAGGGGAAACTACGTCTTCACAGTCCGACGTTACTCCTCAGGATATGTTAGCTTGGGCCGAGTTCCAGCTGCCAGATTCAATCATGAAAGCGCTGACTGAAATGGGCTTTAAGCAACCAACGAAAATTCAGCAACTGTCATTACCTGCAGCCATACATGGTAAATATTTAAAGTGATGTTGTTTCTTGATTTTATATACAGGGTGATGCAATCAGCTTAAAAATCCCATAAAATTATATTGAGGGGTAAAAGCCTATTTGTTTAAAGCAGCATTTTGCTTAATAAGCGATATTTCTCTTTGTAATTCAAAGTTTGTTTTATATGGTATTAGTATTATTTTTTTTGGCGTAGTTGGGTGGACGAGCTCACTGCCCACTTGGTGTTAAGTGGTCACCGGATCCCATAGACATCTATAACGTAAATGGCACCACCCACCTTGAGATATGAGTTCTAAGGTCTCAGTATAGTTACGACGACTGCCCTTCTCTTCAAACCGAAATGCATTACTGCTTCACGGCAGAAATAGGCAGGGCGGTGGTACCTATCCGTGCGGACTCACAAGAGGTCCTACCGCCAGTAAAAAAAAGTAGTATTAAGAATTTGATGTTTTTAATTGAACTTCAATGAAGTTAACTCCATTCAATTAGCGAAAGAAGTTTTTTGGTTATGATGTTTTTTCCAAATTTTAAACTTTCAACAATTGATATGATTATTTATTGATATTGATTTTATTATTTATTTAGTAAATACTTGGCTCAAAGTACTTTAGGTCTGGCCCATGGTTTCTTCCAATAAAAATATATTTTGTTTTTTTTTTTTTATTCTTGGCCCTCTACTAAATGCATATAAAAAAATATTTACAGGACGAAGAGATATTCTTGGAGCGGCCGAGACAGGTAGTGGTAAAACCTTAGCTTTCGGTCTACCTATATTATCAGGAATACTAGACCTAAAAGAAAAAGCTGATCAAAAAGGCTTAGATGTTTATGACATACCATACAAAAAGACATCTGCCAAAAAGAAAACAGAAGAGAAAGAATTGAAAAAGAGTAACAAAATCAGTAAAAACAAGGTGCAAATTAAAAAAGATAACACTAGTAATAAAGATTCTGAAGAAGGTTATGGTAGTTCAGAATCAACTGATAAAATGAAAGATAGAAAAAAGAAAAGATATAAAGCTGCAGAAGATTATTTAGAAGAATATGAAATTCCAATCAAAAAAAGGAATGACTCTGATGAAGGTAATGATTCAGATGGTGAGAACTATGTTCATCTATCGGATATGCTGGATTCAGATGATTTGAAAGATGAAAGTGATGACAATGAACAGTCTGAAGATGATTTGGAATCTGCTGAAAATGATCAGTCTGATAATGATAAAAATGAAGAATTAAGTGATTATGGAAACCAATCAGATAGTAATGAGAGTGATGAAGAATTGGATGTTAATGCTAGTGATGTGGATTCCACTGATGGTCATGAAATGGATGTTGGGGATGGTGAGGATGACAAGTTACAAAGTCAAGGTAAGCATATAAAAGATTTATAAAAAATAAATAATAATAATATACAAAGAAATAGGCCATTTATATGAATAATAATAATAACCGTCATCACGTAGACTATACATTAGACACTGTATAGCCATCATACTAAGACTATACATAAATAATAAAAGTCTTACGTTACGGACGTTTTTTCCTCGTTCCAAAAATATCACAACCTTGTTGTTTACAGGAACGGGCCTGGTCAAAGTGGTAGATGATGTGAAATTGCCACCTCACATGGAGGTCAGGACTGGCAAACCTTTATATGCACTGATACTAACTCCGACCAGAGAACTGGCCATGCAGGTCAGCAGGCATTTGATGGCTGTAGCCAAGTACACAGGTTAGTTTATTAGAAGGAAATATGGAGGATCCATTACCCGATGGTGGTCCCGTAGACTCGCTGCCGTCTTCTGGAAAGCAATACCCTTATCTATCCTGACCCGGGTTCCTTTTCGGGCGGGGATCTGCCGTCGGGAGAGGTGGTCCGACATAACTCGGCCTGATCCCACACCAGCTGGTTATCCGCAAACTGGATTTCCCACCGTAAAAACCAAGAGGACGCGTTTCACATTAGGAAATTAGATTGTGCACCGTTATATGGATATAGTGAGAAAAGATTTTCCTTCGTAATTTCCCGGAAAAGTTCGTATTTATCGTGTTCTCTGGAATTGCTTCAGTACCCATCATAGAGCCGTAGGGGTAAGTCGCATCAGCAGACCAATATATCTATCTATACCAGCCGTACTCTCTCGCTTCGCTGGGCATTTAAAATTAACATTATTATTTATTGTCATTATTATTAGGAAGTCCAATACTCATATAAATATTAGCCTATCCATTAAGTATATGTATTTTCTACATGGATACCAAGTTTCAAGTCAATCGGATGCATGGTTCAGTAGTTATAACGTATATGTATATATAGAGTGGATAATACGCAATTCAAATATTCGCTATAGTTTTACTCATATTCTCAGATTACATATAAAAAGGTTGTATATCGATGCCGAAATCTCGAAAATGTTTAAAAAATCCAGTTCAAGGAATTATATTTAATATTTACCCATACTTCATATCGGAAAATTGCAAATTCAAAAATAGCAACAACTCAATTAATAATTGTTATGGTTGTAACATCTCTATATTATACAATGACATTATTCATTTTGACATTTTACACTAAACAATTAAGATTTTTATTAATGAATATGAAAATTTCACTCATTTAATACCATCATTCATTGACAGTTCGGGTGTCATCGTATTCCGATAAAGATCTGAGTTTTCCCGAAGGAAAATAATTTCACACTACATCTTTTTTATTTTTTTTATTGCTTAAATGGGTGGACGAGCTCGCAGCCTACCTGGTGTTAAGTGGTTATTGGAGCCCATAGACATCTACAACGTAAATGCGCCACCCACCTTGAGATATAAGTTCTAAGGTCTCAAGTTTAGTTACAACGGCTGCCCCATCCTTCAAACCGAAACGCATTACTGCTTCAGGGCAGAAATAAACGGGGCGGTGGTACCTACCCGTGCGGACTCACAAGAGGTCCTACCACCAGTTATTACGCACATCTATACATATATTGATTTTACACAATGTCCATCCATCTTCACAATATCAACATCAACCAGGAAGTGTTTTAACCAGCGGCAAATAAATAATTAGTACTAAGAATAAAAACCACATTGGGATGTAACTCATAAATCTTTTATGTGTTTAATATATTTCAATTTTATTTAAGTCAAAGTCTAGTTCAAAGTCTTCATAACTGTATTTTAGGTATAAGAATCGCGACAATAGTTGGAGGTCTGGCCGCGGTGAAGCAGGAACGGGTGCTCGGCAAAGGGCCAGAGATCGTGGTCGCCACCCCGGGCAGGCTGTGGGAGCTACTGTCCCAGGGGCAGCCTCATTTACAACAACTTTCAACCGTCAAGTGAGTGCAGTAAAGCTCGTTTTTAATCGGCGCTAAGATAGGGACAGCATAAAAGAAATCGCACATAAAATAATAATGAGGACTTTCAATTGACTTTTTGTTTCTATGATTGTTATATTAATATATTATGTTGAGTTGGCTGTTGGTTCTCTTTTTGTAATAAATAAATATGAAACTTCATAAATATCGTCGCTTAATAATCACATTTATTATTAAATTATAATAATTATACATATCGACGCTTGAAAGGCAAACGTGACTAAGCGACAATAACTGCTTCGTACATAAATGATAGGCAATAACCATATTCGATGCGCAAAAAATATATATTTCTAGGTCTATTAAAATCATTTCAATCCTACAGCTAGATTCGTTAAAATAAAAAAAAATTCAGGTATTTCTCAGGTATATTTTAAATAAATTTCAACTTTAAATTAGTCTAATGTAAAGTTCACGCATTGTCGCTTAGTCACGTTTGCCTTTCAAGTGTCGATATATTTATTATACATTTATTATTAAAATCACACACTAATCAAACTGTTTTGTTGATTAAAAACAGTAAAGATTCTCGTTAGATTTGGCAATAAAACCAAATCGATTGACAAACTGCAGAGAAAATACTATTTAACCTTTTTTGCTTCGTTTATTAATATACTGACTCTCAATCTCGTAACAGATTCCTGGCCATCGACGAGACCGACCGCATGATAGAGAGGGGCCACTTCGAGGAGCTGCAACCCTTGCTGGAGAGGCTCAACGCGGACGACGACCGCCGCAGTACAAGGCAGAACTTCGTCTTCTCGGCAACCCTGACCATGGTGCACGAACTGCCCGCGCACATGCGGGGCAAGAAGGTATGATGCAGTCAATGATCAGATGAACCGTCCATCTGATGGAAACTGGCACCATCAATCCAGATCGAGGACCAGTCATACAATGCTGCTTGTCATCGAAGTCTTTTTTTTTTAGACATCTACAACGCAAATGCGCCACCCACCTTGAGATATGAGTTCTAAGATCTCAAGTATAGTTACAACGGCTACCCCACCCTTCAAACCGAAACGCATTACTGCTTCACGGCAGAAATAGGCGGGGTGGTGGTACCTACCCGCGCTGACTCACAAGAGGTCAGGAGAGAAGTAGCTTCAATGGCATTTTTTTTTCTACCTAAGTTTGTAAGGCTTTGTCAGCGTAACCTAACAAGTAGGTGAGCTCACGGGTCTCAAACCTGACGACGTTGCTAACACGAACCTATATTGCTTTACGACGATTGCTTTAAGATTATGGACATTCTCGAAGAGCTTAGGCTGATACTGGTGGTAGGACGTCTTGTGAGTCCGCGCGGGTAGGTACCACCGCCCTGCCCATTTCTGCCGTGAAGCAGTAACGCGTTTCGGTTTGAAAGGCGGGGCAGCCGTTGTAACTACGAGTATACTGAGACCTTAGAACTTATGTCTCAAGGTTGGTGGCGCATTTACGTTGTAGATGTCTATGGGTTTCAGCGACCACTTAACAACAAGTGGGCTGTGAGCTCGTCCATCTTTCCTCCTTAATGCTACGTGACAGTTATGTGTGTGTATTTTTTTTTTACTACGATTCCTTCTCTATACCAGGTGACAAAGCGAGGGAAGATATTAAACAGGAAAGTGGACAAGATGACGTCGCAGCAGAAAATCAATAGATTGGTCAAAATGATTGGCATGACCGACCCCAAGGTGGTCGACATCACCGCGCAAAACCTGGGTAAGCCGACGCCGCCGGTGCCGCAGCGTCAAGGTACAGTATGCGCGCGAGTTCGTGTCCATCGGGGCCAGAGGCGACGCGCGGGGGCAGCTCGCCCCGCCTTCACCCTCCTCCCCCATTTATCTGACGTCGAGTGTTGTCCTGACGGTAGTGATGCGCGCTTATCGATATTGAAAATTTAGGCTAACGCTATTGTGTTATTTAACCATGACTACTCCGCTTCCAACAAGTACAGATAGAAAAAAAACCTACTGAAAAAAGTACATACTGATTCCGACTCTGATCTGTCGGTTGTCTTTTCATTTGATAGTGGAATATAAAATTGGAATTTAAAAAATATTTTTCTCTATTAGAAATAAATAAGTAATTACTTATCACATTTATTTTATTTCATAATTTGCAAAATTACCTTAAGTTATTACACATTAAACCAAATTGAAAGCTGTTGACTAAACGGTAGTTATTATCGACATTACCATAATTAACTAGGTCACAGCACTACTGCATTCCTCGGGATGGACATGGACTCGCGCGCCTACTGTAGACTGGCCCACTGAGTTTCTCGCCGGATCTTCTCAGTGGGTCGCGTTTCCGATCCGGTGGTAGATTCTGCGAAGTACGGCTCTTGCTAGGGTTCGTGTTAGCAACGTCGTCAGGTTTGAGCCCCGTGAGCTCACCTACTAGTTAAGGTTACGCTGAAATAGCCTCTCAAGGCTATCATCAGTTCAGGTAGGAAAAAAAAAGGATCCTTCCGACCCACTGACACTGTCATTAGACGCCTGCAGCTTTAGCACTGAGGGCACGCATAGGGACCCTGGTAACCACATTCCTTGAACTTAAACAGTTCAAGGTTTTTTTTATATTGTCTGTGTGTAGGCAGACAGGCATGCGGCCCACCTGGTGGTGAATGGTTACCGTTGCTCAAGGACTTCAGCAATGCCAGGGGCAGAGCCAAGCCGCTGCCTACCGTTAAATACTCTCCACAAGCCTCGTTTGAAGAAGGACATGTCATAGCGCTCGGGAAACACCCTGAAACACTGCGAAAATGTAAAAAGTAATCAGCAAAACAGCCGCCCCGGTGAAATTGGAAAGGCTTTTGAGGCCCCAGTGTTGAAAAAACCCGTCTACTGATCAACATTCTTTTCTTGCACTAATACCGTCTTCTCGTTGAGTTAGTTGCGGGATCGTGTGGTCCACGTGCCCTAAACTAGACGTGGTCGGACACCACGGAACTGGAAACCAGTAAATCAGCTTATGATCTTGGGACAGGTGCTGCAGAGACCCTGACGGAGAGCAGGATCACCTGCTCCGTGCAGCACAAGGACGCGTATCTGTACTACGTGCTGAAGAGGCACCCCGGCAGGACGATCGTGTTCTGCAACTCCATCGGATGCGTCCAGAGGTGAATTAGCCCAAGGCCTTTTTTTTTAAGGGATTTTATGACCTGGTAACTGAGACTTTTAAGTCATATCTTATTTTAATTTATATTCATATTTTTATGAAAAATGATATTATGGAGTGAAATGAAATTAAGATGATTAATTTGAAACATTAATAAACTGGGATGAAATTAAATGAAATGAGGTGATATGGGATGAAATATAATCTCAGTAAAGTGGTGGCCATTTACTGAGATTTTTTCAGTGGACTTTTTGGAGTATCCCAAGAAGTTATGTCCAGCGGCTTTGTTTCATTTTCCCACATTTGTGCACTTTCACAGATATTAAACAGTTAATAAACCACCGTTATTACACATTTAAACCTGAAGAAACACTAAATACACAAAATAAAACAAATCACACAACTTCACTCCTCGCGTTCCCGCCAAAAAGTCCTTTTTAAGTTTTCACGCCCTTGTAGGCAGACGCGTATACGGCCCACTTGAAAATACTGATCAGCAGCTCTATCACTGAGAATGAAGTCTTCGTGGCCTAAAGGATAAGACGTCCGGTGCATTCGTGTTGAGCGATGCACCGGCGTTCGAATCCCGCAGGCGGGTACCAATGTTTCCTATGAAATACGTACTCAACAAATGTTCACGATTGACTTCCACGGTGAAGGAATAACATCGTGTAATAAAAATCAAACCCGCAAAATTATAATTTGCGTAATTACTGGTGGTAGGACCACTTGTGAGTCCGCGCGGGTGGGTACCACCGCCCTGCCTATTTCTGCCGTGAAGCAGTAATGCGTTTCGGTTCGAAGGGTGGGGTAGCCGTTGTAACTATACTAAGACCTTAGAACTTATACCTCGAGGTGGGTGGCGCATTTACGTTGTAGATGTCTATGGGCTCCAGTAACCACTTAACACCAGGTGGGCTGTGAGCTCGTCCATCCATCTAAGCAATAAAAAATAAAATAAAAACTCCGCAAACCTCGTTTGGTGAGGGCGTATCTTAGCGCTCGTAAGCATTGAGAAGGGAAGGTCATTCTATAGTCGGATGGTACGTGGCACAAAATATCTCTGGAAACACACGATGATCTGTTGCTCAATGGCTACGGGAGCCCATGGACATCATGACTGCCGCATTTGTCAAGAGACACGAAACCGAGGTCCGTAACTCGGTAGTGCTCGGTAGGTACTCGGTAGTAAGCGATACCCCGGATTCCAACTTTAATTCACCGATGAACATTGTCTTAGATTTGTTGTTGTTTGTACAATTTTGTTGTCATTGTTTATAATATAATAAGTTGGGGAAAAAGTCTTTTCGCATTATGGTATGTATGAACTTGTAATAAAATCTCTTTGGCTATACTATTTGTATCTGGCTGGTTTTGGTAACATTAAAAGTTTAAATTTTAAAGAAGATAATTCCAAATTTAAATTGGGAAAATGTGTGATTTTTATTTATTTTTCGTACTGTCAAGATGCATGAATCTAATGAAGAAATTCGATACATTTTAAAATTTTACTACAAAAAAGGTAAAAAAGCAATGCAAGCCGCGAAAAAAATTTGAGATCCATATGGACCTAGTGCAGTGTCTGTGAGAGTAGCACAAATTTGGTTTAAGCGTTTTCAATCCGGAAATTTTGATGTCAAAGATGCACGTCGCTCTTGTCACCCTATTACGGATAAAATTGAGGCCATTTTTTAAAAAGTAGAGCAAGATCGGCATATCAGTAATTACGACGTAAATTAAATTTAAAAATGTTGTGAATTTTCTTTAAAAAATGCGAAGAAACTTTTTCACGAAGATGTCTGATGTGGCAAACAGAAATCGACGCGACGATAAACTATGTTTTCCAAAATCCAAAACTACATTAAAGAATAATAGTAGGTATACTCGGTATGAGCGTTAGGATGTTCAATAAACTACCAAAGAAATTAAGAGACCTAGACGATTTTCATTTTAAGAAAAAACTAAAAGATAATCTTATAAGTGAAAATTATAATCACATAAATGATTTTATTAGGGACATTGAAAATAAATGGATTTTTTAATTATTAGTTGAATTATGGATGAATGAATGGTAAATTATATCTAATATATAAAATTCTCGTGTCACAATGTTCGTTCCCATACTCCTCCGAAACCGCTTGACCGATTCTCATGAAATTTTTTATGCATATTCAGTAAACCTGAGAATCGGCTACTATCTATTTTTTATACCCCTAAGTCATTAGGGTTGTCCACCCCTAACATATTTTTTTTTATTTGGACATTTTTTTTTGTTTTAGTGAGGTATTATGTGGTTGAATGAGGTTTTGTTATTTTTATTATATATTCCCTCATCGTTCACAGCACTACATACCTCTTTCACTCATTTACCACATCCTTACACACTTACAATAAGTTAGTTTTTTTTTCTACACTAGAAATTCCCTAGAAATCTTATATATGGCAAAACAACGTTTGCCGGGTCAGCTAGTAATATTATAATATCTTGCACTGCACTAAAATTCGCATGTCAAATAATGACAAAGCATACACGCTGCTTTTAACTTATGTAATAACTCATTTTCACTATGCTTAGCGAATAAATGATTTCTTTCTTTCTTTCTTTCTTTCTTTCTTTCTTTCTTTCTTTCCCCAACCTATTATATGCAAATACAAAATCTAGATAACCTATGTTCCTTACAGGTTAGCGCAGCTATTCGGCATATTGAAATGCCACCCCCTGCCCTTACACGCGAATATGCAACAGAGGCAACGCCTGAAGAACTTGGAGAGGTAAGCCATCGGGATCAAGTCCCCAGTATTAAGAGGAACAGGATCTATTGAGGTTTACGGGGATCCGCTGGAGGCAGGCAGCGCAGGACCGGTCTTTGTGGCGAGACTTGGGGGAATCCTCCGTCTAGCAGTGAGACTATACTGAGACCTTAGAACTTATATCTCAAAGTGGGTGGCACATTTACGTTGTAGATGTCTATGGGCTCCAGTAACCACTTAACACCAGGTGGGCTGAGAGCTCGTCCACTCATCTAAGCAATAAAAATTAAAAAAGTTCAGCCTAAAAGAGTTTCGCATCGTTTTTTTATTGTTTTTATTTTGTTGTTTAGGTTCCGTGACGACAAACACGGTGTGCTGATAGCCACGGATGTAGCTGCCCGCGGGCTCGACATCCCGGATGTGGACCACGTGGTGCACTACCAGGTGCCCAGGACGGCGGAGAGCTACGTGCACCGGAGCGGCCGCACCGCCCGCGCCAGCAAGGAGGGCCTCACCATACTGATGATGGAGCCCTCCGAGGCGTTCCTCTACGCGAAGCTCTGTCAGACCTTGAACAAGAGTAAGCTCCCTCACACTGCACACATATCATTACTGAAAGTCATTTACTCGACGAGATATTTAATATTATTAGTGGTCTATTTTATTTATGGTAGGACCTCTTGTGAACCCGCACGGGTAGGTACCACCACCCTGCCTACTTCTGCCGTGAAGCAGTAATGCGTTTCGGTTTGAAGGGTGGGGCAGCCGTTGTAACTATACTGAGACCTTAGAACTTATATCTCGAGGTGGGTGGCGGCGTTTACGTTGTAGGTGTCAATGGTCTCCAGTAACCACTTAAAACCTGGTGGGGTGTGAGCTCGTCCACCCATATAAGCAATAAAAAAAAAACAAAAAAAGACCAGGGGTCATCAGCTTGTTCCCTCGTGTAAATTGACAATTGAATCTTGATCATCGTCGTGACGTAAAACAGTGGGTCGTGACCCTTGTTTTTTTTTCTTTTTTTTTTATTCCTATATAGGGACCGCCAAAAATATTCTCTCTACCGAAGCGGTGGTACTACTCATACTCTCAAAACCACATTGAAATCCCAATAGCGATTTCGGTTCTTTTGAAGTCCATTAATTATGTCTCCCAGAAACGGAACTGCCCCTGTTCCCGGTACAGTCTCACAGCCTGTCCCCGGTCAAGGAGCTGGTCGGCTTGGCCCGGGACATTGACGCTCTAGAGCTGAAGAAACGCCGCGCGGCCCAGTCCGTTGGATGGAGGGAGAAGGCCGCCAAGGAAATGGACATGATCGTAGACGACGATGACGCGTATCCTTTGGAAAATAATCAGCTGTTGTGTTATATACTTCAGTTTGAGATAAGACAGTGGCTCTCAACCTCCATGTTGCCACATATTGGTGTACAAGCCCTTTGTCGATTGTCTCCCAAGATACCATACGATGTTTTTATCCAAAAGTGACCCAGGGAAATTGCATCACTCGGGTCCGTGCGGGATAATTATACAGCTGTTGATTAAATTTTAACAGAACATTCAGCATTGGGTAGACACGGGTTGAAAAAGAGCCTAGTGTGGAAATTAAAAAAAAAAAACGGTGCGCGTGCAACTTGGTGCACGTGAATGAAGTTAAACTTCTTTTTCGATGTGTAGTATTGTAATTTTCTTCATTTTTCATCCTTAAATTAGTTTGCTCTTGTAATAGGGAATGCTGTGTATAAGAAATGCGACATCTCGAACATTGATGTTATATATATTTTAAATTATAGATAGTTTTTTTTTTATATTCTTCATTAAAATATTGGACGCTACTCGGTGCTAACACTCGCGCTGGCCTGTAGCAGGTATACTACGCGCATTCACTCTCGCTCTGTCTCTTTCTATCCCCCCTCCCCAGGAGCGTTGAACGTTTTACGTAACCTTGTTAGAAGTCGCATTAGAAGTTTCACTTCAAAAATCGTATTTGTTTACCAAGATTACAGGCACGCTTCCAAAGTGCTGTCGTCGTTGGAACAAGCGTGCAACACTCACTCTCGCTCTGTCTCTTTCTATCCTCCCTCCCCAGGAGCGTTGAACGTTTTACGTAACCTTGTTAGAAGTCGCATTAGAAGTTTCACTTCAAAAACACTTCATTAACATTTATGAGTTTCGTTAAACTGTGTCCGATGTCCTATGGTCCTTAACGAAACCTTCAGGCCAGTGAAACAGATAGACCCGTCTATCGAGAGGACGCTGCGAGCCAAGAAGCGTCAGCTGGAGACCGCGATGGCCAGGCCGCTGTTCCCGCGAGGGTTCTCCTTCAAGTATCCAACCTTGAACGACCCTACTGCGTTGGAGATGCCCCAAGAGAACGCATTACAGGTCCGTTCTTTTTAATACGCTTTTATTAGCTTCAGACGCGTGTATGTTAGTATGTAACGGAATCTTTGAACATGATTTTGACCCCTTCAAAACGTCGGATTAATTTGAAATTTGGTATACTTATTAAGCACCGATGACAATTCAATATTAAAAAACAAATATTGGAAAAATCGGAGTTCAACTAAAAAATTAAAAATAGCTTAAAAAAAACTAACAAAATACGCTTTTATATAAAATCCAACAAAAAAATAGACAATAAGTTTTAATAAATTTGAATTAATAGAAGTAATCATTTTAGTGTAAAAAAAAGCGTGGGGTGCATGGTATCAGTAGTTATAAATATTTTATGAACAGATATGAGTAGAAGGGTTATTTTGATAATATCCTGAAAAGCACGCCACGCTTTCTATAAAAGCGTATTTTGTTAGTTTTTTTAAACTATTCTTTATTTTATTTTCAATCTTTAAATCAATCTTCAAGTTTTGAAGTCTTCGTGGCCAAAAGAATAAGACCTCCGGTGCATTCGTATCTAGCGATGCACCGGTGTTCGAATCCGGCAGGCGGGTACCAATTTTTCTAATTAAATACGTACTCAACAAATGTTCACGATTGACTTCCACGGTGAAGGAATAACATCGTGTAATAAAAATCAAACTCGCAAAATTATAATTTGCGTAATTACTGATGGTAGGACCTCTTGTGAGTCCGCACGGGTAGGTACCACCACCCCGCCTATTTTTGCCGTGAAGCAGTAATGCGTTTCGGTTTGAAGAGCGAGGCAGTCGTTGTAACTATACTTGAGACCTTAGAACTTATATCTCAATGTAGGTGGCGCATTTACATTGCAGATGTCTATGGGTTCCAGTAACCACTTAACACCAGGTGGACTGTGAGCTTGTCCACCTATCAAAGCAATAAAAATAAAGTCAAGTCTGTATAATTGCAACTTTGTTATGGCGTCATTTGAGGCCAAAATAATTCAGTATTTATATTTAATAATTCATATTAATATTAATTATTATAATTCAATTCAATTCAATTCAATAATTCATATTAATAATAATAATTCAGTAATTTATATAGCGATTCAATTAAAAAAAATATAAATATTAATGCTTCTTGAATGAATGAATATTAATGTTAAAAGTGAAACCTTACAACTCATGTCTCAAGGTGGATGACGGCATTTACACTGTAGATGTCTGTGGGCTCCAGTAACCACTTCAGATCTGGTGGGCAGTGAGCTCGTCCACCCATCCAAGCAATTAAAAAAATATTCAAATATCAGACAATAGACTTGATTATTTCATTAACGTGTCCAAAAACGAATTAAACATTGTTATTTGAGTCCTAACGTATATACAGTAGATTGAAGAAAGTTTTTTTTTTTTGATATTGCTTAGATGAGTGGACGAGCTCACAGCCCACCTGGTGTTAAGTGGTTACTGGAGCCCATAGACATCACGCAAATGCGCCACCCACCTTGAGTTATAAGTTCTAAGGTCTCAAGTATAGTTACAACGGCTGCCCCACCCTTCAAACCGAAACGCATTACTGCTTCACGGCAGAAATAGGCAGGGTGGTGGTACCCACCCGCGCGGGCTCACAAGAGGTCCTACCACCAGTAAAAAAGTTTCTATAATTAAAAAAATTACAGGTGATGAAAAACGCAATACAATCCGGGGAATTGAAAAAGGACAAGAGAAAATCGAAGAACGCTCCTCTCCTGAAACTGGGTAAAGGAACAAAAAAACATAATATGAGACCCAAAAAGAGAAGTTAATAATAAAAATTTTAATGAAAAAAATTATAATGTGAAAATGTATGTGTTTTATTTGAATCCTCTATATCGGTCTAGATAAACAATAAAAAAATTGTGGTATAACGCTAGGTAACGTAGAATAGAGGGTATTTGAAAAAAAACTGAATTAGTCTGAGGATAGACTCTTTGGCGGGAACGCGAGGAGTGAAGTTGTGTGATTGGTTTTATTTTGTCTATTTAGTGTTTCTTCAGGTTTAAATGTGTAATAATGGTGTTTTATTAACTGTTTAATATCTGTGAGAGTGTACAAATGTGGGAAAATGAAACAGAGCCGCTGGACGTAACTTCTCGGGATCCTTCAAAAAGTCCGCTAAAAAAAGTCCCATATGGAACTTCGTTCCAAAAATACAAAAAATATAGACTCTACAGAGTTCATTGTTTGTGGAAGTTCGTATATAGCTTGTCTAAACATATCTAGAAGTTCCGATATTCGGATTACCTGTCCTGGTGAAACTGATAAGGCCTTCAGGCCACCAGTAATTCTTCATTCATAACAAAAATATATTTAAACTTTTGGTCCACGGCGTAATATCACTGGCTAGATAGATTTCCCGCCTAATGAAGAAGTAACATTTTGTGATTTTAAACTTTTTTATTTATTTCATCAATATAGGGTTTCATAAATATAGTTTTTGCCTAGCGTAGGGTTGCTTGCAGTGATGAGCGAAGCAAGAACAAAACCTTGTGAGTCCGCACGAGTAGGTACCACCGCTCTCCCTATTTCTGCCGTGAAGCAGTAATGCGTTTCGGTTTGAAGGGCGGGGCAGCCGTTGTAACTATACTGAGACCTTAGAACTCATATCTCAAGGTGGGTGGCGCATTTACGTTGTAAGTGTCTATGGGCTCCGGTAACCACTTAACGCCAGATGAAGTCTTCCTCCCAGCTACGCAATAAATAAAAAGTCTACGACAATCTTGGTATTCATCGCGCGTGTCCAGTCTAGGTTTTACTCATTTTATCTGATACTTGTGTTATTTTTTTAATAATTTACCCGGATACATTATAACCATTTTGTAAAGGCATAAATTGGATATTGTAAGTACACAAACAATATTTAACTAATAAAATGCTTTATTTTTATTCCAATCCAAATACTATTTCAAATTCAAGAATACCTATTCTTGTTTTAGATCCTATTTTTTAAACAGTCACAAAGTTTACTGTCTTTTTTTTTTTATATACACAGTGCTATATTTATTTAGTGAAACAAATTAGAAATGTAAAATAAATATGTTTGTTCCCCGAACAAAAGTACGTTCCATTCATGACAAATTATTTAAATCAGCCTTTCCCAAAGTGGGCGATAACGCCCCCTTGTGGGCGCTGCAGGCTTAAAGGGGGGCGGTAGGAGACCCAGAAAAAAAAGGGTGCGTTGTGTAGAGGCTTTTAAGGCGATTTGTAATTTCATTTAGGAGGACGCATAGACACCGACTAAGCTCTCGCTTCGAGTGGTTTTGAAGTAGGTGAAAAAATTGGGGCCCTAAAATATAATTTATTCTCAAAGTGGGAAATAGACAAAATAAATTTGGGAACCCCTGTATTAAATCATTATATCGACGGTATTTATATATATTTTTTTTGTTTATTCCCACACACGCACAGGCGGTATTCGTCGTCTACGTCTTATTCGGGTACAGCTGGTCTTTTGGCAAAAAAGAAAGACCATTATTGCTCATCACTAGTTGCCTATGAGATCATAGGTCGTCATAAGGACTCCTGGGTACTGAATGTGTATCGATGATCTGCTTGTAATAGCGGGCGGAGGCGCGTTGTCTTCGGGTGCGCATCGGGGAAGTAAAGTTCACTTCGTATAATCCGAATTTCGAATTGTAACCGTCGTTCCACTCGAAGTTGTCCATCAGGGTCCACGCTGTGTAACCAGTCACTTTTTGGCCGTCCTCGTTGATGGCCAGAAGCACCTGGTCAAGAAACAAATGGTTAGAATCTTCTTCTTTTTCCCCACCTTAGCCCACTAAGTGGGGTCGGCACCGCGAATTTTTGAAGTGAAACTTCTAATGCGACTTCCAACAAGGTTGCGTTAAACGTTTAACGCTACCATACTAGAAAGAGACAGAGCGAGAGTGAATGTGTGGCAGTCGAACTCATGCGCGTAGTATACCTGTTACAGGCCCGCTCGAGTGTTAGCATTAGCAACGACTTCCGCCACTCATGGATGTCAGCAATGCCAGGGGCACAGCGAAGCCGCTGCCTACTGCTATCTCAACCCTCAGTGCTGGGAGCTCTAGCATCGCTGACGTCCATGGGCGACGATAACCACTCACCGTTAGCTGGGCCGAATGTTCGTCTACCTACAGGGGCAATATATATATATATATATATATATNTTCTGGGGCCTTACGAAGTAGTGGCTAAGAAGCACCATGACCGGTACGCTGTAAGAAAAGTCGGCGACGGTGAAGGTCCTATTAATACTACCAGCTCGGCTGACCTAATGAAGCCTTGGGTCGTGAATGAAGATAGTTCATCTGGGTCAGATGAATGACCAGGATGGCCGTGTGGGGAGTGTTATTTTTATTACGTTTTTTTCAGTTTGCTTTTTTTAATATTTATTTTGTGCCTGTTGCAATGGCAACATTCTATTAGATTCACAAAGAGATAGTAGTTTAAGGTTAGAGGGGGTAGTTCAAAATTGGAATAGTTTTAGAAAGACGTGTACGAAGTGATTGTGAAGTAAAATAAAGAATTTCGCTATATTCATCCCACTTTTACTTATGAACGATCCCACATATATATATATATCCGCATTATATATATAATGCGGATGGTAAATTGAAGACTGTCCGTTTTTAAATTGGAACTTTATACCTCTTTCAGATAATCCCTGTAGAATTCGATTCGTTCTCTGTCTTCTAGGCCGCTGGTAGTCGACAAGCCGTTTTCTGTGATCCAGAATTTGATGTCTCCGTACTCCTTCTGCAACCAGGCCAGCTGCCGTCGAATACCTTCGGGGTTAATCTGTAAAAGAATTGCATTGAGAATTCCATAAAAATCTCAGTAAATTACCACCATTTTACTAAGATTATATTTCATCTCATTACATCTTATCTCATCTAATTTCATTTAATTTCATCCCAGTTGATTAATTCTCAAATTAATCATCTTCATTTCATTTCACTCCATATTATCATTTTTCATAAAAATAAGAATATAAATTAAAATAAGACATGACTTAAAAGTTTTAGTTACTAGGTCATAAAATCCCACAAAAAAAAAAGAATTCCATATGGAAATGCGGAGATCTCTTTTGGCTGCTCGGCGTCTTTGAAAGTCACTGAAGTAGGAATATGTTGAAAGTGTAATAATATTTTCCCGTCAATTATTTTAAGATAAATCTAATGGTTGCATCTTTGATACGTTAGAGCCAATTACTTTGAAGCTTTGAAATTATATTGATCTATCTTGATACGTGAAGTCAAAGTTTCATTTAATTTTGTAATGTACAGCTGACCCCACGCTTCAGATCGATTGAAAAAAGTTCATTGGCCTCAGTTACAGGGTACTTATGCGGCTTAACCAATCTGGATTTCCTCTGTTACCAGTAAATATTATGTTTCTAGGGTCGAGAAAAATAACAGCGGATTCCTATAACGGACTTGGACCTTGGACTTAATTAACGCAATTGAGATATAAGACTTCGAGGCGACATTCAAGTTGCCATCTCCGCGTCCCTTTGTAAGCGCTCAACCAATCTATTTATATAAAAATGAATTGTTGTTCGTTAGTCTCGCTAAAACTCGAGAACGGCTGGGCCGATTTGACTAATTTTGGTCTTGAATTATTCGTGGAAATCCAGAGAAGGTTTAAAAGGCGAATAACAATGAAAATGCTCGGAATTAAACAAAAATAACAATTTTGTTTTTCCTTTGATGTGTCTCCCGTCGGACGGATTCCTTTATTTGTTTTAAGTTTATTTTATACAAAAGTTTAGGTCTTTTATTTATCGATTAAGGCACTACGAAGTCTGCCGGTTCAGCTAGTAGACAATATATTCCTGAAGATTAAAAACTAATTAAAAAATCACTGACATAGAACCATTGGGAAGTCGTAATGCTCCAACTCGGGTCTTTTTCGAAGACAGCTTCTAGATCAGGAGCTCCGTTCAATGGGAACGAGCCGATGTGTTCGCTTGGCTCAGCTTTCCGAACGAGGCGACTGGTGTAATGGTTCATGGCGTAGAAATCGAAGGTGCCTAGATTGATAGAATCAAATCAAATCAAATCATTTTTTTATTTTATTTCAAATCATAATTTTTTTATTCATCACAAATGAAAGTACATACTTGTTGAACGTCAAAAAGAACTACCGCCAATTCACAAAAACTCGCCTCCGTCCTGAGAAGAACTGGCAAGAAACTCAGCGGGCATGTCTTTTTTTTTTAATATTAGATTTTTTTTTAATATTCATTTTTACAATGAGTTTTATAACGTAACAATTATTGCAATATTGAAATGCCTGGAACGAGGAACTCATTCCCACTTTGTGCAATCTTCTAGTCCTAGTTCTAGTTGTTTTCGTCTATGTTCTAGATCTTCAAATCCTTGTTACAACAAGCTCTTGGCTTGTTTTAGGTAAAATCGTCCCGTGATGGGAACAATGTATGTTCTCGTCGACGTGTAAGCTAACCAATAGATAAAGCCCACTGAGTTTACGCCGGATCTTCTGAGTGGGTCTTGTTTCCGATCCGGTGATAAATTCTGCGAAGCACTGCTCTTGCTAGGGCCAGTGTTAGTAATGCCTCCTTGTTTGAGGCTCGAGAGCTTACCTACACGTTAGGATCTTTCAAGGTCAGTCAGTCACTCATTCTTTCTTTCATTGTCATTCATTGTCAGTGTCAGTCATTCATTCATCAGTCATCAGTCGTTCTTTAATTGATTTTAATTAGATTGTCACAGGTATTTGTTGTGATTTATTTGGCTCAGCTTATGAATGATTTAGGGACTCCCCCAATGACCATATGTGTTAGCAAATCCAGGTGGACTTCTTCGGCAAAAAAACTTAGTGCACTTAGTATTTAGGATATTTTGCTCACGGGAAAATTCATAATGCCGTTTAGATGAAGATACCAAATTGGTTAAATCGAATCTGTTCAGATACCGCCTTTCCTGCAATGTAGAGTCTACCTTTTACTAAGTCAATCTCTTCTCGAGTGAAAGGAGGCAGGACTGATCTCTGGAAACCTTTCCGTCTGCTGACCTCTTCCATGTGTTTTTCGAGCGATGGCGGCCAACCTCCCTCCTTTGAATAAACCGGATGAGAGTATCGACCAACCTGGTCATAAGGAGAATACCATGTTCAACAGAGATGAAAATGATTATTTGGACCATCGATCAATTACCAATGGTAGTAATGGTAATCGGTAAAAAATACCAATGGTAATTGATCGATGATTTGGACTCTGAGGAAATATGGTAGGCATAACCTAAAACAGTGAGATGTTTTGTGGACACTATCTGCTCCAACTCCATGGACACCATCTGCTCACAAAAGGGACATATGTCCTCGCGTCGTTCCCTCACTGCTGAGGGTCGTGACCATCATACTTCGACAGGAGTTTACTCCTTGTAATGTCCCTTCAGCGCCTCCGATCATCGACCACATGAAGGGCTGAAGGGATATATGTATGTATATACTATTTCTTAGACCTATCAAAAGTCTTTGCTAGTTTTGGTTAAGTTAGAGGATCTATAAAAATATATATACGTAAGCATTATAAGTATATGTACAGAAAATAAACTGGTGGTAGGACCTCTTGTAAGTCCGCACGGGTAGGCACGGCACCACCACGCTGCCTATTATGCCGTGAATCAGTAATGCGTTTCGGTTTGAAGGGTGGGGCAGCCTTTGTAACTATACTTGAGACCTTAGAACTTATATCTCAAGGTGAGTGGCGAATTTACGTTGTAGATGTCTATGGGCTCCAGTAAGCACTTAGCACTTAAATAAATAAATAAACACCAGGTAGGTTGTGAGCTCGTCCACCCATCTAACCGATAAAAAAATATATTATTACAATATCGTTGATTATATTGTTGAAGTTACCAAATTTTGCCGGACTAATTCAGTGAGTTCGAAGTCTTCTTCACCCAGAGGTTCATACCAGATCAAATGATTGGCTAAGGTTATTTCGCCTGAAAATAAAATTGATACTCGCTCTCAACTTTCAAGGTCGGAATAATTGCTACGCGGTCGAAATAGGCTGGATTGGTTCTGTTCCATCCATAGTAAAATTCAGAAGGTCAGTTTAACATTAACGTGTCGTTGCTTAATTTCTTTTACATGTTATCTGATGTCACTTTTCAATTATACTATAATTGACTAAGCTATGTTTAATACAAAATGTTTTTAAGAGTTCAATTAGGCTCATTAGCGGGCACATTTGACGCTCTTTTGTTTTTATATGACTGCAAAAAAAAGAAGTCCAATGTTTGCAAGGTCCATGTCACTTAGTTTTCTTTTTTTATTATTGCCCCTTGTAGGCAGACGAGCATACGGCCCCCACCCTATAGTGATTGGTTACCGTCACCCATGGATTTCAGTAATTCCAGGGGCAGAGCCAAGCTGCTGCCTATCTCTTCTTAAAGCGATCGTGGTTTTAATACGATTTTATTAGCTTCAGACGTATGTATGTTTGTAAAGGAATCTTTGAACATGATTTTGACCCCCTTCAAAACGTCGGATTAACACGAAATTTGGTATACTTATTAAGGACCGATGACAATACAATATAAAAAAAAAATTGAAAGAATTGAAATTCAACTTTAAAATGATAAATAAATAATAGTTTAAAAAAATTAACAAAATATAAAATAACCCTTCTACTCATATCTGTTCATAAAATATTTATAACTACTGATATCATGCACCTCACACTTTTTATACAATAAAATATATATTTTTTTGGATTGTCTATAAAAGCGTTTTTTTTTAGCCATTAGGTAATCGCCGGACTTCCGCCCTCCACTGGGGATGGAGGGCAGGGCATGTCAGAATCGAACTGACTAAAACCTCCTGTCGCTTTAGTGCGGAGTACATCTCTCCCATCACCCTCCCCCTCGGGACGCCGGACCGGCGGTCGTCGGCGCCACGACCACCAGCCCTCTTGGTCGGCATGTGATTTATCGCTTGTGCTACTTTATGAGCATTTAAATTAGTACAGCAAAACCCGGAGCACCTGTCTTCATTGTCGGGACTATGCTCCACTTGCCCTGTTCACCTACCGTTGTACTTTGGTCTGTATTCCTCGTCGTAAATCCTCCAAGCCTTAGCATGGGCAAGCAAAACGTTCTTTGCACATACATAGGGGGATATATGGGGCTCCAAAATCGCTGGGGCAAAGAAACCAGTGTTGTAAGATTCATCGCAGATCATAGTGGGCTCATTGATGGTGATCCAGGTCTTCACTCTGTCTGCGTATAGAGAGAATACGACCCTTGCGTAATCAGAGAACCAGTCAACTATGAGAGGATTTACCCAGCCACCTGGAAGTTCACAAAAGAGTCAATGTTTTGGCACAAATGTGTTGGTTTTTTTTTTCTCCTACCTATGCTGATAGCCTTGAGAGGTTATTTCAGCTTCGCCCTAACGTGTATAGGTGAGCTCACGGGGCTAAAATCGGAGTGTTGCTAACACTGACCCTAGCAAGAGGAGTGCTTCGCAGAATCTACCATCGGATCGGAAACGCGACCCACTGAGAAGATCCGGCCAGAAACTCAGTGGGCTGTGTCTATGGGTTAATTCGTTCGTCGAGCCCTTCGTCGCAAGCGACGGGTTCGACGAGGACGGTGATCGGTGCTTGTGGTGCCTTTTTTGTTTTTGTTTTATTGCTTAGATGAGTGGACGAGCTCACAGCCCACCTGATGTTAAGTGGTTACTAGAACCCATAGACATCTAAAACGTAAATGCGCCACCCACCTTGAGATATAAGTTACTAGCTGACCCGGCAAACGTTGTTTTGCCATATATAGGATTTTTAGGGAATTTCTAGTGTAGAAAATAAAATACTAATTTATTGTAAGTGTGTAAGGATGTGGTAAATGAGTGAAAGAGGCATGTAGCGCTGTGAACGATGAGGGAATATAAAAATAACAAAACCTCATTCAACCACATAATGCATCATTATAACAAAAAAAAAATGTCCAAAAAATTTATAAATATTTTAGGGGTGGATAACCCTTATCACTTAGGGTAGCGGTCGGGGAACTTTTTTAATTATTACCCCAAAATATTTTTGTGTAAGTTGATATTACCCCACGGCGAAAAACAAAAAAAAAAACGAAATCGCTTCTTTTTATAATAGTATCTTTCATAATTATTATAGCCCCCATGATAATTTTGAAAAGAAAACAATAACTAAAAATTTAACGATTCTAAAGAAGTTTCACTTCAATACATATATACTTTTTACTCACAAAAGTTTAATTTTTACCCCCCCCCCCAAATTTCATTTTACCCCAAATGGGGTAATTTACCCCGGTTCCCCGACCGCTGACTTAGAGGTATGAAAAATAAATAGTAGCCGATTCTCAGACCTACTGAACATGCATATAAAATTTCATAAAAATCTGTCAAACCGTTTCAGAGGAGTATGGTAACTAACATTGTGACACGAGAATTTATTATATAAGACTAGCGGCCCGCTCCGGCTCCGCTCGGGTCTTTAACAAAAATTTCAACGATGATGTTTTATTTTTTAAAATAAAAGAACACTTATTGCGGCACAACTATAATAGTTAGACATATGCTGTCGCTACACTTTTTGTAAATGATAATGTGTTCTACAAAGTCGTAGTACATTATTTTATTCCATCATCAATAGATTTCGCAGGGCACGCGATGTGAAGAATATTTTAAGTAACTTTTTTACACCTTGGGTTACATTATTGGAGTTTTAGTAAGGATTCCTAAGTTTTTTCAAAAAAGATTATAGCATATGTCACTTGGGAATAGTGTAGCTTCCAAACAGTGAAAGAATTTTTCAAATCGGCTCAGTAGTTTCGGAGCCTATTCAACACAAACAAACAAACAAATCTTTCCTCTTTATAATATAAGTATAGAAGTATAGATTATATTTATATGTACCCAGGTCTTGCAACTGTTGCGGCAGATCCCAGTGGTAAATTGAAATTACTGGACTGATCCCTTTCTCCAACAGCCCATCAATCAGTCTATTGTAGTAATTCTTTCCGTCTTCACTGATCTTATCGCTGAAGCCGGTTGGTAGAATTCTCGTCCACGCTATAGAGAATCGATAGAAGTGTAGACCGATTTCTGATGCAATTTCTATGTCTCTCTGCCAGAGGTGGTAAGAGTCGCAGGCCACGTCTCCGTTACTACGATCCCCTATCATCTCAGGATTTTCATGGACAAGATGATCCCATATGCTTTCTCCTTTATCTGTAATGTAAAATAAAACAATTGTGGCGGGTAGCCATCATAGAACACGAGATATTTGACAGATGCCTGAATCTCGCTTACGACATTATCAAGATAAGCTTGCGTATATACAAGTTCCGAACAACCACATTCGGACCGTCGGTCTACCGAGCAATCTCAGCCGTTCGGTGGAAGATCTTCGCTTTGTCGTACCGCCCAAACAATAAAAGGGGAAGAGAGTTCATGTACCATTGTCAGACCTATTGTTCCCATAAAGAACACGTGCCTTACTCTTTATAGATGCAAACAGCTCTAAAGCAATATAAATTTAACCAAACCTATCAAAGTTTTATTTTATTGAAGTTATACTTCTTTAGGCGCGTTATGAAAAATTGATGAGAGTGAAATTTTCCGACGCGCGCGCACCGTGACACAAAATTAACAGAATGAAGTTGCCCACTAAATCGCTCATTACAATACGACCGACGTAACTTGGCGAGTCTGAATATAGCCGCAGGTGAACTTTCCGAACCGTACCGAGAATTACCGAATTTATACGATGTCAAGAAAAGGGATCTCCAATATGCGTGTTTGAGGATGTTGTTTAATCGTTTTTTTTTTTTCATTTTGATTAAAATTTAAATAAAAAAAAAAGAAATAAATTTAATAAAAATAAAGTATAACTTCTTACGCGCGTACATAAGTACACGCACCCTTTTTTTTTTATTCCTTAGGTGGGTGGACGAGCTCACAGCCCACCTGGTGTTAAGTGGTTAACTGGAGCCCATATACATCTACGACGTAAGTGCGACACCCACCTTGAGATATAAGTTCTAAGGTCTCAAGTATAGGTACAACGGCTGCCCCGCCCTTCAAACCGAAACGCATTACTGCTTCACGACAGAAATAGGCGGGGTGGTGGTACCTACCCGCGTGGACTCACAAGAGGTCCTACCACCACTCATTATCACTATCAAACTATTCGTTTGATAAATCATTAATATCAAAGCTAACGATTGCGAATGAGTTTTATCTAGAAATGAGATGTTTGATCTCATTTGCATTTGAAAGAACAAAACAATAAAGAGCAAATCGGTACAGTTGGCTTCTTTTTACGACTGTCGTTTATTGGAAAGTTTCCATTGGTAGTGACATATGTGACAGTGACATTCAGACATTAGGTTGTTATCGTGACATGACTGACTTGACTACTGATTATCGAGACTTGGCGAAATCTAAAAGGAAACGCCATAAACCTAAGAGATAGATAGATAGATTATCGAGACTTATTTCTTAAGATACACGTGTTTCCATCTATCTTATCTCTAAAAGTGCATGTCGACGCTTGAAAGGCAAACGTGACTAAGCGACAATGCGTGAACTTTACAGTAGACTAATTTAAAGTTGTAATATCTGAAAAAAATTCTATTTTAACGAATCTAGCTGTAGGATTGAAATGATTTTAATAGACCTAGAAATAATTTTTTTTTGCGCATCGAATATGGTTATTGCCCATCATTTATGTATAAAGCAGTTATTGTCGCTTAGTCACGTTTGCCTTTCAAGCGTCGATATCTTATCTCTAAAAATGCATATCTTATCTCTAAAAGTGCAGTAGAACGTTGCTACCCACCGCTTGCATTCCAACCGCCTTCAATCTGGTATGCCGCTGATGCAGCACCGAACTTGAACCCAGGAGGGAAGGTTAGATCCGACCCCCAGGCGCAAGCCATCAGCGCGCTGCGAACCAGTATTTCATATTTTGATGAGGAAACAAATAATGCATAATCGGACGAATAGTCTTTACCCACTTTATTTTTTATTGATTTTTATAGCTTGGGTGGGTGGACGAGCTCACAGCCCACCTGGTGTTAAGTAGTTACTGGAGCCCATAGACATCTATAGCGTAAATGCGCCACCCACCTTGTGATATAAGTTCTAAGGTCTCAGTTTATTCAACGACTGCCCCATCCTTCAAATCGACGCGCATTAATGCTTCACGGCTGAAATAGGCAGGGTGGTGGTACCTACCCGCGCGGACTCACAAGACGTCCTACCACCAGTAATTACACAAATTATTATATAATTTTTGATATTTAAGATACGACGTTATTCCTTCACCGTGGAAGTCAATCGTGAACATTTGTTAAGTTCGTATTTTATTAAAAAAATTGGTACCCGCCTGTGAGATTCGAACACCGGCACGGTCGCATCGCTCGATACGGAATGCACCGGGCGTCTTATCCTTCAGTCCACGAGGACTTCAGAAGTTTTATGCGTCGTAATAATTAAATTGTGTTTTGGGTTGTATTGTTTACTGGTGGTAGGACCTCTTGTGAGTCCGCGCGGGTAGGTACCACCACCCTGCCTATTTTTGCCGTGAAGCAGTAATGGGTTTCGGTTTGAAGGGTGAAGCAGCCGTTGTAACTATACTGAGATCTTAGAACTTATACCTCAAGGTGGGTGGCGCATTTACGTTGTAGATGTCCATGGGCTCTAGTAACCACGTAACACCAGGTGGGCTGTGAGCTCATCCACCTATCTAAGCAATAAAAAAAATTAAAAAAAACGGTCTGCCCGTAAAAATATGGTAATGTTATCATTTCGAGAACATGTTAACAGCAAGGTTTTAAGTTTTAATTGTCATCACAACGTTTGCTCTTGAAGAACGGGTTATGTTACCGTGACACCATTTTATTAAATATTCGCTTCGTAAAATGGTAGATAATTTTTTTTCTTGTTCACCTATTTGCCTCGAAGGGTTATTTTGGATCTGCCTTGGTCGGTCAGTAAGCTCACGGGGCTCAAAGAGAACTAACACTGGCCCTAGCAAGAGCAGTGCTGCGCTGAATCTACCATCGGATCGGAATCGTGACCACCTGAGTGGAACCGGCGCGTAAGGATTCGTTCACACCCGGCTCGGAGAGGAGAGCAGATTTTTATCACGTTGGAAACCGAGTTTTGAGTAATTGTAGTAAAGTTTATTTTTGCATGTGCAAATGTGTGATCTGTGTGTGTGTGTTTTTTTTATTTTTTATTGCTTAGATGGGTGGACGAGCTCACAGCCCACGTGGTATTGGTGGTTACTGGAGCCCATAGACATCTACTACGTAAATGAGCCACCCACCTTGAGATGTAAGTTCTAAGGTCTCAGTTTAATAATGTTTGTGGGTTTAATAGTGTTTGGTTTATTTATTCTTAGATGGGTGGACGAGGTCGTGCCTCACCTGGTGTTAAGTGGTTACCGGAGCCCATAGACATCTACAACGTAAATGCCGCCGCCCACCTTGAGTCATGAGTTCGGAGTGGCCTCAGTTTTAACAGTAGCAGTTTTCATTCTTAAACGTAAAAATTGTATTATTTCATTATTACTTTATTTTTATTTCTTTGAGTATTTTTTCGGGTATCAATTTATTTATCCATTTTACGTCTACAATTACCGGGTTAATCTAATGCGACAATGAACTTTGGGTTAATCTAATGCGCATCAGAATGGGTTGGTTAATACCTGTTGATTTTTCGGGCAGATGACGATAATGTCTGTGCTATTTCCGCTGGTGTTGTGAGTGCACTGGTACCATCTGCCTATTTCTGCCGTGAAGCAGTAATGCGTTTCGGTTTGAAGGGTGGGGCAGCCGTTATAACTATACTGAGACCTTAGAACTCATATCTCAAGGTGAATGGCGGCATTTACGTTATATATGTCTATGGGCTCCGGTAACCACTTAACACCAGGTGGGCTGTAAGCTCGTCCACTCATCTAGGCAATGAAAAATATAAAAAATGTACGTCAATCTCTGGTACCAATAACAAAGGAAATTATAATTTGGCGTATGAACACGTGTGATTTGTTCCCAGTTATTTATTTATTTAAACACTAGCGACCCGCCCTCGCTTCGCTTAGGAAATTGTAATTTATTATTGATTTCTCTACTATTTAATGGATGTTATTATCAATAGAAACCTTCCTCTTGAATCACTCTATCTATTAAAGAAAACCGCATCAAAATCCGTTGCGTAGTTTTAAAGATTTAAGCATACATAGGGATATAGGGACAGAGAAAGCGACTTTGATACTATGTAGCGATATGCCATATAGCGATGACAGTGTGAAATATTTCAAGGCTGTTTTTATTCTGTGCTACTCCAGAATGAATGAAAGAGAGCAAAAAGGTTTTGTATGCAGACCATTTTACACTCAAAACCGTCCTGAAATTAACCCATAAGCAGCCCACAGAGTTTCTCACTGGACCTTCTTAGTGGGTAGCTATTCCGATCCGGTGGTAGATTCTGCGAAGCACTGCTCTTACTAGGGGTAGGGTTGACAATTCTCTCAAAATCGTCGTGGCCTAAAGAATAAGACGTCCGGTTCATTCGTATCTAGCGATGCAACGGTGTTCGAATCCCGCAGGCGGGTACTAATTTTTCTAATGAAATACGTACCTACTTAACAAATGTGCATGATTGACTTCCACGGTGAAGGAATAACATCTCTATATATAAAAAATTATTGCTGTTCGTTAGTCTCGCTAAAACTCGAGAATGGCTGAACCGATTTGGCTAATTTTGGTCTTGAATTATTTGTGGAAGTCCAGAGAAGGTTTAAAAGGTAGATAAATATGAAAATGCTCGGAATTAAATAAAAATAATTTTGTTTTTTCTTTGATGTGTCCTTCGTCGCGTCAGACCGATTATTTTGTTTGTTTTAAGTTTATTTTATACAAAAATTTAGGTCTTTTATTTATCGATTGAGGCACTACGAAGTCTGCCGGATCAACTAGTAATAAAAATCAAATCCGCAAAATTATTATTTGCGTAATTACTGGTGGTAGGACCTCTTGTGAGTCCACACGGGTAGGTACCACCGCCTTGCCTATTTTTGCCGTGAAGTAGTAATGCGTTTCGGTTTGAAGAGTGACGCAGCCGTTGTAACTGTACTGAGACCTTAGAACTTATATTTCAAGGTGGGTGGCGCATTTACGTTTTAGTTGTCTATGGGCTTCAGTAACCACTTAACACCAGGTGGGCTGCGAGCTCGTCCACCCATCTAAGCAATAAAATAAAAAGTTTGAGCCCGTGAGCTCATCTACACCCGTCCGGGCGTAGCTGGAATAGCCCTATAGGCTTACTACTAGACTACTATAGCGTGGGGTTATTTTGATAATATCCTGAAAAGCACCTCACGCTTTTTTTACAATAAAATAAATTTTTCTTACACTATTTTTAATTCAAATATATTAAAATTTATTTTCTATTTTTTAGTTGGATTTTCTATAAAAGCGTATTTGGTTAGTTTTATTTAAACTATTATTTATTTTTAATTTATTAGTTGAATTTCCATTTTATCAAAATTAATTTTTTTTTTTTAAATATTGAATTGTCATCGTTCCTCAACAAGTATTCCAAATTTCGAGTTAATCCGACGTTTTGAAGGGGGTCAAAATCATGTTCAAAGATTCCGTTACAAACATACATACGTCTGAAGCTAATAAAAGAGTATTAAATATAAACCTTACCTGAACGCGACTTGCCACGAGAGATTCATTGTTAGTACTGAAGAGACTGAAAACACTGAACGCGCTTTTTGAGATATCAAAAATGATAATTCTGCATTGACGTCTCAGCAACTAATGTTATTGGAGAATATCTGTGTTTGATCGATTGATATTTTTGCTTGCTTAAACTATTTTTACGGATTCGCCTTCGGGTTTTTGTTTTGTACAATAAATTAAATCAGTTTTAATTCAAAGCACATTAAACCGTAAAAATCTATCACTGGTGGTAGGACCTCTTGGGAGTCCGCACGGGTAGGTACCACCACTCCGCCTATTTCCGCCGTGAAGCAGTAATGCGTTTCGGTTCGAAGGGTGGGAGTAGCCGTTGTAACTATACTGAGACCTTAGAACTTATATCTCGAGGTGCGTGGCGCATTTGCGTTGTAGATGTCTATGGGCTCCAGTAACCACTTAACACCAGGTGGGCTGTGAGCTCGTCCAACCATCTAAGTAATATAAATAACATCGCCTATTGTACAAATCTATCTGCTTTTTGACTGTTTTTTAATGTAAATTGTGTTTTGGTGTGCACTAAAGTGTATTCTCTCTCTCTCTCTCTCTCTCTTTCTATCTCTCCTTATTTAATTAGAAAAATGGGTACTTTGTTGGTATATTGGTATAGGAACGTCTTATCCTTTAGGCTATTATTATGTAAAGTATTTTATTTTTTGCTAAACAAACAAAGGCCTGTATCTGGGTCCTACAGCAACCATTGTCTAGACAATTAGGTCTTGTTACAGTTACGATAAAATAGATAAGTTAAAGTTAAAAACAGCTAATAACAAAGACGAGATTATATTATTATTATAAAGGTAAATACCATTTATTCAATATTAATCATTCGTACATGCTGAATAAAGAATTGACGTATATATTGAATGAAATAAACAAGAAAATGTATTCATTTATTAAATAAACAACAATGATATCAATGTATTTTTTTAAATTAAAAATTCCAGCCCTTTATACGTGTATACCGTGATTAACGCTAATTTATTAAAGTAAAATGAAAGAAGCATACACTTGTTTATATGTTAAAGGCGGTCGATGGAAAAGCCACCTAAGGTTTTTTTATTCCTACCTATGCTGATTAATATAATATATATAATATAATATATAATATAATATATAATATAATATATAATATATATCGACAGAGCCCAATCCTTCCAATGGTTCAAAAGGCAACCGGTGTCTCCAGCATTGGAATCAGCCATATTTGCAATTCAAGATCAGGCAGTGGTGACCAGACAACATGAAAGAGACATAATGAAACGCCAAGTTGATGGTAGGTGTCGGTTATGCTGCATTAAAGATGAGACCACACAGCACATTGTCTCAGGATGNCCCAAACTTTTTTTCTCATAGACCACTTTCAAAATTTAGCTCGTCTCTGTGTACCCCCTGTAGCTACATTACGAGTACGACCATATACCCAAAAACTCTAGAAGTTGCGACCGGGTTCCAATCACGATTTAGTAAACAATATAATTTTTGAAAAAAAAAAAAAAAAATGTGACAACTAGAGGTCCCGCAGTAGTCGAAATTCGACTATAATTAATTGGAATTGTAAGTTTGTACACCATTATGATTGTATTTTATACTTCTATAATTACAAATTTCGCCAAGAATATAAAAAAATATTAACAAAGATAGACAATATTTAATCTATTCTCAATTTGACAACAGACGTCAATAACAAAAGTTTGACAATAAACAGTATGCATGCGTGTGTGCGTCAAATACATGGTATGTAGTGTGTGTAAATTTTGTTAGTAAGAATTATAAAGTCGGCCAAAAAAAAGCAAGCCTACGTACGACACATGGACACAATCAATATTCTCACTTATTTAATTTAGAATACTCACTAATCGGAAATAGGACATTTTTTAGTGTTGTATTTTTTCAAATATGTATCATTTCATCAATAATTTTTGCTATCGCATTATATTGTAATATGACTACAGTCGTAATATAATGAATATTTAAAATTGATAACGTAACGTAACTTCTACAATGAATTTTTTATTTTTATTTTTTATTGCCTAGATGTGTGGACGAGCTCACAGCCCACCTGGAGTTAAGTGGTTACTGGAACCCATAGACATCTACAACGTAAATGCGCCACACACCTTGAGATATAAGTTCTAAGGTCTCAGTATAGTTACAACGGCTGCCACACCCTTCAAACCGAAACGCATTACTGCTTCACGGCAGAAATAGGCAGGATGGTGGTACCTACCCGTGCGGAGTCACAAGAGGTCCTACCACCAGTAAACTCACAAGAGGTCCTACCACCAGTAATTCTGGCCCAAAGCCACTTACCATGGAGCACTATGAGATAAACAATAGTGTTCATAGCCTTAGTTCTCAAAGTGGTCCTGGTGGACCCCCACGGGAGGCCCAAAGGAGGTCTTCGCTGACGTAACAACGGGGGCCAATAATTCGTAAGTGGGGCCTCGAAAATTATGACTATTTTGTGATTGTCATTGTAGAAGTTGAACTGATAAATTTAAATAAATTCTGGTAAATAAAGTGTATTCTCTCTCTCTCTCTTTATTTAATTACAAAAATGGGTACTTGGAGTTGGTATAGGATTGTTGGTATATTGGTATGGGAACGTCCTTTAGGCTATTATTATGTAAAGTATTTTATTTTTTTCTAAACAATCAAAGGCCTGTATCTGGGCCCTACATCGACCATTGTCTAGACAATTAGGTCTTGTTACAGTTACGATAAAATAGATAAGTTAAAGTTAAAAACAGCTAATAACAAAGACGAGATTATATTATTATTATAAAGGTAAATACTATTTATTCAATATTAATCATTCGTACATGCTGAATAAAGAATTGACGTATATATTGAATGGAATAAACAAGAAAATGTATTCATTTATTGATTAAACAACAATGATATCAATGTATTTTTTTATATTAAAAATTCCAGCCCTTTATACGTGTATACCGTGATTAACGCTAATTTATTAAAGTAAAATGAAAGAAGCATACACTTGTTTATATGTCAAGGGCGGTCGATGGAAAAGCCACCTAAGGTTTTTTTATTCCTACCTATGCTGATTAATATAATGTATATAATATAATATATAATATATAAATATAAATATTTACTAACAATCACGCCATGTTGTGTTACAGGCACCAGATAACGGAAATAAATGTAAGATTGTTATTATACACATACACATATTTAATATACATCCATAACCCTGGAAAAGACATTTATATTTATCACACAAATCTCTTTCCTTGGCAGGATTCGAACCCGCGACCCCCTTGTGTAGTGACCATGTCACTTACCACTACACCAGACGGCCGTTAAATTTGATTGATAGCCTTGAGGGGCTATTTCAGCTTCGCCCTAACGTGTAAGGGAGCTCGCGGGGCTCAAACCAGAGTGTTGCTAATACTGGCCCTAGCAAGAGCAGTGCTTCGCAGAATTTACCACTGGATCGGAAACGCGACCCACTGAGAAGATTCGGCGAGAAACTCAGTGGGCTGTGTCTGTGGGTTAATTCGCTCGTCGAGCCCTTCGTCGCAAGTGACGGGTTCGACGAGGACGGTGACCGGTGCTTGTGGTACCTAAAAACACCGTTAATGGATCAGGAGGATCCGTAATGACGTGTTTTGGGTGACGTCGACTGTTTACCATTTGGTTTACAGGATCCTTCAAGCTAGTAAGGAGATAATGCCTTTGTAATGCAATATAGCAATTGATCACAGGGTTCAAAATTGAATAGAATTAGTTTTTAAGTAAACTTACATATTATATTGTTTTTAATACATTTTTATTAGTTTGCTATATATATTAAAAGTATTGTATCTTTATTTGTCCAGAACTTCGGGTATTTAAACGGTTGTTTGGAAGAGATTGCCTTTAGCGATAGACCGCCTATTGTACAAACATATCTGCTTTTTGACTGTTTTCTGATGTTCATTGTGTTTTGGTGTGCAATAAAGTGTATTCTCTTCTTCTCTTTCTCCCTCCCTCTCTCTCTCTCTCTCTCTCTCTCTCTCTCTTTCTCTCTCTCTATTTGTACGATTGGTGTATGTTTTTTTATGTAATTCAGATGTTTTTTAATCGACATTATAGACGTTAGATTTCATGAAAATTTTCACTTTACTGGTGGTAGGACCTCTTGTGAGTCCGCACCCTGTCTATTTCTGCCGTGAAGCAGTAATGCGTTTTGGTTTGAAGGGTGGCGCAGCCGTTGTAGCTATACTGAGACCGTAGAACTCATATCTCAACGTGGTTGGTGGGTGGCGGTAAAACACGTATCATGGACCGTTGACAATACAATATTATTATAACTTTATTCTAATATTCGAACCGTAGCGTCAGGACAAAAAGTTGAAATTAATAACTAATAACTAACTATTGTATGTACCTACTATTTGCTAATTAAGCGTGTTTTTTGTTTTTAAATAATTCAAGTTGGACAAATGTCTCGCGACTAGTGCCCCCGATGACATCGGGCGACATTGCGCGACGTTGCCAGACCATACTACGAAATGAGTCTTTTTTTCCCTACCTAGTCTAGTAACCTCGAGGGGTTATTCTAGATTCGCCGAACTAGTAGGTGAGCTCACGGGGCTCAAACCTGATGACGTTGCTAACATGAACATAACTGATGGTAGGACCTCTTGTGAGTCCGCACGGGTAGGTACCACCACCCCGCCTATTTCTGCCGTGAAGCAGTAATGCGTTTCGGTTTGAAGGGTGGAGCAGCCGTTGTAACTATACTTGAGACCTTAGAACTTATATCTCAAGGTGGGTGGCGCATTTACATTGTAAATGTCTATGGGCTCCAGTAACCACTCAACACCAGGTGGGCTGTGAGCTCGTCCACCCATCTAAGCAATAAAAAAAAAATGAACCTCAACAAGTGCTTCGCAGAATCTACCAACGGATTGGAAACGCGTTCCACTGAGAAGATCCGGCGAGAAAGTGGGTTAATTTACCAATATGTAAATGTTTTTTATTATGTTACTATTTATTACTTTAATAAAATGCTAAATTAACTAGTATTAGACAGAGTAGTGTAGTGTGCAGTAGTGAAGATGCATGGTGACGAGAACCGCTGGACGGGTTGTTGATCTGAAAAAAAAATCAAACTATATAGTCTTATTGTTTGTCCAATATTGGGGCCGAAAAAGGATTAAAAGGAATCCGGTAAAATTACAGTGAAATCGGTTTTGAAGTATTGTCACATTGTTCCGACGGTTTCTCCCGAAAATTTCTATTAAAATTCATAGCATCTGAGGGCTATTTTTAATATTGTTACGCCGGTAAGAGTAACGCCATCTATCGCCGAATAGTCGAACGAATATCGAAGGATCTAGTCGTGTCTAGAACGCTCGAGAAGTACAACGCCATCTATTGTCAGATAGCGGAAACACATAATACTAGACTTTTGTGGAATATTCTCGACGATTCTAGGGATTTCGTCTCGTCTATAAAAGCTTTGGAGAGATGGCACGCAGTCAGTCAGTAATCGGAACTACTCGAAGCGAACCAGCGAACGGATCACCTGAAGCGAAGCGGAAGAAGCGAATTGAGAATTTTAAAGTGTTTTAAGTATTCTAAGTGTTGAATACAGTGTTAACTTGTACTTTGGTGGAACAGCGCGTAACAATGTGTATTTCTATATTTTTCAACATTGCTATAACCGATTTAAAAAAAGAGAGGAGTTTACCATTTCCACTGTAATTTTTATTCCTCTTACTTTACAACTTTTGTCTAGGTGCACCGATTTTAATGATTTTTTTATTTGAAAGCTGTAGGATCTTCCAATGATCCCATTAATCAAGATCCGCCCAGTAGTTTTTAAGTTACCCATAATAATTCATATTTATATAACTAAGCCGTTAGACTCTTGAAGTTTTCGTGGCCTAAAGGATAAGACGTCCGGTGCATTCGTGTTGAGCCATGCACCGGTGTTCGAATGTCAGGCGGGTACCAATTTTTCTAATGAAATACGTACTCAACAAATGTTCACGATTGACTTCCACGGTGAAGGAATAACATCGTGTAATAAAAATCAAACCCGCAAAAATTTTTAATTTGCGTTATTACTGGTGGTAGGATCTCTTGAGAGTCCGCGCGGGTCGGTACCACCACCCTGCGTATTTCTGCCGTGAAGCAGTAATGCGTTTCGGTTTGAAGGGTGAGACAGCCGTTGTAACTAGACTTGAGACATTAGAACTTATATCTCTCCACTGTAGATTAGGTTTTTTTGGAATAAATGAAAAAATCTTACTCTTATAATGTGAGGAACCTTCAGAGAGTGTGCTTTTATTACGCTTTTATAGTATTCCGCTGAAGCTTTCGGTGTACGGGTTCGTTGTGGAGACGTAAAGTCCACGTGGTAGAGACCGAACTTAGACCTGAAAACGTTAAGGTTTTTAACTTCCGCTATATTAATGGTACTGAGGAAATTTGAAAGAAACAGATATTTCAAGAAATCAGGATCGGAGGTCCAACACTGAGTTTCCATCATTTCCACTTTCTATAGATCAATAGTTCGAGCTTTTTTAAACCGTACTAATATTACGGAGGCGATAAGACTGTTTGTTTAAGCTTTCAGATCTTAAACACTCAACCGATTACCAAATTTTACATGCACATTAGGTATTAATTAGGTGTATGTAAAACGCCATAGGGTACCTTATTCATCTCCAACTAAAGTCATAACCCTGCGCTGATCACATCCAACCACTACCTGCATTGTATGCTATGTTTGCAAAAAATAATATACTGTAAGTGGCACATACGTTGATAAGCACAATTTTGTACATTTTGACGCGAATGACTCTATGTGGCGCATTGCGAATTAGAAGTCAACCTATAATTTAGCAGCATTTTAAAATACTGCTTGCATGATTGGCATTATTTACATTAACGGGAATGATGGCTGGTGGTGCATTATAAATAGGCCACATAAATTTGCTAATGTTGGTAACGTATCTGCTACATTTCTTTTAATATAATCTTAAAATTAGATCTAGCGTCTCTATAACCACGCACGTATCCATATTGCAGACAGAGATTTGACAGACCGACGATATTAGGGAACTTCTTAGAGCTAAGAACGCCTCGATACGCGCCTACGACAGGTATCCTACCGCGGAAAATCGTATTCGAATGCGTGCCCTACAACGCGACGTAAAGTCTCGCATCGCCGAAGTCCGAGATGCCAGATGGTCTGATTTCTTAGAAGGACTCGCGCCCTCCCAAAGGTCTTACTACCGCTTAGCTCGTACTCTNAAAAAAAAAAAAAAAAAAAAAAAAAAAAGATTTGACAGAGCACTGATCTATTTAGGTTCGGCATTTTTTTCCCCTACCTGATCGCTGAAGGGGATATTATACTACGCGCGTAGGTAGGTTTGGTAGGTGAGCTGAATATGGAAGGATTTGCTAACATTAGCCTTAACAAGAGTAGAGCTTCCCTGAATTTATTACTGGATCGGAATAGAGACCCGGCGTTAAATTCAGTGGGCTGTGTCAGTGGGCTAGGTTGCACATCGAACTCTTCATCCCATTCGACATGTCCAATTAGAATGGTGACCGGTACTTGGAGAGCTTAAAAGCACCGAGGGTGGTACGTGCAGATCCGATAGGATGTGTTTAGTATAATGGCGGTTTTATGTTGCCCCGTCGTTTAGGTCGGTAATTTGAGCGGCGGTACGATAAGACGGCTGCTATAGTGCCACGCTGCTTTTTTGAAGAAATTTTAAGCACCGCTTGTAGTCACTGACATTCAAATCGAGACTGCTCCCTTGTTTCAAAGTGTATTATCGGGATGTCGTTCATAATACCAACGACAATAAATTCTCACTTGTATCCATCCATCCATTCGTAGTTGTCCATCAGCGTCCAAGCCGTGTATGCGGTTACGTTGATTTTGTCTTTTTTGATAGCCAAGAGAATCTGGAACACCAAAAAAGACGTGTTAATGATGTAATCGTAGAAGTTGAGCTTCTCCCGCCACGCCTGGTCGCTTCCGAACCTCGTAGCGACAAGTCTGTTCCGATTTGTGGAAGTCTCCTTCTGCTTCCAATCAATCAGGTAAAGTCCCTTTGGAATTGTATATTAATGTGTTTAGTGTAAATGACTCATACCTCATGCATATTATCTCTGTAATAGTTTATTCGGTCAACATCCTCCACGCCACCAAGATTCGGAAATCCGTTTTCCGTTACTAAAACTGTAAGATCGCCGTAATTTTTCTTCAACCACTGCAGCAGTTTTCTTATCCCTGGTGGGTTGACCTATCAACCGGAAAGTATTTACAAAAAACGGAATTATGAAAAAATAAGAAGAATAGAAGCCTGGCTCTGTAGAATAAGAAGAAGAATAAGAAGAATTTGGCTCTGGACAGTGGTCAAGCATGCACGTTATAAAAATTGACAAAGTACCTACAAATACACTAGCCGAAGAAAGCTGGTTAATTATAGGTACAGTGGGGAAGCCTATTGAAATAATATAAAAACATCCTAACTTGAATAGAGAAGATAGTTGGCGCTTATTTAAAAGCTCAGGATCCTCTTATTGTGAAAATGAAAACCATATCAAATGTACTGGCTGACCTCAAGATGCTATTAGCTTTTAAAAAAGAAAATAGACGATACATACAAAATATATAAATGAATAACACTTTAGTCCCACGTGACCATGAAAGCTGTAAACTATTCAAAACGTGAGAAATCACAAAACGAAAGATAGTAAAGGCGAGATTAAGCCGTAAAGTTGATTTAAGTATATTAAGCAATCTTATCTTATCAAGTTTTTATTCTAGATTCCGCTATTATTTTAATTGGGATTCAAATAAATAAATCGATCAATGTATTTAATTATTCAAATAAATAAATTTACAGGTACGGTGTATCATTAGAATTATCAAATCGAAATGACACTGGCTATAATTTGGTAGGGCAGTTGTGTCCTTGAATTTAGTATTCGCTTTGATTCACATAGACTGGATATATATTCCGCTGCTAATGTTGAAACATGGTTGAAGACATTACACAAGAGAACAAGTTGCCAGTCGTATCCGATAGGTGTACCTGGAAAGCAAACGACTCGCAGAGGCTTACACTGAGACTTGTTATCAAAGACGATTGCTTATATTAAATTGTACTATTCGGTTTGAAATGTTAGTCGTAACTGATTTTTTAATTTTATTTTTTTATTGCCATTGTAGGCAGACGAGCATACGGCCCACCTGATGGTAAGTGGTCACCGTCGCTCATGGACGTCAGCAATGACAGGGGCAGAGCCAAGCCCTTGCCTACTATTAAGTACTCTCCGCAAGCGTCGTTTGAAGAAGGGAATTTCTGAAGGAATTTCTTGACATAAGCCGAAGATTTTCACCATCCAGTTCATCAGTAGATTGGCTCAGAGATCATGAGGCTCATTGGCAATCAAATACTCTCAGTAAGTCTCAGAAAAAATGCACTACTTTTAAGCGTAAGTATCAAACTAACAAAAAACCAAGAAGATGAAGTATTGGGCCAGTGCGGCGAAACTAGAAGTCGAGCATTGAAATCAGGAGCATCCCCTGTGGGCCAGGGACTCAGCTTCTCGCCAGACTCTGCTTTTCGTACCAAGCGACTTGTGTAGTGGTTCAGTCCAAAAAAGTCGTAGGTACCTGTAAAATAGCAAATACTTATTTTGCAAGCCCGAAATTATGTTTAGCTGTCCTTTCTAGTTGAGCCTTGAAGATGCAGATTTCAAGCTTAGGCCTTTTTCTATAACTACATTCTGCACCGATTTCGTTATGTTATCCACTTATTATAAAAGATGCGTGCTTTTTTAATGAGGGAATAAGTACTGGTGGCTCGGAGGCCTTTCCAGTTTCACCAGGAGCAAAGGGCTCAGCCAGATGACGCATGCTACGCTTGTATAAAAACTGAAGAAAATTTTGGCCCTAGTCGCGAAATTCTTATACGTGCCCTATCTATTGTTGGTTAAATTTAAACATTTTCTGGCATTGTGTTATTTGCAGGTTTGCGTGGAAGTTTCTTTAAAAAAAATTGCTTAAGCGGACGGTGAGCTCAAGTCTCATCTGCTGTTAAGTGTTTACAGGAGCCCATAGACATCGACAATATAAATCCCGCCACCCACCTTGAGACATGAGTTCAAAGTCTCAGTTTTACAGTACAATGGCTACCCCACCCATCAAACCAAAACGCAATTATACCTCACGGCAGAAATAGACACAGTAGTGGAACTTAGCCGTGCGGTTTCACAAGATGCCCTACCACCATTAATCAAGCTTAAATTTTTATGTACTGTTTTAACATCTACGTCTACGCCAATAAAAATGATGCTTCTTATAATTCTGGTTTATACGTTCCTAGACCCTTTAACCCATTTTGTTGAAACTTAGAGCATTTGTTGTTGGCATTTTAGGGAAGGCTGTTACTAAACCATCAACACTCGACAAATAGCGCGCATATAGTCTTAACAAATCAACGTTGCTAAATGTATGCATATTTAGCGTTAGCCACAGCGGAGCACGGCCGGGTTTCGTTTAATTATTGATTTAGGCACACGGTTTTTTGTCAATTCTTCAGTGATAAAACCGCATTTCGATTCAGTGGTAAAGCATGACCGTTTGTAAGAGTCTGTGAAGGCCTACTTAAATAAATGGTTTTGATTTTGGCTTCCTAATCGATGGCAGAGTAGAAATTTCTTTAGTATCGCATATGTCTACAAGAAACGCTGTAGCCGGACGCTTTTCAGGGCTCGCAATTAACAATATCTTACCCTTGATGTACTCAATCTCTTGCTTAGTCAGAACGGGTAAATTTGACTTCAGGTACCCTTGTCTTCGACTATTGTCATGGATAGTTTTCTCTATGCTCGGCGGCCATCCACCTTTCTTAGAGTAAATTGGATGAGAGTACCGACCGACCTGAAAATATGATGAAAGGTTACTTTTATTTGCGTATCTTTTCAGTGATGATTATGCTTTTTCTCTGCTCATGATGCGTCATTTACTTCAGCGTCTTGTGGAGTTATTGACTCTGATCTTGTTTTTACACGTGAATACACGATTATTCGCAATTATATTACCGATGATTCTGATTTTTGTATTTCAATACCCTCGAGCTTTGATGTACTCAAGCCTTGGGATTTATTTATGTATTAAGCTCCATCAACTTTGTACTTACCGAACTAATGTTGTAATAATCTATTATAGAAGAGATATGTAGAATACATTTCCGAAACTTGTACCACTTGTAAAAATATTAAAATTACACGGAAAAAATGGTGAAAATTACCACAAAATGGTATTTATAAGTGGCGTTTACGCTTAACCCGAATTGGGTCATATAACATATACAGCTGCGAAAGAACGCTTTTAGTGGTGGTGGGACCTCTTGTGAGTCCGCACAGGTAGGTACCACCACCCTGCCTATCTCTGCCGTGAAGCAGTAATGCGTTTCGGTTTGAAGGGTGGGACAGTCGTCGTAATTATACTGAGACCTTGGAACCCATATCTCAAGGTGGGTGACGGCATTTACGTTGTCAATGTCTATGGGCTCCAATAACCACTTAACAACATTGGGCTGTGAGCTCGTCCACCCATCTAAGCAATAAAAAAAAACCAGAATTCACAAAAACGAATAATTAATGAGTGACAAAATAAAATTGACTCTTCATCGGTATGGCTATATTGTCTTATCCAATTTAAATGTACTTACACAATTCTCTAATGCTAGATCAGTGACTTCTTTATCTTCCTCAGTAAGTGGCTGAAACCAAAACAGTTGGTTCGCGATGGAGATTTTACCTGCAATTTGGGTGGTAAAATAGCTATTATTTTTGGATTGATTTTTAAAAATTGCCAAAAGAATTACCTAACTGTGAAACACATCATTATTTCCGAACTAGTAACAGGAATTAACAGTGAAACAAATTATCTTTTTCCTAACTAATAACAGCTGCTATATGTAACAAGTACACTCTAAAGATAATGAATAAAAATGTTCTGTAAAGTTGAGCTTTCGTAATGAACAATCTAATTAGGTACGACAAAGCAGCAGAATAGCAGATAAGTTTTGATTTTAACCGTGTATTTAATGGTTAGTGCTTTGAGAACTAATTTTTTTTTTATCCTTCCTAAGCTGAGAGGCTATATCAGCGTAACCTTAACTAGTAGGTGAGCTCACGGGGCTCAAACCTGATGACGGTGCTAACACGAACCCTAGCCAGAGCCGCACTTCGCAGAATCTACCACCGGATCGGAAACGCGACCCACTGAGAAGATCCGGCGAGAAACTCAGTAGTCTGTGTCTGAGGGTTAATTTACTCGTCGAGCCCTTCGTCGCAAGTGACGGGTTCGACGAGAACGATGACCGGTGCTTGAGGTACCTAAAAGCACAGTGGATCGGAACTACATAGAACCACTGCCCTCCACAATGCATTTCCAGAGATCTGTTCTGCGACGCACTATTCGGCTTTGAAATAAGCTCCTGAGCGCTATGACATGTATTTCTTCAAACGAGCATTGCGGAGAATACTTCGCGGTAGGCAACGGCTTGGCTATGACTCTAGCATTGCTGATGTCCTCGAGCGACAGTAATCGTGCACAGGTGGGACGTTTGCTAATCTGTCTATAACGGTAAAAAAAATCCATCCTCATGTCTCAAAGTGAGCATTCACATTATGAGGTCTCCGAAGAGTACTTGATACAAGGTTGATCTTCACCGATTGTCTGCAGCAAAAAAAGAAATTTTCTATATTGCTTAGGTCGGTGGACGAGCTTACGACCCACTTGGTGTTAAGAGGTTACCGGAGCCCATAGACATCTATACCTATATATAAAAATGAATTGCTGTGCGTTAGTCTCGCTAAAACTCGAGAACGGCTGGACCGATTTGGCTAATTTTGGTCTTGAATTATTTGCGGAAGTCCAGAGAAGGTTTAAAAGGTAAATAAATGTGAAAATGCTCGGAATTAAATAAAATTATCAATTTTGTTTTTCCTTTGATATGTCCCCCGTCGGACGGATTCCTTTTGTTAGTTTAAAGTTTATTTTATACAAGAGCTTAGGTCTTTTATTTATCGATTGAAGCACTACGAAGTCTGCCGGATCGGCTAGTCTACAAAATAAATGCTACCACCTACCTTGAGATATAAGTTCTAAGGTCTCAGTTTTTACAGTACAACGGCTGCCTGACCCTTCAAACCGAAATGCATTACTGCTAACTCACCATGATATTTATGTCTGAACTCCTTATCGTAAAGTCTCCAGGCTCTCGCGTGGGCCATCAACGTGTATTTATTGCACAGATATGGTGCAATTTCAGGATCAATGATCCCAGGAGCCACCAGACCAGTGTTGTACGCCATGTCGCAAACGACGAAAGGCTCATTAATCGTGATCCAAGTCTTCACTCTGTCGCCAAATAACTCGAAGGCTGTTCTGGCGTAATTTTCGAACCATTCTGCGATGTGAGGATTCGTCCAGCCTCCTGTGTCATGAGAAGTTTCAATGAAAAGAGACAGAACGGCTTATTGTGTCTACATCTTTTTTTTATTGCTTAGATGGGTGGGTGGACGAGCTCACAGCCCACCTGGTGTTAAGTGGTTAACTGGAGCCCATATACATCTACGACGTAAATGCGCCACCCACCTTGAGATATAAGTTCTAAGTTCTCAAGTATAGTTACAACGGCTGCCCCACCCTTCAAACCAAAACGCATTGCTGCTTCACGGCAGAAACAGGCGTCTCGCTGCGTCGCGTCTCGAGGTAGGTGGCCGTATTTCCGTTGTTCATGGACGCTGTTGTAATAAGAAAACTGAGACGTATAGCTCATGTCTGAAGATGGCGGTATTTAGTTTGTTGGTGTCTATAGGTTCCGGCCTCTGTTAACCACAAAACACCATGTGGCGCGTGAGCTTGCACACCCATCTAAGCAATAAATAAATACAAACCATCATGAAGTAGAAACAAGTTTGGTCTGTTATGAAAACAATCTTACAAAGCAGTTGAGCAATCAATAAGACTTAATATCAAATTTACTTACCCAAGTCCTGGAGTCTCTGTGGAAGGTCCCAATGGTACAAAGTGACCAAGGGCTCTATTCCGTTTTCCAACAACGCATTTATCAAAGTATTATAATATTTAACTCCATCTTCGCTGATGTAGTTTGGAAAACCGGTGGGCAGAACACGTGGCCAGGATATTGAGAACCTGAAAATAGGGAGCAGATAATATAGTTTCTAGTGAAGTCGATTATCTTGTTTCTTCTGATGGGTGGACGAAAGGACTTTGCAACTGTTTTGCTAGTTGCTACAAAAAAAATGTTTTAATTATGCCTATAGCACGATTAATGCGATAAGTATCATAATTTTTTTTTTTTTTTGCTTAGATGGGTGGACGAGCTCACAGCCCACCCGATGTTAAGTGGTTACTGGAGCCCATGGACATCTACAACGTAAGTGCGCCACCCACCATGAGATATAAGTTCTAACATCTCAGTATAGTTACAACGGCTGCCCTACCCTTCAAACCGAAACGCATTATTACTTCACGGCAGAAATAGGCAGGGCGGTGGTACCTACCCGCGCGGACTCACAAGAGGTCCTACCACCAGTAAATTAATGTTTAATGTTTATATTCGAAACGCAAGAGGTCTGACTGATTCGTCGCGTGCAATCAACTCAGGTTGATAGAGCTTGAAGGATAAAAAAAAAAGCTTACTTCCTTATTACTAATAGTACAATAAGAACACATTATATCATTAATATCTGCTTGCTTGTTTATCGTAATGAATCATTTATAGAATTCCTAGCTATTTATTTATTAAGTTGCACCAACAAAGTGATCATCAATACAAAACATTGACAAATTGACAAAAGTTCATGTCAGATGTCACCTCAATTATAGGTGCAATCGACAGTGCATTAACAACAACAAAAAAAAAATACTACTTTACTGGTGGTAGGACCTCTTGTGAGTCCGCACGGGTAGGTACCACCACCCCGCCTATTTCTGCCGTGAAGCAGTAATGCGTTTCGGTTTGAAGGGTGGAGCAGCCGTTGTAACTATACTGAGACCTTAGAACTTATATCTCAAGGTGGGTGGCGCATTTACATTGTAGATGTCTATGGGCTCCAGTAACCACTTAACACCAGGTGGGCTGTGAGCTCTTCCAACCATCTAAGCAAAAAAAAAATAATTGTGATTTAATAATTTTTTTAAGGTAAAATGATGCGGCGTCAAGATAGGAAAAATGCGGTGTGCAGTCCTTATCAGAGTAGTTGTGGTTGTCATTCAGTGTCTTTGCTGTGGGCAGATGTTAGGCGCCTTACGAACAATCGTCATTTCTCCCGGATTGTGGTGAGCTTGGTACACTCATGCAAAAAACTGCCAACTGCCGACTTGACTTGGCCGATCCATCGCATGGGCAACCTTAGAGGGAGGGTGATGGGAGAGATGTGCTCCGCACTAAACGCTTCACTTTCCCCCTTTGCCTTTTCATGAGTTCTGTCTCATGCGAGGTTTGGACGTTGGTTGTTGAGCGACAGGAGGTTTTAGTCAGTTCGACTTTGTCTACCTATGCTGATAGCCTTGAGAGGCTATTTCAGCTTCTCTTTGACGTGTAGGTGAGCTCACGGGGCTCAAACCGGGAGTGTTGCTAACAATGGCCCTAGCAAGAGCAGTGCTTCGCGGAATATACCACGGGATCGGAAACGCGACCCACTGAGAAGATCCGGCGAAAAATTCAGTGGGCTGTGTCTGTGGGTTAATTCACTCGTCGAGTCCTTAGTCGCAAGCGACGGGTTTGATAGGGACGGTGACCGGACAACCTTCCATTTTCCTTTCGCGGCTTACAAATGTGCGAAATTCTCCTAGATTTGTTTTATGATCGATATTTAGAAATTGCGAGCGATTAATGAATAAAATAATAATTTACCTATAAAAGTGTACGCCTAGTTCTACAAGCATTTCAATGTCCCGCCTCCAAAGATGGTACGAGTCACAAGCGATGTCGCCATTGCTTCGATCAGATATTATGTCTGCATGCTCTCGTGTGAAGGTATCCCAAATGCTTTCTGATTTATCTGTAAATTAAGTCAGTTGAATTGAGAATGGCAAGACAGATAAGAACATGTTTATTTTAGATCCACACGAGATTTTAAAAGTTTCTTTTTTTCATCTTAATGTGATTATTTTATCTGACTGCCGAAGGTCAGTAATGTCATTCGAACATACCAACCTGTTTATAAAAAATATGAGTTATGTATTTTGTGACAAATTTCAATGATTGTATTTCTCTCGGTAAATGGAATAACTTTGGAATTCCCTATTTCATTTAATAGTTACATTATCTGGTTTTTCTAAAAGATATCATTGCGTTGGGTCATTAGGTCGAAACATATCTCCGCCTTTTGTATCTGACAGCGGAAAGAGAGGCAGTGATAAGTACTTAGATATTGCGACTGGAATGTCCAGACTATCTCATTTATCATTTTTACGACTTTAATGATCTCTCGACATTAGCGCGTGAAGGAATAACATCGTGTAATAAAAATCAAACCCGCTAAATTATAATTTGCGTAATTACTGGTGGTAAGACGTCTTGTGAGTCCGCACGGGTAGGTACCATCGCCCTGCCTATTTCTGTCGAGATACAGTAATCTGCTTCGGTTCGAAGGGTGTGGCAGTTGTTGTACTGTAAAAATGAGCCTTAGAACTCGCGGAATTCGCTTTTTTGTTCTCTATGGACTCCGGTAACCCCTCGACACCGGGAAGGTCATGACTTCATGTATCAATAAGAAGAGCAATAAAAAAAAACAAAATGTGTGCAATTCACACGTGGTAGAAGTGAAACCTTCCAAAATTAAAATACAATTATCCTAAACGTCTTAAGTATATGTAAAATGTTGTCATTAGTAAATAATTGTAAGGTAGCGCCCTCTGTGAATTGATATTTTAATTTCACGTATAATCCTAAATTAAAATTCACTTCAAGAGCTTTCATACACACGTTAGTATTAAAAAATCTCACAGATGGCGCTGTATTAAATAGTATGTATATTTCTGTCTCATTCTTTGCTGGCTTCATCCTACACATTTTTGTATTTGTGTCTCTTACCTGTCGTTTTTTCCGTTGCATCCGGTTTGAAATCACAACGATTCTAAAGAAGTTTTCACTTCAAAAATTTGTACAGTCATCGGTTCTTGATACGTGTGGAAGTTTAAAGATTCCGTTACATAGAAGCAAACGTACACATCAGTCTAATGAAAGCGTGTTAAAAATACAAATCAAGTGTGCTTAGTGCGAGTTGTTTAACGTTCTCGATAGCGTAAAAGTTTTTTTATTGCCCTTGTAGGCAGACGAGCATACGGCCCACCTGATTGTGAGTGGTTAACGTCGCCCATGGACTTCAGAAATGCGAGGGGCAGAGCCAAGCCGCTGCCTACCGCTTAATACTCTCCACAAGCCTCGTTTGAAGAAGGACATGTCATAGCGTTCGGGATACACCGAGGAAGGGAACTCATTCTATAGCCGGATGGTACGTGGCAAAAAAGACCTCTGGAAGAGCACTGTGGATGACCGCAGTGGCTTCAGGTAGTATGGATGAACTCTAATCCGGTGGCGGGCGGTGCGATGGTAAAAACAAGATGCCGGTATCATCTCGAACAATTTCTCAGAGCACTCCCCATGAAACATACGGTACAAAATACAGAGGGAACCGAAGTCCCTCCGCAGACCCAGAGGTTCCAAACGATCCGTGAGAATGGGATTATCGACAATCCGAACGGCCCTCCTCTGTATGGAGTCAAATGGAAGAAGTTGGTATTTGGGAGCCCCGGCCCAGAGATGGGAACAGTACTCCACGCGAGGCCGGACTTTTTTTTTTTTTTTTTTTCCTACCTATGCTGATAGCCTTGAGAGGCTATTTCAGCTTCACCCAAACGTTTGTAGGTGAGCTCGCNAGCAAGGAGCAGGGGGGGGGGGAATGCCTATGCCGTGAAAACGGCAATCGGCGGGGAAAAGGAAAGGAACCCGCTCGGGCTGTATAGTGCTACAGCAGGCAGAATCGCGAGCGGGGGTCTAGTCTTGAAAAAGACTGTTGTTTTGGGAAAGGTTAGGAAATCGCTAGCCTGTGAGTGCCACAGGAAGCCTGATCGTAGCGATTGGTTGCCTTGAAAAAGACAGTTGGTATAAGGTGGGTATTCACGGTCACAACACTATCACGCACAAATGTGTATTCCGATGCGTAGGTCGCAAGCGACCAACGGATTGGAAGGCACGTTCACACACAACCGAGTCGTAAACGAGAATGTATTCACGGTGCGAGGCCGGACACAAAGTTAACTCAAATTTGTATGGAGTCGGAACGTTTGCCTATGTTTGCCGCTAGGGGCGCTGTTCCAACTGCATACAAGCTTGTACTCGGTATTTTGACATCATCGTGACAACAACTTTGTAAGCTCGAGGTCAGAGATTGCAGCTTGGAGACGGGTCTGTTTGACAGTCACTTGTGCACACGAAACACAATACGTGCGAAAAGCTTTCATCGCCTCGCCTCTTCATCGTTGCATTTCGGTAACAATACCAAATCTGAATGTTATCTGCTTTTCCAAATAAGGTTTATTTATTTATTTATTATTTACTAGCTGACCGGCAGACTTCGTAGGGCCTCAATCTATACTTAATATTATAAAGAGGAAAGATTTGTTTGTTTGTTTGTTTCGAATAGGCTCCGAAACTACTGGACCGATTTGAAAAATTCTTTTTCCATTAGAAGCCGACATTGTCCCTGATGAACATAGGCTACTTTTTTTTTTAAAATTTTTTATTTTATTTTTTTGGTTACATGTGTGTTTTAATGTTTCCGAAGCGAAGCGAGGGCGGGTCGCTAGTCGATAAATAAAAGACCGACGGGGGACACATCGAAGGTAAAACAATTGTTATTTTTGTATTTAATTCCGAGCATTTTCATATTTCTCTACCTTTTAAACCTTCTCTGGACTTCCACAAATAATTCAAGACCAAAATTAGCCAAATCGGTCCGGCCGTTCTCGAGTTTTAGCGAGACTAACGAACAGCAATTCATTTTTATATATATATAGATTTATACTTTATTTCAGTTTTTTTTTAAAACAATAACATTTTCTTAGTTCGAATTACTTATAATCTATGTTAGTAACTTTAAAAATCTAACACATAACTATCATTACATACATTTTATATCATTAATTTTTTTTCCTTCTAAGTGCCTGCTGCAAAGGCTATTGATCAGCAGTCCCTTGATCTTGCTCGATACGATTTTCAGAAGACTGTTGCCACTGTCTCTGATTCGACGCAATAACGATGCACTTCTCTTCCGCATTATTGCAAAGAAGTAATCGGTGTGAGATGTAGCAAACATTGTGGATGCACTACAAAAGCGTATATTGTATAGTATTTTCCTAATGTTAATTACTCACCTGAAACATTCCACGCCCCTTCAATTTGGTACGCAGAAGAGGCCACACCGAACTTAAATTCTGGAGGGAAATTCAAGTCGCCACAGAAACCACAAGAGATAACCCTGTAAATTAATTAATATTAATTGTTTATAAAAACCTTCAATGATAGACATTTGTGTTGTTTTTTAAATTTTTTTGCCCTTTAATGCAGACGCATTAAGGTTTTTAAAAAAAATAATTAAAAAACTTAAAAAAAATATTTAGAAAACTTAAAAAAAAATAAAAAAACTTTAAAAAAAAATTTAAAAAAAAAACGACGGTAACCCATGGACTTCAGGAATGCTAGGGGTCGAGTTAGGCTGCTGCCTACCGCTTAGCATTCTCCACAAGCCTCGTTTGAAGAAGGACATGTCATAGCGCTCGGGAAATACTGTTTTAAGCGGATATCGAAGTCCATGGACGTTACAGTCAGATGAGTTATGCATTGATCGTGTAGAAAAAACACGTAATAAAAAACGTACAATTGTTCTATGTAATTATTTATATTTAAAATAAATATCTCTCCAATAAAATCGTAATTTATTAATCATTCAATGATTTATATATAGTAATAGTTGATACGCCATCGGTGCGGTAATATAAGCGAATTTTCTAGACAATACATCGTACTTATCGCCATTTAAATCTTTCAATCATATCATTAGCTGTCTCGATGGTGCAGTAGTTAGCGACCCTGATTGTTTCGCCGAGGGCTTTGGGTTTGACTCCCGTATCGGGCAAGCGTTGCCTGATGAACTGGTTTTTTGCTTTGGGTGGTTAAGATCTATCATCATTCTCCTGCCCTTCTCCCAGTCTTTTCTCCTTCCATACTCTTCTATCATATACCATTTCTACGCTCACTCCCCTCTTACCCATATCGTCTTTCACGCAATCCATCCATTTCTTCTTAGGTCTACCTCTTCTTCTATATCCTTCCACATTCATAATTAACACTCTCTTACCAACCACTCTGGGTGATTAACATCTATATAATATATATATTTAAACATATTATGTTTATCAGATTTTGGTATCAAAAACACAGGGTATCTTAAATGAGTGCTGGATGACAGTACCTGATTTGTTCCCAATTATAATTAATGATATTATTATTCGATGTTCAGCTTCTCATAGTGCATTATTGCTTAGCTACTAATATTTTCAACTTGGGTTTAATGTGACTTTAAAATAAAGTAAACTAAGACTAAATATAGAAAATGTTTTAGACGCTAACAGGCGACGAACTTGATGTCCACAACGCACCGGTCATCGTTCTCGTCGAACCCATCCCTTGCGACGAAGGGCTCGGCGAGTACATTAACCCACAGACATAACCCACTGAGTTTCTCGCCTGGTCTTCTCAGTGGGTCGCGTTTCTGATCCTGTGGTAGATTCTGCGAAGCACGGCTCTAGCTAGGGTTAGTGTTAGTAACGTCGTTAGGTTCGAGATCCGTGAGCTCACCTACTAGTTCGACGAATCTAGAATAACCTCTCGAGGTTAATAGAATAGGTGGGAAAAAAAAATCGGTCGTCTGTAAAGTCGGTTTACTGACGATAGTTGAACGTCATAAGAACGACATAACGACAACGTCATAAGAAAATACTGATGGAATGGTTTCATTTTTCAATTATCGCAATTATCGTTGCTATAAACAATTGACACCGCATTCACTTTTCACTGAACTTCATACTTGACGAAAACATGTAAATGTATTATTGTATAGCAGCTGTTCACGCGGATGCATCGCTCACTCAAGTAGGAGAGAGACAGATGTCGAACGCTGCCAAACGCGGAGACCGATTGTGCCTCTTTGTCGCTTGTTGTGCGCTCTTGCTTGCACTTCAAGCCTTAAACGCCTCAGAGTGAAGTAACGCCGCATGAGTCATGTTTATTCGTGCGTGCAGCCGGCTCCATCGAATTATAAGACGTTGTCACGTCAAAAACACAATGAAAACTAAAGTCGAGCTTTAGTTGTGAAAGGCGATCTTTAAAAAAAATCTTGAATTACCGGTATGAAGTTTGCAATTGCGAATGCGTTTATATAGGCATTTACTTCCTTAAGCCGCTTCGATGTATCAATAATATTAATAACATCGGTATCAATTATTTCGAGCTCAGAAGGCTGTATCAATAGTTTTTTGTTTTTGTTTAGCACGGCATTTCTAGAGCACTTCACGGGTAATGGCCGTCGTAGGCAGTTAAATTTATTGATTTTTGTTTAACTACAGTTTTTTTTTAATACGCTTTTATTAGCTTCAGACGTATGTATGTAACGTAATCTTTGATTTTGACCCCCTTCAAAACGTCGGATTAACTCGAAATTTGGTATGGTACCCATGACAATTCAATATTTAAAAAAATATATATCGAAAAAAATTTAATTCAACTAAAAAATGATAAATAAATAATAGTTTAAACAAACTAACAATTGAATTGATTGAAATGATTTTATTTGTAAAAAAAGCGTGGGGTGTATGTATGGTATATGAACAGATATGAGTAGAAGGGCTATTTTAATAATATCCCGAAAAGCGCCCCACGATTTTTTACAATAAAATCATTTTTTCTTACACTATTTTTTATTTAAATTTATTAAAATTTATTTTCTATTTTTTAGTTGGATTTTCTATAAAAGCGTATTTTGTTACTTTTTTTTAAACTATTATTTATTTATTTTGGTGTAATATTTAGGTAATTCGTTTACTGGCGTCTTATGCGTCTGTACGGGTAGGTACCACGACCATGCCTATTTATGCCGTGAAGCAGTAATGCCCTGAATGACGGCGAAGTTGCTTTACTTTAAAATTGCTGTAGCGTGCAACACTCGGTCGCACTCGGGCGTCATCGGATGCGATCGGAGTTCCCGAACGCGCAGGTGTCCCGTGACGTCAGACTGCGAGATTCGCGCGCGTCGATTTAAGTTGATTGTAAAACGTATTATAATTTTAGTTTTAATTTGTGTCTTGTAGTGCCTGGCGACTTGTTTACTCTTTTTACTTTATAATAGAACATTTTACACATATTACATTATATATATTGTTTAATTGGTGTGTTTGACTTTTATGTGTTCGGAGCATAATATCCCGAGAATACGAATAAGAAACCACACTGCGATTTCATTTAAGATATTTTTTTTTTTATTGCTTAGATGTGTGGACGAGCTCACAGCCCACCTAATGTTAAGTGGTTACTGGAGCCCATAGACATCCACAACGTAAATGCGCCACCCACCTCGAGATATAAGTTCTAAGGTCTCAGTATAGTTACAACGGCTACCCCACCCTTCGAACCGAAACGCATTAATGCTTCACGGCGGAAATGGGCGGGGTGGTGGTACCTACCCGTGTGGACTCCCAAGAGGTCCTACCACCAGTAATTACGCAAATTATAATTTTGCGGGTTTCATTTTTATTACACGATGTTATTCCTTCACCGTGGAAGTCAATCGTTAACATTTGTTGAGTACGTATTTCATTAGAAAAATTGATACCCGCCTGCGGGATTCGAACACCGTTGCATCGCTTCATACCAATGCAACGGACGTCTTATCCTTTAGGCCATGACGACTTCAATGGTCTATTTCGGTCTCGACTGGAATAATAGCTTCTAGCCGTGGCTATTATAGAATTGGTAAACCCCGACATAAATCTGTAGTGCTTTTTAAGACATTTATAAGAGTAATCTTAGAATTCAAGTTCCGGACAACTATATTGTGACCGTTATTGGAAGACCCCTATAGGAATTTTTACATTTTTACACTTAGTGGCCGTCTGGTGTAGTGGTAAGTGACATGGTCACTACACAAGGAGGTTGCGGGTTCGAATCCCGCCAAGTGAAGATATTTTTATGATAAATATAAAATGTCTTTTCCAGGGTTATGTATGTATATTAAATATATGTATGTGTATAATAAAAATCTTACATTTATTTCCGTTATCTGGTACCTGTAGCACAAGTTCTTTACGAACTTATCACGGGACCAGTTAACGTGGCGTGATTGTTAGTAAATATTTATAATTATTTATTTGTTTATACACCCTGTGCTTAATTCAAACTGCAACTTGTAAAATTTCTTTCTTTCTTTTTTTTTTTTCGCCCTTGTAGGCAGACTCGCTTACGGCCCATCTGATGGTGAGTGGTTACCGTCGTCCATGGACTTCAGCAATGCCAGGGGCAGAGCCAAGCCGCTGCCCACCGCTTTCTTGTATCATGTTCCTCAGTGCTGAGGGTCGCGACTTCTACAGATCACTTTTGTTCGGACTATACAAATGTCAGAGTAAGGCGTGAAATACTATTTGGTTTAAGCCACATTTCGCTTATTACGCGACGTTTTTCTTTTTGAAATAAAGCTTCGTTTTATTTGGTACTAGCCGTATTGGTCCGCTTCGCCGGGCATTTAAAATTAATTAATTTATTTATTTATTTATGTACACCCAGAAAAGAAGACATAGTACAGAGTAATAGGAAAATTATGTACAAAGGCACTGCTTATTTCTTTAAGAAATCTCTTCCGGCAGATCTGCGAGAGGATTATGAGAATAATAATTAAACGTGATGAGTGTGTGTAGAACAAATAACACATAACTAAAATAACAAATACAACATGAGAATTATAGTAATGCACATACACATAGCAAATATTGTTACACTTGAATACAAAACATTATAAGTAACACTCGTATATACGAAGAGTATAGAACCATGATCATTCGGTTGATGAGAGATAAAATTGTTTGACCTTGTATTTAAAAACATTAACATTATGATTTATTGTCATTATTATTAGGGAGTCCAACACTCATATAAATATTAGTCTATCCATTAAGTACATGTATTTTCTACATGGATACCAAGTTTCAAGTCAATCGGATGCATGGTTCAGTAGTTATAACGGAACATCCGTAAAAACCACTGTAGATTTATATATTAGTATAGACTAGCGTCAACAGTTCGATGTTTTTAATTGAACTTCAATTACTCCATTCAAATATGTAGCTGAAGAAGTCTTTTTTTTAAATATATTTTTTCCAAATTTGAATCTTCCAATGGCTCTCTTGTAAAGTTGTCAATATACAAAGAAAC